AAGGAGTCCACTCTTCACTTGGTGTTGAGATTGAGAGGAGGTGCTTTTTAACTCCGAAGGCATCAGCTCTCTCCGGTACCGCCTCTTTATAATGTAATGTGATACATCCTGAGTGGTAAGTAAATATTATAATATATCTGGCTCCGTTTTTCTGTTGATCAAGCGACATTGTTAGGGTGTAGTTTATCACGTAAACTTCCGATCATATGAGTATATACCGACATGTTATGTGCACCCAGTACGCACGCAATTGTCATACTGAGTGAATATATAGCATCTAATTGAGTGTTCTGTTGATACCTACATCGGACCTTGAGCAACGGGTATAGCATTTCACTTTCACGATCAACTGCTTGACTTGCACCAATTGAAATAACCGAAATAGAATGTGCTAGTTGCATGGCACATTTTACTATTCGTGAAAATATAGAGCGCAACCATAATACATATTGCATATATCTCAAATTGGCGCTGTACTTTTCTTATCACTAATTTTTACTGTATAAAACTATTGTATACAATGCCAAATATCATCTGGCATTAAGATTTATGCAAGCTGTATTTGAAGTCATGCTGCGTTTTCTTCAATAGTTATCGCCGTATTATGCTTTTCTTCGTGCAATTCATACGATATATACGGAAAGGGAAGCATTTACTTTCACCATTTATTACTAGCTTTGGCCAGTTATAATCATAAGTATCGAAATATATGTATGTATTTTATATTTAACTAAATATTGATCTCTAGGTTCAGCCTCAGTTTTATTATATAGTTTTAGTTTACATCGGGTAAATATTATATTTGTATAACAATAGTTGATAAAATGCTACTTCAAACTTCCACTAATTAATACGTAAACGGATGATATTTTCTGATACCACATTTGAGTGAAAAAAGGTTCATAAATATGAATAGAGATGTGTCTTGGTCTTGCTAACGTTCAATTAACGTTATATAGCACTAAACAAAGTAGACTCAAATCCACCCAGACAGAGAATAGCAAAACAATAAAACTCACCGCGCAGTATTGGGCGTGTGGCGTAGTTGGTAGCGCGTTCGCTTAGCATGTGAAAGGTCTCGGGTTCGACTCCTGACTCGTCCATTTTTGCACCTTTCAGCCTCAAGGATTGTTAAAGACCATCAGAGTCTTCCCAGGAGATATGTCACAAGCGTGGCACCTTCCAGCGTTTTAGAACGAAAATTATCCAGGTACTTCATTTAGCCTCTATCAGCTACTCACGCTAGTAACCAAAAACCACCGGTCATGACTTTGACTAACCATCAAGTATATTAGTCCCGGAATGGGTCAATCTATGTACAAAAGGTGCTGTATCAACACAGCAATGCAAGAGGAGACAACGGAGAACGGATCTATTTCAACCACGTAGAAAGAGTGCTAAGAGGATGAACGGGCTCTTTTCAGTTCCCTAGAAAGCATGGCCAAGGGGCGGGGAAATCACCTCTCCGCGTCCCTTTGCAAGATCAGCCAAGTAGCTCCTTACCTTTCTCAAAGCCTTCACATCGTCGCTATACAAGAACCACAAGTCGTCTTGGGAGTTGCGAGTCTTGACCACTCTGACCGAAACTTTGAACAACTGTTTGAGCTGGTACAAGGTGCTTTCATTCAACAACGAGTCACTGAGCAGGACTGGAAGTCGACAAACTTCGCGGTTGTTCAAATTCACGTCCCAATGCGTCGTTAGCTTACCAACAGCAGAGTTTACCGAGTTGCGGTCCTTACCGTACACTGTAACGGTGCTGAGTTGGTCATCGGTCTGAAAGGTAATAAGCGTACCGGTGGCTTTCTCAATGCCCTCGATGGTCAAATCACCACCCGTGACAACACCCAACATACTGCTTTCAATCTGGAACCTAAGCAGAGTACCTTGGAAGGCAATGAAATTTCTAATCATCGCAATGGCCAACTCAACGTTTACAGCATCGGAGCCGTAGACAGTAATATCGGTTTGGTTCGATGAGATCTCAGACGAGAGAATCGCTGTCTGGGTGTACGCTTTCACCTTTTCAAGTAATGTTGGGGAAAGCAAGGAGTGGTGCTCTGCAGGAATAGAGACGGTTTGGGCATTGCCTTCTAAGGCTTCAGCCGCGGCGGTTAACATTTCACTGGCCTTATCCACGTTTGGCAAAACGCCAGAAATTTGGAAGGTAGGTCCGTCTGTGATCCAGGTTTTCGTCACGTACTCAATGACACCAGCTTCTTTAGCGAGAATTTCGTGCAAATGAGGCGGGATAACGTGAGAGACAAGTTCAATTGGTTCGTTTTCTGTCGTCACATCAATCCTTTCCGCCTTCATATCTTCGATCACATCTTTGGCTTCTGGGATACTCAAGCTGCTGGCATCCACTTTAGTTTGGAAATCGCGGGGCAAAATTTCAACCTTCTCAACAGACCCACTTTGACGAGCCAACTGCAAAACCTTACGTTCAAGCTCAGCCTTCGCTTTCACGGATCCCACGTCTTCACCCATGACATAGATGATCCCGTCATCTCTAAAGGACTCAGGAAAGTGCAAACAGATTGTTGAGTCCTGCCAAAACATGAAGCCTGCGGCATTCGTTTCTTTGGTGGAGTACGAGGACTGTAGGGCTGCGCGTGCGGCGGCCGGGACGCGCGCGGCGAAACACAGCCGTATGAGTCGCGCTTGGGACTCGCAGAACAGCGTGAGTGTTTCCCGCGACGCATCCATTGTTGCACCGAAGACCGTGATTCGAGAAGACTCACAGTCTAAAACGGCATTGGCGCGCTCTGTGACGCGCTGGACATGCGCGTGATGGCGCGCGACCGCGGCGGTAGTCGCGAACATCGCTATAAGTTGCGCGTCTCCCACAGGCACGTCGTACACGAGCTTATTCGCGGCATGCATGCGAATCAACCGTTCAAACGGCGCGGCGCGCATGGGGCTACGAAGGTGGATGCGCGGACCGTTCCAGTCGACAGGATATGTGCCGTCCAGGCTCAGGTAGAGCCGCAAGAAGTGTTGTTCGTCAGAGTTCAAGTCGAGGGCCACCGTGTGCTGTGGATAGACGCGCAAACGCCACGTGAGCGCGTCCCACGCGGCGTTTATCGCTGTGGGTTCAAGTCCGTAGATGCGAATAAACGGGCTCTGTGAGTCGGGCGCCAAGATCGTTGTGCCCGTGAAATCCTCGAGCTCGCGCAAGTATGCGCACGGCACAATGAATGCATGACTCGCGTCTACCACGACTACGCGTTTGTGTTCCTTCAACTCCGCGATGCATCGGCGGAGCAATTCCGCGGCCTGCTCAATGGCGCCGTTCTCGTTGTGCACGGCGGTGTCGTGGATGACGCAGGCACGGGTCCCGCGCGGATCCCAGGACTGCTGCCGGTCGATTATGCAAATTCTCGTACCTGTCTGGAGCTCGATTTTCGACGCGAGAGCACACAACGGCCGCACGTACTCCTCAGAGACCTGGAAGGTGCGGAAGGCGACGCGTCTGATGCACGCCTTGAGCTGTCTGAAGGCACGGCCAGCCACGGCAGCGTTGGGCGTGTAGATGCGACAGGCGGCGTACTTGGCACCGAGACGCGCATCGATAACGATATTCGTGTTTGTGCGACGCTGGATCGCGAGTACGCGCGCGCGCTGGATCTCGAGCACCTCCGCTAACCGATACGTGGCGAGTGGGAAAACGTGGGGGGTGGCAAGACCTTCCACTCGCTCTTCGAGCGCGTGTAACACCTCCTCACACACCTGGTTGTCCGGATGAATGATTTGCAAAGCGTAGCCGTCGGGGTCAGCATCGGCCGTGAAAGCCACGCCAAACTGGGTCTCGAGGTCTCGGAGGAAGCTTCCCTGGGAGCCTAGCACCGCGAGCCACTGGTTACGCGGGATTTTTATAGCTATTGTGGTGCCATTTACCGGAGTTTGGGATATATATGGCGGAACTTCCGGTTTGGCAGCGGTTTTGGCATTGTATCTGGCAGCTTTCTGGAGGACGTAGCGGGAACTCTGTGCCGTAACTAGGAGTCGAAGCTGGACAGAGGGATTGAAGCTGTTTCTAAAGACCACCAACGGCTGGAAACGTAGCATGAATGGGGTTGTGAGTGGTGGGGGTTGTTTTGGCGAGGGTATGGAAAATTCGTGATTTTAATTATGGGCTTGAAAATTCGGGCATATTTTGCAGGATTTGAGAAGGAGGATCAAAATACGGGAAGATGTGAGGAGTAAGAGAATAGCACGTGCAGACCAAGGATTAATAAAATAGATGGAAATTTTGTTAATAACAATTTCTAGTAAAGATATGCTAATAACCACGGTTTAATGAGAAACCCGGCGAGCAAGTGGTGTAAATGATGCAGGTAAGTTATGGGTAAACGAGGAATAGCAACCAAGAAGCATAAGCGAGACAGGGAAGTTTTTTTTTTGATCGAAAAATATTCGGGTGAGAAATATCTTAATAATATCTAGTGAATAGTTCTAAAAAAAATTAATCTTTTTATTCTGAAGTAAGCGAAAATTTTGTGGAGTACGAGGGGAGCACCGGAAGGAATGAGTGAGTATCCAAGCCATGAATTATTTTCAGCTCACTAGAGCTTTCTGGGAACCACCTTTAATTTTCAGTTTATTAAAACTAAACTAAATATGAGGCTGGGCGAAGCAAAGAGGTCCTATGGAAAAAAAAAACCCTACAAGGGATTGCGTTAGGCCGAGTTAACAGGCTGTAATTTCCCTCATTCCTCCATTTAGTGAAAAATCTGAATATTCCTTTATGGTACTGAAAATCAATGTGGTTCTTATCCGGGGTAGAGCAGTCCCATAGGGTTTCGCCTATATCACGTGATACTCATTGTGCGAAAATTACAATGTAAATTCGAGAACTCGGTAAATTCGAGAACTTGTAATTCTCGAACTCTAGCTCGAATTTCTCTCGCTTTCTGCGAAAGCCTACGAATGGCCTGCAGCATAACTGTTTACATTCGATAGTACGACTGGTCACTGAACACCACCCAATAACATAATTTAGCGTTCAATGGATGAATCTCTTGACAAATCGACGCTTCACCCCGTCAGATTCGACTCAAAATATGATGTCGCACTCCTCAAAGACGTCCTAGGCTACTCGCCGCACGTCAAGGCGAAACAGGCGCGGCGAGAGGCCTGGGAGAATGTCCACATGGACTTTCAGAAATATGTCGTCCAAGACAACAAGCACTCAACGTTGAGACAGTGCCAGGACCGGTTGAAGTATCTTGTGACGAAACCCAAGTTCATGGAGGTGGACGAGGGAGACGATTTTTCGTACGAACGTCGCGAGCTCTTGGCGAAGTTGGCGTACGAGGTGAAGCAGTTTGAGGAGTCGTTCCTGACGCCAGTGGCAAAGCTGCGCAAGACTGCGGGCGAAATCGTGTTCCGTGCGACACCCGAGCGTAGGCGTACGCGCGACGACTCCGACTCTGATCTTGACCCTGAGTTGCCTGCTTCTGCGCTCGCCGTCATGAATAGCAAGCGCCCCAGAAGTGACGCGCTTACCGCCTTGAGTACCAAGCATCCCAGAAGCGATGCAATGATGTCTGACGAGCAGTTTTTGGTCGAACTCGCGGAGCGGTTGCTGGCCGCGGAGCGCACGCGTATAGACGTGACGCGCGAAATCGTGCGCGAGGAGTGCGCACGTATGAAACGCGAGATTGTCGAAGACATCCTTGCCGCGCTCAAGGGGGGTGAAGCGAACGGTGAGGCTAACGGCGAGGCGAGCGCGTAGCGAACACGCAGCGTGAGCAAGCTCCATGTGTACTATAATTAAAGGTTGCGAAGGAAAAGTGAGCAAGCGTGTAGGTTGAATGAGGTATTGGGGGGGATTTCGAGTATAATTAAATGACTGGGGAGTATGGATGTTAGGAAGGGCCATCCTCGTCTGTTTAACGTAACAATGCACCAGGACTGTATCTGGATTGCTTTTCTAAACCATGGTTTAAAAGACTACTAAATAAGGAGGTTAATGGGAGTTTCTGTTGGCAGCTACTTTATTGATTAAGCTAGAAAATGAGAAGAACAGTCCCGGCACTTTATTTGCTTTTAATCTATCGGTTGAATAGGCTCACTAGGGAAATAGACCTCATCTGAGTTTGTCACGTAAGAGATCTTTGCACACATATCTTGATTCCTCTAGAATACGTTTTTAGGTATGCATAGAGACGACATGGATGGAAGTGGTAAACTCTGGCAGAAGTCAGAAGTGCTGTAAAGACATACCATCATTAGGCTGTCAGCCAAGCACTTCAAAAACAAGCTTCACAAGTAGCTATTTTATCTAGCTCACCAGTTTTACCTATGAACAAAAGGGGGAACTCAACATCTCATAAATTCAAGGGGTAGCAGTATATACAGGGGGTGCTAACCGCCGTTAAAATCTTTAACTATTGTCCAAATGGTACACCAGATAGAACGTCATGGGTGAAACAAACCTAGCCACATAGATGCTCAATTACCCAGTTATCAAGCAGCAAAATCCAACAATTCAGTTAAATCAATACCTTCAGTCTTGATCCCAATTGTAGCTAAAACCCATCCAGAACCCATCTATAACTCCCATTACTTGAACAAAACATTGCTTCTCTCAGAAAACCGGTCTCGTGGTGTACGCTTGCGCTCCTTTGGGTCTCTGTTCAAATTTATCTTCATACCGTCAACTCTCGTCCTTTCCTTCGCCCAGAGCTCTTTGTACTCCTTCGAGTGCTTCAACGTTTCCTCGTAGATTCCCTCGCTTTTACGTGGATCGCCCTTGAGTCTCGCCCCAGCATGTTTTAACGCTTGCAGGGCCACAATTGCAGTCACATCGAAAATACTCTTGCTTTCCTTCCCTTGGAGCCATCTTTCGAGCCAGTACACAGCGGCGCCGGTCGTATCGTACTTTTTAGTCGCCTTGTTATACATCATTTTCTGTTTGGCGATTGCCTCAAGCAACTCGTCTATGTTATTCGTCGGATGGGGAAGATACTGCTTATAGGCCTTGCCCGTGTCATCCTGACGGTTGAGCAAATACAACAAATAATCCGCCTTGACCACTTGGTCAATCACACTGGGGCTGACAGAGCCGATGAGCGACAAAACAATCATAGTTTCCTCATCTGGGGCCTGGGGAAGGAACACTCCGGGGGTGTCGTATAATAAAATGTCTGGGTTTGAGTGGATACGGATGATTTCGGACGTTGCGCGCGTCACGCCTGGCTGTCCGCCTGTACGTGCGACCTTGCGCTTCGCGGGACCACAGCCAGCAGTGCGTAACCCGTTGACGAGGGTAGACTTACCCACATTGGGCATGCCTGTGATCATACAGCGGAGGCCGAGCGGCGGGCGGGGGAACATGCCCTCATAGAACTTGATGGCCTCCAGGATCACCTTTTTGGCGGCGTTTTGGTTGCGGCAGTCAATGTACATGTATTTTTCGCCTTTGTGCCAGACGTCGAGGAGCTGTAGGTTAGTACTTGCCGAAGCGAGGCGAAGGTGAGAGGCCAGGGCCCAGAAATCGGGTTTGAAACTGCGTTGCATGCGAGCCACCGTCTGAACCAAAAAGGCCAGCAGTTTCAGCAACAAGGTGGCCCAGAATATGAAAAGGTGAGTACCCCAGACATACGAAAAAGCTATCGCAGCGTTTGGGGGTACCATCTCCAAAGCTCTCCAGGAACCGTGACGGCGTGTAGGGGCATCCTGATTGCCCCATCCTGGTCCTATCTCCACCTTCGTTAATGTGGACACATACCTTTTTGTCGATCCCGCTGAGATCATTCTTTGAGTACAACACGATCTTGTCCTTGTTCTGCAAGGACCGGTCGAATAAGACATTGCGCGAGGAGATGGGCGCACGCGAGTCGCGCAACTCGAAGACCAAGTCGATCTGCGGCGCAAGCTCGGAGATGCGCTTCAACGCCTTGACGTGGTGACCCTTAAAGTCCGTAAGCACCATGCGGTACTTTGGGAAACTCATACGGGGAATAAATGGCGAACTCATCGTAATGCTTAAAGAAGGAAAGGTGGCTTGAAGGCGTAAATGTGAGTTTTTTCTATACATATTTTTCTGCATGGTGAGATTTCTGCACGCCAGTGCGGCGCGCGATGAGCTGAAAAAAAGAGTCCAAAGTTCACGTCTGAGTAAGAGCTATTCTGACCTCACCCATACATCATGCCACTAGTAGTTTTCACAGGGTTACCGAGTTCTGGGAAGTCGACATGGGCGAGAAAGCTCGTGGCACAGTTGGAGACACGGATTGCGTCGCTCACGCCAGGTGAGCCAGGTGCCAATATGAAGGTCACATACCATTCAGACGAGTCCCTTGGGATCGTACACGAGTCGTACCGCGAGTCACGCACGGAGAAGTCGCTCCGTGGAGTGCAGATGTCTGCTGTCAAGCGTGATCTCGCACGCAACAATATCGTGGTGCTTGACTCTCCGGCGTACATCAAGGGCTTCCGCTACCAGTTGCACTGCGAGGCAAAGGCGCTCGCCACGAGCTACTGCCTCGTGCACGTTATGGCGCCAGTGGCAATGTGTCTCACGTGGAATGCAGCCTGCGAGTCACCGTGGGATCCGCAGCTCTTGACGCAGATGGCCATGCGGTACGAAGAGCCGAATGAACAAAATCGCTGGGACTCACCGCTATTCGCGCTTGCGTACGACGAGTCCGAGTTACCGTTTGCCGACTTGTGGAGCACCATCGTCTTGAAGAAGGGCCCCACGCCCAATGCCGCCACCGTCCTTAAGCCCGCCTCCGGGACGAACTTCTTGCAGGAGTTGGACAAGGAGACACAGGCGGTAATCCAGAAGATTGTCGCCCACCAACAGCTCCAGGCGACTGGCGGGAACGTAATGGTTGCCGCTGGTGTGTCTGTAGAGCTTCCGCCAAGACCCGTGTCGATTGCGCAGCTCCAGCGCATCCGCAGGACGTATGTTACGTTGAATCGTATGCGTACCGTGGATGTCGAGCGAATCAGCCCGCTATTCGTGGACTATCTCAACCGGAGTTTGAACAATGAGGAGTCTATTTAAAATAGGCAAGAATATGCCTAGCAGGTTCAGAATAACTTATTTAGGAGCGTTATCGGGAATATATATATAGATAAACGAGTAGGTTTGATAATGTGCATACGAGTAGATAAGAGCGTGTGAGTAGATGGAAATCAGCGTCTATCAAGAGGCTTAGGATAAAGGGCTGGAAATGCGCCATACCGAGCTATCTGGGTAGTTACAGCTGCCTTAGTATATCTCAATACATTTCATTACTATTTACAAGCCTTTATACACGGTATTTCCTAATTCAACGCCTGCTCTCTAATGTCAAGATAGCTGTTAGGCCCAAGATCGGGAGACAAGGTGATTAACACCTTTCTGACGGCTGCCCTAACGTTTTCGTCGTCGATATCCACGCCGCAACTTCTCATCTGGGGATACAAATGGTCCAAGACATGGGTACAGGCACGAAAGTCGCCGGTCTGCGCCACAAGCGTATACATATAGATCCACGGACGGGTGTCGATGACAGAGCCCTCGCCAGCTTCTATACCAACGGAGTATGTGCCGGCAATTTCCCAGAATTGGAAGAACGCCCGCCAGTCGCGAGCAGAGGCATAACCGGATAAGACCAACGCAGTGAATTCCTCAGACTGCACCAACTCGGGCAACTGGCCGATGCTGGAGAGAAATCTAAGTACAGAGTCCATCGTTCTTTTACCATATGCAACGGCCTCAGAGGTTGCAGATGCTTCGAGAGAGACACTCGATGGTTGGAGGAAACCAGAAGCAGCCAGCTGGAGCGTGCACTGTACCAAGACGCTGGCAAGGACTTTGTTCCACGGAAAATCTTTGCCCTGAACCAAGAACACGCTTTCCAAGAGCTCGGAAACCATGTCAAACTTCAACTCCGCTACCAAGTCCATGTGCTCGTTGGTCGCAAAGAACTGTGGGGAACCAGAGACCGCTGCAGCGTAAAACGTGACGTCATTCATGGAGACCAAGGTCCCAGCCGCCTGCTGTGCCACAAGCGACTGCTTGACGAGCGATAGCGGGTAGACTTGCGGATCGATCTTGTGAAGGACGTAGAGAAACTGGGTGCGGGTCTCCCAGTGCACGCGCGTTGGGCTCAACGGGAAGACTGCGTCGAATTGGGAGACGATTTCAGTCGTGAGTGAAGCATCAGCACCCTCTGATTGAATTCTTTTGGCTTGGGAAACAAACGATTCCAAAAGAAGCGTGTGGTGATCGTCAGTTACGTGTGTTGCTTCCTTGACCATCATCGAGCAGGCGGAGTAGTCCCCGCGTTTGGCGTAGTTTTCCAACATCTGGGTGAAAGATTCGGCTTCAACATCCATAGCTTCAGCAGTGGTGGCCATTCTCCGTCTAGCCATCGTGTGGTACCCTCTGACACCACTGAAGATGTCATCAGAGGCAAAATTTTCGGCTCTGGCTACATCATACACCGCTTTATCCTCCTTGGAGCACCATAAGTATTCCAAGTTCAATTCCACGCGTCTGTCCTTGGTCAAAAAGTTGACACAAATCCCGTCAAAGTTGCATTCTACCATGATCCAGCTGTTCGAAACCACGCCGTAGTCGTCATCCACATTAGAGGATGTCCGTTTGCGCGCGCGCTTTTGCAAACGCTTGTGCTGCAACTGCATCGCGGCGTTCTTGATCAAACCTTCGGAATATGGCACGGCATTGTACTCCAGCTTCGCAAACTCCGTTAGCGCCGTAGCAGATTTGATCAAGTGGCGGGGAGAGCGCCCGGTGGCCACGACCATGTAGTCACCCAATGCGCGAGCACCCACCTCTTCATCTGCAAGTTCCATGTCAAATACTTTGATATCGGATAACCCGAGTTTTGATTGAAGGTGCTCCACAACGGAGACCAAGGATGGAGGAGAGTCAGGTGGAAGCACCGGGAAGGGTTCACCCACGGGCAGGCCTGAAACAGAGACGGATTCGCCGCGCAAGTACCAGGGGGAGGCATCGTCATCTAGTTCATCCATTTCTTCCAAGTCTCTTTCAGCAGAGGTTTCGGTAGAGGTTTCAGCAGAGATTTCGGCTTCCCTTTCTCTAGTTATTTCTTCCAACCTCTCATCTTTAGAGATACCAACAGCAATTTCTTCAAAGCCTTTGATACCATCAATCGACGGAATCTTCCTCTGTGTGGCGCTGTAGCTGAAGCGCTGGGTGGCGTAGATGGCGGAAATGTGCGGGATGTGTGGGACGGCAAAACCTCTCGGTACAACCTTTCTAGCTGCCACAGCTATGGTCTTTCTAGCAGCTGTAGAGTACATAACGAAAGCAATAAGGGATGAGGTCAGCTTAGATTTGATAGATTTGCTCAGCGTTTAAATTTTCAGTATCCTGCAAAATGAAAGTGGAGGTTCGCACGTGACTCGCGCGACGCGTAAAACACGAACCCACGGACTTACAGAAGACCCTACAAATAGTGAACTTAACGTTACTGCAAAAGACCCATTCAGATATCGCCAACATCTATCCAATGAGCTCACCAGCCCCCATAATGCTTGAATCACTCAAGCTAGAGATTAAGACTTGGGAGCACGCATTTAGCACCCAGAACGGAAGACCGCCCCAGAAGGAAGACATCAAGCGCGACGCCGCCATTGCCCAGAAGTACAAGCACTACCGCACCCTCAAACTAAGTAGCACGAAACCCAAAACATCGGAAACTACCAATACGCCTGCGTTGCCCGCTGTCACCTACGATGCGACTACCGTGTCCCACAATGTAACGCCCATCAGATCCCGCTACATTTCACCCTCCGTCTTCCAGACCCAAACGCCCATCAAAACGTCGCCTACTTCTGGGCTCTACGATTCGCCGCTGGGGCCGTTTCTGTTCAAAGAGCTAGGTCCTACACCACAGCTTGATGGCCGGGTGATGGGTTTGTTTGAAATCATCACTACACCCGGGTCTACCCCCGAGAAGCCAGCCCCTGCTCCTTCAGTCCCAGTGGAAGCCACCCAGAGAGAATTCACAACACCATCCAAGCGCCCCAGACGGTTGAGTTTCGGTAGTTGTTCGACGCCTACGCGGAAACACCTCAACTTCGATCCTTCAGAGGACATGCCCTCTCCCCGGAAACTAACCAGTTCCCCCAAACGGGCAAATCCCAGAACCCCACAGCACCAGATGGCTGCGGCATCGGCAGAAACCCCATCGGCGTACTTTCGCGCATCACGCAGCCATATTGCCCCCACAAAGACCCCGGTAAGAGCCCCCGGGGCGCTCTCGTTGACATCTCCGTCGCCGTTTGGCCCCTCGCGTAACGTCCGTAAGTCGTTGTCCACTATGTTTAACGAGATTCAGTCGTTCCTGACGACCAAGGAGGATGAAGAGGTGATTCAGGAGTTGCATCTCCAGCGACAGATCGAGGCAGAGGAAGCAGAGATGGAACGCATGATCGCAGAGGACCAGGAGCGAAACAAGGAGGTTGCCCGGAACTACAAAGGTGGGAAGCCGTGGAAGAAGAAGGGCCAGAAGAGAACTACCCGAAAGGTGCGCATCAACGTCGATCCAAGAATGGTTGCCGAGAGAATGAAGAAGTCTCAGTAGATCGTACAAGGTATATGAGATTTGCTGTAGCCTGATAGGGCGATCACAGGCTCTTCTCAATGAGGATAGCTATATCTACCCGCGTCTTTATTTCTAAATACCGTGGGCTGTGTTTCAGGTTTTGTAAATTAGAGATTTACGCTGTGTGGCTATAGTTGACTGTATGGCCAGACCCACGTTTTAGGAGCTCATTGCAGATGCACCAGGTGCATAGTATAGGTTATCTAAAGTATGGGAGTTTCGTAGGGTGCATAGCCGCTAATCTAATGACGTCAATCGACACCCGTCAAAACATATACTGTTGCTTAAACCAATATGGATTGAATATGATTCAATCATCGTCTAGTTTTCGATTACGTGCAATATAGTGTATGGCCAAGGTCGTAGCAATCTCCGTTTAGACGTCAACATGTCTGGGTCGACTCTTTTCCAGCTCATTACCACTCTGAATTAAAAGAGAAGCAATCGCTAACTTCCACCAGAGACCTGCACTATGATACAGCCACACTGATATTCCGTTAGCATATAGCATAATTGAGCCAAGTGAAACTAGTGGGGGTGATGGCGTAGGATTACGAGGATAATCCAACCTTAAAGACCAATTGAGACTGGTGTGTCTGTTTTGGTCTTGGACAAAGTCTCTCTAATTTACCATTGACGACTCATTTTAACCAAAAATTATAGTTTCCGGCCAACCTTGTTTTTACGAGAGTTTAAATATCCCTAAAACTGTAAATATAGTATTTCGCTGATAACCCCCTGAAATCCATTGATAGCCCCTGACACCCCCAAAGGTATCTCCCTAAGTTCTACGATATGAATTAGGTGTAATTGTATTAAAAATCAGAGACCAGATATAATCAAAGAAATGAATGGATGAATCAGTCCAAGAGTAAGGATTGTGAGTGTATATAAGTGTATCAAGGCAAGTGAAAAGAACTGAAGAAAAAGATTAAACCAAAAATGCAAAGGCCAAAAGGCGAGAAGTGAAAAATAAAACCTAGGAGATAAAACCGAGCCGTAAAAAGAATAGAAAAGGAAGCTACCAGCACTTCTCGTAGATGATGCTCTCCTTCTCACCGATAGCCTGCTTCTTTTGGCGTTTCTCCTCGCGCATACGATTGATCATCTGCATCGCATCGATGACATATTTGTTAAGACCGGTAGAGGTCTGCAGACGTGGGGAGGACGACGATAGCTCAGGAATGGTGTGTCTTTCATCGTCGTTAACAGTGGTGGACGACAAGGAATAGCTGCGGAACGAGAATTGGGAGGAGGCCAAGGACACGAGCGACGTGAACGACGGTCTGGAGACAGGCGCGGTCGGAGGAGGGCTCTGGTTCAAGCTGTACATCGACTTAAATAAGACCGACAACGAAACCAAGACAGATTCCACGCTGAACCATGGGAGTCCTGTATTGGTTGAAGGATTGACCACTGACGCTTTAGGGGCATCCTTCCCAGCAGAGATGAAGTCCGAGATGACACCCTCGACCAAATATTCAAAGTCGGTGCCCTTGGCGCAGGCGTAGCATGCATGCCCCAAGGAGTAGACGACAAAGTCGAGTACGATGAGAAGGAGGATAGGCACCGCAATCAACGAGCCAAGAAATACAGATAAATAGGTGATATAGGATGACCACGACTCGAAAGACGGAAAGACTTCAAGCACCTTGGTCAGAGTGTGTGTAAGCGCCACAAGGGTGTTGGAGGTGTAAAAGGATGTATCGCTAATCATTGTGTTTATCAATACGAGCCAGTAAGGTACGGGTAACAAGAGGCAGGGAGGCTCTTTTAAGGGGTATTTGTAAACAGATTATGTGATAAGAGAGTGCGCTTTGCTGGCTAAAACGTTTCGATGTGTTCTAGATTGCTTTTGCTTTCTGCTGCGCGAGGAAAAAACAAGGGCGTGTGCAATACAAGAGTTTAGGTCCGAATGGAAAAAGTTTTTTTGTTTGCAATAAAGCTGTGGAAGATGAAGCAATGGAGTAAATGGCTGAGCAAAGAAAGCAAAGATGGTTGAGTGGTAGAAGATTGGTAGACGGTGAGGGAAAAAAAATAAACAGATACCAGGAGGTTTATATATTCTGCCGGTGGAGTGATTTTTTTGCCAGGCTAGGGGTGAACTAATTTCCCGAATCCGATTCGAGGTGATAAGGGGCGCACTCCGAGAAAGTTTTTTCTCCGTTCCGGAATTTCCCTCTGTTACGTTTAACTGTGCGGTTTCCCTGCACAAAGCGCTAACCACACCTGATAGTCTTACATGTGATGCAAAAATTGCTCTGCAAATACAGAGTTTGACGTGCAAGGTGCATGGGACGCACCTCAGCGCCGGAGTGCGTAGAGCGCCACTCTATTGAAAGCGTTTTTTAGGTGATGAAGTTGTGTGAAGCCACTCGGAGTCCACTAAAATACGGATCACCGTAGTGTTCCGGGGCTGGGGGTGCCGACAATACGGATGTATGCTGACTCGTTAGTAAACCAGGGGGCTCGAAAAGTAATACATGCCCGACAAGTAGTGGAGACCTGGATCCATTCAATTCCAAAAACGGCCCCGCCCAACAAAAAAACAACGTGTATATATTAATGTGTGTCTGGTTACTGTATATCGTTTGGTTAATAAGATTTATGACGTCTAGGTGTGCCGCCGGCGCACCGGAGAGTTTGATACACGGAGTCGATCTTACAAGATGATTTTCGGAGGCAAAGTGCAGGATGGGCCAAGGCTGGTAGCAGATCTCAGTGCCGGATGTTTTGCACCGTCTGAAGAGGGCATGCAGATGTGGTAAGTCCAGGTCTATTTTAGTTTCTGCGATTTTTACCGAGCTGATAAGTACGTAATTAACCGGTCAATAAAGCAACTAATTTGGTTCAAGCTTTAGATACCACGATAACTCCTCTGTAAGGCTAGACTCGTTCAACGTGAGTCCATGAAAATATTATAAGCTATTAAAGTTCGGCATTCCCGTAGTCTTTGGGGTGCTATTCTCGATCGGGATAAGGGAAGAAAAGAAAACCGAATACGGAGAATGGCATCTGAAGCACGCCTTAGAAACAAGGACTTGGCATAAACGCAGGAATCCCCAGCCTGCACCACAGCTTTTATTCATGCTGATTAGACGGTATGCATCTATCTTTCGGGTGGTAGTCCGGAATGCCACCTTTTTTTGCCCAAGAGCCTCTAAATTCAAAATTAAGGTTCATATTCCCGAGGTAGGTGCGCTGTACTTTTACTAGTTAAGCCGCAGGGCTCATGGACAGCCTAGTGAACTGTGGACCTCGGCCCAGTCCCAAGTTCCAGCTCTACTGAGCTTTCACATGGAGTTATAGAACAGGCCGAGCCGGGGGTAGCCAAGTACCTCCCGAATGTTTTCGGTTTCTAACCTTTTTCGTTTAACAAAAAAACCGAAACATTGTCTCAGCCTTATAAAATAGTTAGTCGGCGATCCGAGAAAAATACCCACCGAATCTTTAGCGGATTGTAGAACCGGAATCGGGCAACAAGAGTGGTGCGATAATGCACTATTTGATATTAGCTTTCATACGGCCAGCCCATAAAGGCTTAGCGTATGAATTTTATTACTGAAGCCAAATAGTGAAGGGATCAGGGGGATTTTCACACTTGCGTTGAGAAGCCAATTTTACATTCGTATAGAGATGCAATATATACTGATTCCTAACACCGGTATGAAAGAGCTGACTAGAGACACCTTCGAAATATAACGCTACAGTGACTATACCTTCCAGAAATACCATTGGTTAAACCTTAATAGTGATACTGCCGACTAAACTCTTGCCGAATCGTACTACTGACTTATTGGGACAATAAATTGAAAGATGTACGACCGGGACACGTGTAATTTCAAGGGCATACAACAGACTATCAACCATCAATAGCATTACAAGCTATATGACTAAGAGGTATGTGTAAAGGCGAGGTAACCTGGGGAACAAACTACCATGCCTTGGGCTGAGCCGATATCTCATTGGCACATGGGCATATAATTCGGACTTCAAGCCGACAAGAATCTTACGACTTCTGGACTTCTCTTAATTCCACAATTTCCTTACGCCTGAAAAAAAAGGCAGGGTCCGGTCCGAGGCTTAGGCGAAAATACACCAGGTGTTCTCAACTATATGCGGCTGAGAATTTGACTCCGGCTTGCTCGCTCATTTGCCATGTGATAGAAAGCAAGGACGCGGCGCCGATCTCATGCACGCACTGTTCCACGGCCTCCCGGTTCTTTCCATAGAGGATATTGATTAGATCGATGAATCATAGTACTTAGCTATATATCGATATGGGAGTCGTAGATAAGAAATGGACCGAATCGTCGTAAAACTAATGTTTCCCCATCTGTTTCCCCATCTGTTTCCCCGTCTGCTTACATTTACCCGCAGAAATATTGAATGCAAAACTGTGGAAATGCTTATCTAAAGCGCTACAGAAGTGTGTGCCGCCTTGACCCTTCGTACTGTAACACATTAATAGCTTTTCGTCTCTACAAACCATTATCTAGCAACTTCTATGGACGTAAGCGTAATCTTTAACCGAGACAAAAGCATATTTTTCCTAGAATATCCAATTCATCAATACTAGGAAAGCTAAACCAGTTTCCCGGTATTACTGTTCAAGACCGGAGCCTCCGATGGTCGATAATCACGGTTAGACAATTTCTCTTCCTGGGAATAATTCTAAAGTACCAAATATCGTGAAATGAGTCAGATTTTGCCGGATATATGTGCACACAGTTGTGTAGCTCTCGCTTCGGCGGTAGCGACCAGCATTGAACTCTATTTCCCCGTACCACATCACTTCACATATATTCAATAGGACAAACTGCGCTTCTGGCACCCATCACTTTTGTGCCTTGCAATAGAGCTGAGGATAATTATGAAATTGGTGGATTAGCATTGAGAACCTCCAACTGGTCGATGGAAATATGTGTACCAACCAGTACACGTGATAACATGAAGACCTAGGAGAAATGGGCATTTCCTACACTGGTTACGCTTAGTTACCCGGATCACAGACTCTTCGCTCCAGTGTGAAATTTTCAGCTTTGTTATCTAGTATTTATTCATGGTTACACCACACTAGCTACACTCCCAAACAGCTTCTTTACCGAGTATGTCCAACGTACTAAATAGTATGTATATCCCTCCTGGATATACCCCGATACGAATCCCTTCACAACGCAACCTAAATGATGAACAACCTCGAATTTTAACCTTATCTACATTATCTGAAATTTATTGAAGATAGAATTCACAACTTGTCTGATTCTAGTTGCACACGAAACGTATCGGGGTCTTGGCCCCACCAACGCTTATACTAACCAGTAATTTAGATTCCATAATTTAGTTACGGCTCAATATAATTAATATCCTTCATAGAATAGTAAACATCAAATATATGTAGTAAACAGCACGCGGGGTAGTAGCCCTCTCAAAGTTTAGACTTGGCCCGGGCCTTTTTAGCCTCCGCCACAATCTGCTCGTACTCTTTGAAAATGTTGTCATACCTGGCTTCAAAAATTTCATCACGCTGCTTGTCGGTGAGGGTAGCAGGGAACTGCTTGCCCGCCTTGTTCGCTCTCTGCACTGCTTCGTTAATGTGATCGATGATTACCGCAATGGTTTCGTCTGGCATCTCGCAGTTGACCAAGTGCTCACCATTTTCAATCTCTACCCCACGACAGTTAGGGATTTCGGATCTGATGTAGCTTCTACCAAAGTCCGGGTCGTTCCAGGTGGACTTGCTACCCATCACGTGGGTTACCGGGATATTGATAAACCTTAGGATTGGCATACCATTAGTAATGGCATGCCTGGCACCGATATAGGCGACCATCTGTTGCTTCTTGCAAGCCTTCACAGTGATAATGTCTTCGCCATCGGCGTCTTTCCCAGCTATCATCTCGTCTTCTAAAAACGGTTTCAACACCTTCTGGGGGATGTTCTTATAGAAGGAGTATTTGGTCATGAATTCCACGAAATCAGCTTCATCCTCAAACTGATCCTGGATGGCAAAATCCAACTTTTTAAGCATCTTGTAGCTTGACGAAACAGCATAAGCGTATTGTTCAGGGGAAATCTGATCCGCTGGGATCAAAAGCTCTTTGCTGGAAATCACCGGTTCAATGGCGATGATCGACTCGAAGAAGATTGGCTCCAAGTAGGCAGCATACAAAGCGGTGAACCCACCTAACGAGTGGCCAATGCTGATAGTGATGGATTCCAGATTCAAAGACGATAATTCCGGTTCGTTCTTGACCACGCACAATGCATCTTTCGCATTGTCCGTCCAGTTGTGCGTGACACCTAACTTTCCAGCGTTAGCCACCATTGAATCGCCGTGGTTGATGGCGTCAAACGCGACCACCGTCCCCAACTGCCATGGCAAATTCCCAGCGGCCAACTCATAGAGTTTTTCAATGTGGTATCTCCAAATACTCTTGTTCATGCCGGTACCATGGGCAAAAAGTAAGTTAACCACCTTCTTATTCTTCTGCGGCAGCGAAACAGTGTACTTAGCGTACCCAATGACAGGCCTGTCGTCCTCAGAAAGCAAAGAGCCTTCCGCACGGGCGTAATGGGCCGGCACGGACTTCAATTCGTAGATAAAGGACATAGCGGTGGAGCAGATAGGATAAGTAGAGGTGTTAACAGTAGGAATATATTAGCAATGCTAGTAGTCCTCAGGGAGAAGATAGGAACAAACTAGTATATTAGTATGCTTGATGTTGTATACAATGGACTGTATTTATTAGCGCTGCTCGTTAATAACGCAATGCTTACAGAACGTCCGAAAATGTGGGGGATTCGCCCTGCGTATATAGTGCGCGAGCCGAAGGCCGAAGCTAAGTTTTCGTTAAGAGTAAATTTAGCCGAGAGCATGTGATTCGCAGTTATTTCAGGTAACGGCTTTTTAAATCTATCATAGAAACTAGCGGTATTAGCGGAGACGTTAGTAGTCCAAGATTATAGAGTTAAATACTGACTAATAGCAGCTCCGAAACCTTTGCCAAATCTTCCCATGACCAATTTCGCGTGACCCATCTCAGTCACATCGGATTTCGGCATTAAATGGCTAATAATGTTTACAAAGCAAAATAAATAAATAAATACAGTATACAAAATAATAGATAATAAGAGCTATAGCCCAGAGATTGGCCACTAAGTAGGTGGAAGGGTAAACCTGGTTGTCCCTCACCAGATCCTAGGTTTCTAAGAATTATTCTTTAATTCTCTCAATTGGGTCATGATATCACCTGACTGGCCCTTCTTCAACCCAGTAGCCTTCAACACCGCCGGGTCGTCCAATCTCATAAACGGATTGAACGATTTTTCATCCTTGATAGTGAATTGCCCGGTGGTGATTTCGTTGTTCCCCGCAAAGATCTCTAAGATCTCCAAGTCACTGTTCGCGGGCAAAACCGTTTTGGAAAACTTGACGTTACTCTTGGTGTATTCGTGACCTGGGTATACCACTGTCGCGTCTGGTAAGCCCCCCAAGACAACGTTCAACGCCTGGTGCATTTCCTCACCAGTGCCCTCGAAGAATCTGCCACAACCAGAAGTAAACAAGGTGTCGCCCGTAAACACACACTGCTCGCCGGTCTGGCTGTCCTCAACGTAGTAGCAAATGGAGTCCTGAGTGTGGCACGGGGTGTGCAACGCCGTGATCTGCAAGCTATCACCCAAGGTCATTTTCTCCCTGTGTTTAGGGGTGACGGAGACCTTTGGGGAATCTTTTCCGGCAATTAATGGAAGCGGGTAGTTTTCCAACATCTTGGAGTTGCCACCAGCGTGGTCGTAGTGGTGGTGGGTATTGACAATCGCCTTCAAATTGACGTTCAACTTCTCCAACGGCTTGAGAACCCTAAGATGTTAGCAATTGAGCTCAAGGCGCCTGTTTGCGGTACTTACTCTTCTGGCTCAGCAGGGTCGATGATCCAAGAATCCTTGGTCTTGTCATCGGTGAGGACGTAGCAATAGTTATCGCCGGAGCCCCATCTCATGGGAATATATTTGACTTGCATGGTTCTAAGTAGTGATGGTTTAGTGGAGATTCGTTTAATAAGCGGTTTGAGCATTTGTACTAGGAAAGTTCAACCAGTGTGGTGTAAGAGCGATTAATAAGCAAAGGTTGCGAGCCTTAGTTTTGCGTGTAAACCTGGGGAAAAGAGCGTGAAATTAGCTAGTCCTGCACTGAGCAGTGGGTATCTTACAAAGGCTGGAGCAGATGTCTACTTGTGATTACAAGATGTCTCGAAGTTCGCAAATACTAATGGTGTGGAAACTAGAAAAAAAGGTTTAATTTACCAGGAAATTATAATTTTGAACTTTACAAGGGTAACAATTGCAGTTGCCGCTGAAGCAATGTCTAGTAGCTGGTTGTACCTGCATAGAGAACTGTGGTATATCTAGTAGGTAATAGTGGATACTGTTAGCTAGCTAAAAGAGAATACTTCCTATGTAAGATATCTACAAGAAAAGGGTAGCCGGTGGTCTTATATACTGAGGTGAATACGATGCCAGGGTGTTCGCTTATCAGGAGTAAGGGAACAATGGCCTCCGACTTCCGTCTAGTTAAATGGCACCTTTACTACAAAAACTAACTTATAACCAATTACCTAAATTGCGCATGCCACTTTTTGGTCCTGTTACAAAATCTATCCCTCAGCCAGTTAATAAAAGTAAGAATTCGTATCAATTAACCTAATAATAGAAGTTCGAAGCATAATTATTATTGGAACACACCTCACCCTGACTTCCTACGCTGCAAATTCATAACAATAGTACGCTAAATCGAAGACATGGAACCCTTACATAAAATATAACCCCAAACCTTACTCCGACATATGCTCAGGCTCAGTCTCGACATCTGTCAAATCCTCATCCACATCGGTATCATGGTCTGATATCCCACGCCGTCCGGGACTTCCCTGAAGCATGCTCATGGTAGGCCCGACGGGAGGTAGCGTGAAGGGTTGCTTCCCATTGAAAGAGGGAGGCGTTAGGACGCTTCTAGACGGAGCCAGCTTCTGGGGAGACGACAACGACATAAGCGATAACACAGCCTCGTGCTCATCGCTCTGACTTCCCACAAACGAGTTCTTCTTGCGTATCTTCTTCGGTGTCTGGGGATCGCGGTCCACGCCATTTGCGGCACTGATCTGTTTCTTCTGTTGTCTGTTCAACGCGGCTGCTAGCGCGTTATGGGCCGAACCATCGTCCAGCAAAGGGGGCATGGCGTGACTGGACTTTACAGACGAGAAGGTGGGAGAGCCTAATAAACGCGCCGGGGACTTATCGCTCTGATCGGATGATAGCGGTGGAGAGAGCAAGGAGCCTCCACTGGCTCTGCGCGCTCTCCAAAAGGTCTCGTACGTTTTTGCGTCGCTTTTGCGTCGTCCGTCCAACTTATCGCTCTCGATATCGTCCAAGGTTTTGTCCTGCCAGCCCTTCTGCACCTTGACAAAGGCGTAGGAGAGTCGTGTTTTCAACTGGTTGCTGATATCCGAGAGCTGCTCCGGTGACTTCGGTACGGCAAGCGGTTTGGGGGTGAAGTAGATGCTTTTGTCGTCACGTCTGAAGTTGCGCGGCGTACGTGGCGTCTCTAGGTCGTGCGCGCGTGGCGAGGTTATGGCAGAGCGCGGCGACGTGTACGAGTCGCGTATTCCCGCGCTCTCTGCATCCGGGGATCTTTCTCGCTTAGTATGGGTGGGGGTGTTGGGGAGGACGTCCTTTTTTGCTTGGCCTGGGGTGCTGGGGACAGTGTCGCGCTCAGCGGCAGTTTTGGGAGGCGTCACGGGTCTGAGGGCTACCTTCAGCAGCGGTGGCGTGGTTATTTTCACCTCAGATCGGACAGAGGAGACTGACATGGAAGAAGCGGCAAGGAAGGAGTGAGGAATACGCTAGGGACAATGAAGTAGTTGGGAGGGTAATGAATACCGTGAAAGCCAAGAACTAAGACTGGATATCACTGGGCTTAACGTTGAATTCAGAGTAGTGCTGGGTTCGGGTGGAATTAATTGGTTTCGGGTATTGGAGCCCACGAAGCAAAGATAACTGGTTCTGATAAGGGAGGCAAGCGCGGTGGAGGCGTAATGATAAATACAGTGCTGGGTTCGGAGCCCGGAAAAGTAAAGTTGTCTCGGAAGCTTCAGCTGGAGGAAATATCTATAACTATCTTGATTATCTTCAGTACCTGGGATGTATTGTCGATGGCAGATAAGCCGAGACTGTCTACGTCGTTGCCCGGCCAAAACCAAAATTTTCTGTCGGGTGACGCGTGAAGCGTCAACTGTTGCGCACGGACTAATGCGGCAGAAAATTTGATGGGTGCGTGTAGCACGTGAGCATGAGGTCACACATGATGTGCCACATGGCACTATCGCGTTTGTTCCGTATCGCCACAGTTCCAATGAAAGTTTCTGATTTCTAATGAAGTAATAGAAGAGAAATGGTTGGAAAAACCTCTGTAGGAGTCGAAACTGGTGCCAAGAAATGAAATGTCGGGCTTCTAATGGGGTACGTGTCCGGCATATAAACCGGCACTCCCGCTTCCACCGACGCCATAGGGTTCCGTGCTGGTCCATAATGCTTCTGGGAGATATCTCGATTATTTAAAAGATTATTTTCAATGGCGTTCTTCCTCTAAGGGATGAATTGGTTTTGTATTTGATTATTGTTTCAACTGAAGCCCGGCCCAGGCTTTTCCGCGATCATTCGCTAAACTCGAAACAATCACTGTTACATATACCAATCCTGTACATTCATAATAACGGCCCCTCGTTTTTGTCTTCCTTATAACATCCTGCACCAACGGTGTTTATTTATCTCAACTATTTGCCGGATCGGGAAAAGCCAAACATTGCACAAAGTAAAAAACATCCTCCACCTTTAAAACAACCAACCCTCCAAACACTGAGCTAGTTATACCAAGCTATACATATACAGCTAAAATAAAGCTACAATACGGCCATACGACAGCTATCCCTATTCTGTTATTTGCTGCCACGGTGAGTGATATGGTGTACATTTCTGGCGACCCTCACACGCCGCCGTCCACGCAAAAGCTGGTCCGCGAGGAAGGCGTTGTATCACCGTTGGAACTTCTCTCCTCGAAGCTCTTACAGACGCTCTCCCATCTCTCCCATGTATACCACCAGATTGGCTACGACAAAAACTCAATCCGGTTGCATCAGGAAAACATCTTCAAAGACCTCCATCTCATGCTCAAAACACACATCGACGAATCGGAGCGTGAGAAGGTTACATTGCAGGGCGAATGCAAGTGGTTGAAAGAGCAGATCAAGATCCTCCTCATAATCTGCGACGATAAACGGGGAGACAAGACCTTGAACCAGAATGAGCAGACCAACGTATTCAAGGTTGACTGTATGGCACTCGCCGAGTACAAGCACATCACGTTATTAGAACTCAAGATCCAGCTCAACAAGTGCTACTTTAAGGTATTGCTACAGTTCAACGAGTTATACCTCAATCTCTCCAACCTTAACATCACAGCCAAACGTCTTTTGGCCCAAATCCATGACCCGAGCTACCAGTTCCACCATAGGGAGCTAATGGGCAACATGCCAAGCATGGAAGAGTCTCAAAAGTTTCTACAGTTATATACATCCTTCAAAGAGCTGTATTATGCGCTATTCGATACCGGGGAAGACTTGATGGACCAAACCTGCGACCAGTCAGAGATTTTCAACCAAATCAATTCCATATCCACCTCTCCACGCCGAACCCTTACCCAGAAGCGATGCTCGGTCAACTATTCAAACAGCTCCTTGTTTCAGCTTGAGTCGACGGACCACCCCAAAACCAACCTGTGTCAGTCATCTCCTGATCACCCAACGATAGCACGGTTATTGGATCAAAGTACAGATCATCCCATGGTATCCGGCTTGTTCCAGTGTGAAAATCCCAACACTGCTTCTGACCAAATTGTCATGGCGCTACAGAAGCTGAACTTTGAATTGATCAAGCTTGTCAAGTCTGCCAACATCATCCGCCTTTCACAGGAAAATATCCAGACGCTAGAACAGGAGGTGAAACTCTTGAAGCACACGTTGGAATCCCGCAGCCAGAAGCTATTGGGAAGCCTCGATACCATCTCTGAAATAACCAGCGCCATGGAGTTGTCCCCATCAGATTTGCAGTCGCTTCTGCAGTCGCTTCTGAATGGCGAAACGCTTCCCGAGATTTCCTGTATGCGCTCCCTGCCCGTTGAACACCTCCGCTTTACTCCTCTCTTGGAAGAGCTCGTTGGTGTCCTAAACACACGGAAGAACATAATTCAGAAGGAGAAGCACGACCTTCTTTCCCAAATCCATCCGCTCTGGCAGAAACTCAAACAGGACCAGTCGTACATTCAAGGATTTCTCGAACGGAACACGAGGGCGAACGAAAGCACCGTGAAAACCCTTCGAAACGAGCTAGATCGCTTGGTGGCTTTGAGAGCCCAGTACATGAAGGAGTTTATCGAAGACGTGAGGGTGAAAATTGAGACGACATGGGGTTTACTCAGCTACTCTCCGGAGGAAAAGGCGGAGTGGGAATATCACAACAAGAGTTTTGAGTGCACCGAGGGGGTTTTGGAGACGTTTGAGAAATATCTGCAGTCGTTGGAGCACCAATATCAGAAATTGAAGCCACTCCTCCTCCTTATCAAACAGTTTGAAGACTTGATGAATGAAAAATACCAGTTGGAGGAGTCGTCAAAGGATTCCTCCAGACTCCTTTCGAAAGGATCTTCTACCATTCTTTTGACTGAAGAGAGAACTAGAAAGAAGGTGGCCCGAAACTTGCCTAGATTAATAGCTTCGTTAAAAGAGAAGTTATGCAACTACAAAGAAGAGACTGGGAAGGATTTTGCGCACGATGGCACCAGCTATCTCAATACGGTTTTAGAGTTAGAAGCGGAGAATATGCCGTCTAGTGCGCGCCGTGTGCGCCTGATCCCCCCTCAAATGCGAATGGAACATCGACCAGAGATAAGCTCCACAGGGAGTGCCAGAAATACTCTTCCGGCCAGCAGAGATACACCTTTAATCAATAGAACTCTGCTCCCAGCGAACAGAAACCCTCCATCGTTGAGCAGATATCCTTCCTCGGTCAACAGAAATCCTCCTCTCCCATCCAGAAACACCCCCCAGACCAGACAGATGGCCTCCCGCTCCCTCAATATCACTACCCCTAGACCCTCCTCTGCCAATAGACCAATGTGGGGGTCGTCCCACACTGCCCCTTTGTCGACTATCAAAAAGCCGGTCTTCCAAACCACCTCCGCAATCAGAAAGCCTCCAACCAACTCTGGCCCTCGAATCAACCTCTCGGCGGTGCGTCAAGCATTCCAGCCCTCAATGAGAAAGCCGTTGACTAAGATGTCTATGAATTCACCATCTGTATCGCCTATTCGTCGAGGCACGGGCGAAAAGAACCGAATAACAAGCATGTTGCCTTCTATCAAGGTAACGAGAAGGCTTGAGAAGGAGAATATCGACACTGGCTATAAAAATACCCTTCATAACATTGGTGAAGTGGCAAAGAACAAGATGGTGCTACAGCCGTGTCCGCCACCCGCTATAGCTAAGAGATCTCAGCTTCCTGTTTCTGATAAAGACGATTCGCCGTTTATTGATCGCCAGAGTAATTTGAACTTGTATGACAGCACGTACAAGAGTAACGGGAACAAGATCCAGACCTCCATCAATAATTTGGCCGATGAAAGTGTGATGAGTTCAGATATCGGAGAGGCTGACTATGAAACGTGGAAGAATGAGAAATTGAACAACTTCACGGATGAGCTCAGCCCGGGGTGCCACTTCGACTCGGCTCTAATCCATCAGGATGTGATATGAGAGTGTCCAAGTGGGTTTATGCTAGCATTGGTAAGTTCTTTATACTTTGCCTGTAAGAATTTTGGAGTAACAGACTAGACTGTAGATGTAACGGAGTAAGATTTCCAACTTTGTCCCATAGCCCTGTTTATAGGACGGAATACCCCGCAGATCGGATATGTGAAACGACTCCTACCGGGATTCGGCCTTCCCACATTAGCCATTCTCTCGTAAGAAAAAAAAAGGAGGTGCAGGTGCAACATTTATAAACGCAAGGGGTACTCGTATAAGAAAACCCCTCCCGAGTTCATATTCTGAATTCCATTCTGGTTAGCAGAAATCTGTTGGGCAGTTTTGAATTACAAGCGCCAACAGTCATGATCCTACCATACACGTATGAGGTCTGCAGCACGGGAGCGCACCATCCCCGCAAAGCTGGTTCTACCATCCTCCCTACTGATCGATTGGTGGTGGCCTACGCTAGATACCTGCCGCGGGAAGAGCTTAAGAATGACGGAAAAGTCATCTTGAACTTGATGTTTACCCACGGCACGGGGATGAACAAGAGCGTTTGGAGGCATCATATCGACAGGCTCTATCAGCTCTCGTGCAGCCCATCTGTCAATCTACCGTGGAAGTTGGGGAAGGTTTTGGCGATGGATGCAGTGAACCACTGTGATTCCGCTGTTTTGAACAAGCGCAAGTTAGGCCACAAGTTTTTCTGGGGGGATTTTGGAAAGGACGCGCTAGCCATAATGAAGCACGAGGGCTTACGGAACAGCGAGAGTCAGAGAACCATTGGGGTGGGCCATTCGTTGGGAGGCCACGCGATTCTATGTGCGGGGGCGTTTGAGCCAATTATGTTTGATTCCATCTTCGCAGTTGACCCTGTGATTTACGATTCCCATTCCTTCGAAAGGGATAACGTAGAGGTCTGGGATCTTCATAACAAGATCCATCGGAGGATTGAAAAGAATTTGCTTGACCAGTTTGCCAACGAAGAAGAATGTTTCAGATGGTTTCAAAAGGAAGCTTTCTATAACAAGTTCCAGCCAGAGGTGTTGGACTACTTTATGCGGGATGAAGTGATATACAATTCCGATGGAACAGTAAGTTGTAAGACCACCGCAAAACAGCAAGTCGTGGTGTATACATCTCGCGATATCTCTGTTCTGCAAGGACGCACGCTCTTACAATTTATTACATTCCCAGTTTTGCACTTGGTTGGCTCGAGATTCACGTCGCATTTCACCCCAGAGGCCGTGGAGTATATTAGAAGCACCCTCCCAGATGTGACCGGTGCCATGATTGAGAACGCTGGCCACCTTTTGCACTGCGAGCGGTTTGACGAAACCATGGAGATTATGGAGGATTGGTTTACCAAGAGAACAATGTTGGAATTTAGAGGGACTCTGGATGTCTCCAACAGCGATTTGGCCGGGAGGGAAGAGATCTTTTGCCAGCGCTACGCTGAATTGTTTGCGTCGATGGATCAGAACAATCCCTTGTTCAAAGGACCGAAATTGTGAGAGGGATGATATACATCTAGGTGATAAGCGGTAACGAAAGGAGGAATCCATATGTCGAGCAAGAGAAAGCGGAGAAGCTCACTTTTTGCAATCACATAGAAGCTATCCGACTGGGATCACAAGTGATATGATTTATGGTTAAAAGTTGATACTACAGTTATCTGAAAAGGGTAACCGGGATCGGTTTACGCACATGTATTGGTAGTGTTCTGTTAACACATCGAAGTACTATTTATATTAGTCACCAGAAAAACCCAGCAGATCTGGATAGAGCCGGAAATAGCACTAATGAGGTGTTGGATTATTGGGACTCGAAGGTGCACTAACACCGTTTCTAAATCGAATGGCTCCAATATCATGCGATTGAGTCTTAGAACCCTGTCAATAAACATAGCCCAATACTCACCTCCATGGTGAGAATACAAGTATGATAGTACGATCAAATTTATATGTAGAATAAGATAAGAGAAAGGGACTAATACCGATAAACCGTACCGGTGGCCATAGAAGAAAAATTATGTGTACAATGTAACTGCGTAGAGTTTAAGAAATGCAAAGCTCAAGTAGAACTAGAGGAATTAAACCTGTCTTCTAGTCCTTGAACTTGTAAGAGCCAGAATTCATGGTGATAGAGCCACCTCTGTAAGAGCCTCTCTTCATCTTGTTCTTACCCTTGGTGAAATCCTTACCCCTGACCATACCCAACTTTTCGTTAGCCGTTTCACCCCAAGTACCAGCAGCGCCCTTGTATGTGTTATCAGTCAAAGCGCGGTTTTCGAAAGAGATCTTGGATCTTTCAATACGGGAGAAGTGCTTACGTTGACCTTCTTTTAATTCAGGTTCTTCGCCAGCAGAGATAACTTCGTCGTCGTTGGAGTTTGAAGCAGTGGAAGTGAAGGATTCAGCAACCTTAGTCTTTTTAGTAGCTGGTTCTTCGCTTCCAGGAGTAGAAGCTTCGGAGGATTCGTGAGATCTCTTCTTAGTGGTTTCGTCGTCAGAGGAATCAGAGTCACTGTCGGAAGAAGAATCAGAGGAAGAGTCGGAGGAATCAGAGTCACTGTCGGAAGAAGAATCAGAGGAAGAGTCGGAGGAATCAGAGGAATCAGAATTAGAGGAAGAATCAGAATCGGATGAAGAATCAGAATCGGAGGAAGAATCAGAAGAATCAGACTTAGCCTCTTCCTTCTTTTCGACCCTATTCTCTTCCTTAGTTTCGGTTTCTGATTCAGAGTCAGAAGAGTCAGAATCAGAAGAGGAATCAGAAGAGGAATCGGAATCGGATGATGAATCAGAGTCAGAGGAGTCAGAAGAATCAGACTTAGCCTCTTCCTTCTTCTCAACCTTCTTCTCATTCTTCTCAACCTTAGTTTCGGTTTCTGATTCAGAATCAGAAGAGTCAGAATCAGAAGAGGAATCAGAAGAGGAATCAGAATCAGATGATGAATCAGAGTCAGAAGAATCAGAAGAGTCTGACTTAGCCTCTTCCTTCTTCTCAACCTTAGTTTCAGTTTCAGAGTCAGAGTCAGAAGAGTCGGAATCAGAGGAATCGGAATCAGAGGAGTCGGAATCAGAAACATCCTTCATGACAACATCTTCATCCTTCTTTTCAGAGCTCTCTTCCTTATTTTCGGCTTCTGATTCAGAAGAAGAGTCGGAGTCGGAATCAGAAGACGAATCAGATGAAGAATCGGAGGAAGAATCGGAGGAAGAATCAGAGGAGTCAGAGGAGTCAGAGGATGACTCTTCCTCCTTGGCCTCCTTCTTTTTCTTTTCAACCTTCACTTTTTTGACTTCGGCTTCAGATTCTGAGTCTGAGTCGGAATCAGAAGAGGAATCAGAGGAAGAATCGGAGGAAGAATCAGAAGAGTCTTCCTTGGTTTCCTTCTTCTCCTCTTCAGATTCGGAGTCAGAATCAGAAGAATCAGAAGAATCAGAGGAGGAGTCCTCTTTCTTTGTATCCTTCTTTTCAACCTTCTCACCTTCAGACTCGGAATCAGAATCGGAGTCAGAGTCTGAAGAACTGTCAGAAGAACTGTCGGAAGAACTGTCGGAAGAGTCAGAGGAATTCTTTCTAACCTTCTCAGTTTTCTTTTCCTTGGCTTCAGCTTCAGATTCAGAGGAGGAATCGGAATCGGAGGAGGAATCGGAATCGGAATCGGAGGAAGAATCGGAGGAATCAGATGAAGAAGCATCCTTCATCGCCGCATCCTTTGAGGCCTTAACCTTGACACTCTTTTTAGTGACCTTTTCGGTGGCACGAGATGGCATTTTACTGTCGAATTGAATTCCAGGAAAATCTGGGGCAACAAGTGAAATGTACATCTCTGTAAAATATTTTTCATCCATTCAATTTTTTTTTCATTTTTTCATTTTCGAGCCGCACCATGCGCGTGCGTTCTGCATCTGGGCACATAACCTGCAATGAGAAAGTAGTGTGGGACGCAGGCTTACAAACGATCAATATCGCAATACGCCACAAAAGTTCAATTTACTCAGGTAGCTACTGGTAACGCGCTGGACACAAGCTCAGCCACCCAGGTCTTTATATAATATTTGCAGCCATGTCTCGTCGTGAAGGTACGTACTTGCTTTTTCTCTCCCATCGGATGGATCTCTAACACTTACAGGCAGCCGCCAGAACTACTCAGAGCTAGCCAACGGGAACGATTATGACTCTGACTCAGAGAATACCAGTACTTTCTCCGACGATAATGTTGACGCCGATCTCGGTGATGCCTACATCCCACGTGCCAACCTAACGGTTGCGTCAGCCTCGCGAAAGCGGAAAGCAAAAACAACTGTGGGCGAAATCAAGACCCACCTCCAAGACGATGAGTTCGAGGAGGAGGCTTTAGTAGACATTTCCCTCGAAAGACCACCTGACTTTGTGCCAGATGCTGTCACAAAGATGTTCGGTGCAAGTGATTTCAGCTACTTGAAACTTAAGCCCGACCATGCCTCCAGACCGATCTGGATCTCCCCCAAGGACGGCCGTATCATCCTTGAGAGTTTTTCCCCGTTAGCCGAACAGGCGCAGGATTTCTTGGTCACCATTGCGGAACCGATTAGTAGGCCATCACACATCCACGAGTACCGTATCACAGCGTATTCGTTATATGCCGCTGTCTCTGTTGGGTTGGAAACCGATGATATCATCTCTGTTTTGAGTCGTCTATCCAAGGTTCCAGTGGCGCCGTCAATCTTGAACTTTATCAAGAGTGCCACCATCTCCTACGGTAAGGTAAAATTGGTCTTGAAGCATAATCGGTATTTCGTGGAAAGCCCCCAAGCAGACATCTTGCAGATGTTGTTGAAAGACCCCATCATTGGCCCGTTGCGTATCTCTTCCGAGACCGTCACCAGCGATGGGCTAGTGGAAACCAGAGCCCCGCACGCGGATGACATCGAAATTGCGGGGGTGAAGCACTCCGAAACAGCCAAGAACGGTGAGAAGAAGGAAACCGTGGAAGAAAAGGAAGTTGAGGATATCTTTGCTTCGGTGGTGGGTGATAAAGACGATGAGGACGATGACTTGGACGTTGTGCATTCCTTTGAGGTGTCGTCGGATTCGGTTGAAATCATCAAGAAGCGATGCCAGGATATCGACTATCCTGTGTTGGAAGAGTACGACTGTCGTAATGATACTCGGAACCCTGACTTGAATATCGATTTGAAACCATCCACGCAGATTAGACCGTACCAAGAAAAGTCGTTAAGTAAAATGTTCGGTAACGGGCGTGCTAGATCGGGGATTATCGTCTTGCCCTGTGGCGCCGGTAAGACGTTAGTCGGTATCACCGCTGCGTGTACTGTAAAAAAGTCGGTTATTGTGCTCTGTACCTCTTCCGTGTCTGTCATGCAATGGAGACAACAGTTTTTGCAGTGGTGCACCATTCAACCGGAAAACGTTGCGGTTTTCACGTCCGAGAACAAGGAAATGTTTTCCTGTGACGCTGGGTTGGTTGTTTCGACATATTCGATGGTTGCCAATACCAGAAACAGATCCCACGACTCCCAAAAGGTGATGGATTTCTTGACCTCTAGAGAATGGGGGTTGATCATTTTGGACGAGGTCCACGTTGTTCCGGCCGCCATGTTTAGACGAGTCGTCACCACCATCGCCGCGCACGCCAAGCTTGGGCTCACTGCCACTTTGGTGCGTGAAGATGACAAGATTGGTGACTTGAACTTCCTTATTGGGCCAAAGTTGTACGAGGCCAACTGGATGGATCTTGCCCAGAAGGGCCACATCGCCAACGTGCAGTGTGCCGAAGTGTGGTGCCCGATGACGGCAGAGTTCTACCAAGAATACTTGAACCAGACTGCCAGAAAGAGAATGTTGTTGTACATCATGAACCCAACCAAGTTTCAGGCGTGCCAGTTTTTGATCCATTACCACGAAAAGAGGGGTGATAAAATTATCGTATTTTCCGATAACGTCTATGCCTTGCAAGAGTATGCCTTGAAGCTTGGAAAGCCGTTTATTTATGGTTCTACCCCACAGCAGGAGCGTATGAACATTTTGCAAAATTTCCAATACAACGACCAAGTCAGCACGATTTTTCTATCCAAGGTTGGTGACACCTCTATCGACTTACCGGAAGCCACCTGTCTCATCCAGATTTCCTCGCACTACGGTTCGCGTCGTCAGGAGGCCCAACGTTTGGGTCGTATCTTGCGTGCCAAGAGACGTAACGATGAGGGCTTCAACGCCTTCTTTTACTCGTTGGTCTCGAAGGACACCCAGGAAATGTATTATTCTACTAAGCGGCAGGCATTTTTGGTGGATCAGGGTTATGCCTTTAAGGTGATTACCCACTTGCACGGTATGGAGAATCTTCCAGACTTGGCCTATGCTTCTGCCAGGGAAAGACGTGAGTTGTTACAGGAAGTTTTGTTGAAGAACGAGGAGGCTGCCGGGATTGAGGCCGGTGATGATGCTGACAACTTTGTTGGCAGAGGTAACACGGATGTGAGTGTCAAGAGGGCCAAGTCCTCGGCTTCCAGAAATGCCGGTTCCTTAGCCAGTTTGGCCGGTGGTGAAGACATGGCATACATCCAGTACAGCAAGAATAAGAATAAGGATTTGAAACAACACAATTCTGTGATTCAAAAGCTTTATTACAAGGGTAAGAAGAAGTGATTTTTTTTCTAGCCCGCGAATTCGATGTCATTGAAATTTTGTAAGATGGGAATATTATGTTAAATAAACATGTACACCCCCCCGTGAGCGAATGGTGAAACCATATAGATTTTGCCTAAACGGCTATAATGATAGGTCATATACTAAGAATGAAGGGAATAATAGGGTAAAAGTAATAATGAAACCGAGAAAGTAAAGGGTAATAAAGGCGGGGGATGTTCGAGCACGTAAAATTCCATCTTCATGGCAAAGGGTGATAGACGAGGCATAGACTCTAATTTCAAGGAGAGCTGCCTAATGGTACAATAATGCCTGGTGGGTCGATAATTAACCCCAATAAGGAAATCAGCGAATGTCCCAACTCTATAACTCAGATGTAAACCCGGTAAGATTAGTTTCCTCGAATATGGCCCGTAGCTCACTTTTCTAATTCCCACCCAAGCATTAGTTCCTATCTTACAGTCTCGATAAACATAAATCAATTAACCCACTCCAATACCACTTAAACTCTAGACACTCAACTCCTGTTCACATTCTCCCAAGACAAAGGTTTCAAAATCCTCCAAGTTTCCCTGAATGTTGAGCTTAAAACTGATGCAGTACTCAATCATCTGCTCGACCTTCGAGTGTAGCTGTTCGCGGAGATTTTGGATCAGATGGACCAACTGGTCGTGCTCGATCTTTATGGACTGCGCCCGCTGCTCTACTCGGAGAGACCCCTGCGTTGCATTCATCTTCATCATCTGTAACTCCCGCTCAAGCTTCTCTACCTCGGTGGAGGAGGTCGTAGAGTCGTTATTCATCGATTCGTATACCTCGTCATAGGTTATCTTCGAAGTGCCCACTCGAGCTTCTAGCGTCTCGATCGCTTCGTTCCTCTCATTTACCGTTTCGCTGAGCAAGTCTAGTTTCTCCTGGAGTTTGATGGCCTCATCTTGGTGCTTGTGGATATTGGACGCAATCCTTGTGCGGTAGTTGAGAAGACTGACCTTTTCCGACTTGAGATCCTTATCCAAAATCACGTCGTGCTTTACCCCGAGCAGGTCCTCACCGAGCATATTCTCATGGGTGAATCTGATCTCGAACTCGTGCTCTGGCGGCGTAATGTTCGCAATGGACGTGGACGATAACGATTGGATTTTGTACACCGTGGTGTTGTATTTCTTCAATGCAGCCTCCAAGCTTTCAAAATTGCTGGTTGCCTCCAACTCTCTGTCACGTAACACGGATAACGTGTGGTTAAGCTTGACATTGATGCTGTCGATGGATTTGGACAACCGGCTTCGCTCGTGGGACATTCTGTCAATATCCGCCGGACTCAAGCCTTGTTCTTGTACCTTCTGGGCGCTTGTCTCTTCCTCCTTGCGCACCTGGCTCAACTCTTTCTCGGTATTGGCTATCTCTGTTTTGATCTTCTCCAAAACCGACGCCCATTTGAGCTTCCGCTGCTCCATCGTATCAATATAGGCTTTGAATTTGACCAAGTCTCCCTCTAGAGCGTGCGATTTTTGCTCGGCACTGGTTAAAACGTCAGCATCGCGAGTGAGGCGATTCAACTTATTCAACAAATCGTCGTTTGTTTCATCTAACTGTTTCGCGGTACCGGCAATCTTTTGGTTGTGAGCATTGACCAATTTTTCCGCCTCTTTATACTGACTGCTGAACTCGTCTTCGTCACGCAAAAAGGCCTTGTACGAGTTGAAGATATAGGACGATAGAATCCCATCAATGATGTCATCGGTTTTGTCTATCAATTGCTGAGGGGTTTCGCTACCGTCTGTCTGCTGGGCCTCAAAGCCGAAACAGTTCTCAAAGTCCAACACATTCACCTTATCCAACGAAACATTCAACTTTACGAGCCAGTACAACATGCCCAAAAAGACGGGCCAGTTCTGACCGCCAACAGCGCTTATCTGCGACTTGTTGATGGAGTCGAGGTACGGGTACTTGACGATCTTCAAGAGCAGGAACACCTCGTGTTCAATCGACTTACTGAAAAGGTAGCCCTCGTCGATTTTGCAGTACAAGAACTGGAAAATCAACACAAAGTCCTTCTGCGTCGGCTGGCGCAACGTTTTGGTGGAGATCGGGTGCTTCATGACGATTTCAAACCGGTTCGTGATCAAAAAGTTCAAAATCTCTTGCTGCATCGCCTGCAGGAACGTCTTGTCTCTGAGAGGTCGCGGGTCCTTCGACTGAAGCGTTCCCTGTGACCCAAAAAGTTGCGCGCTTGGCGTATGGGACGCCGAATTGGGCACCATACTTGAGCGTCTATTAACTGTCCCAGGCGTCATCGCAATAGATTTGCGTCTCGCGGAACCAGGTGCGACACCGGCAAATAGCCCGTTGTTGGTGATGCTCTGGCGATTAGAGGCCCCAAAATTGGCCCTGGCGGCTAACGACAAACGACTTTTGAGCGACGACGGCTGGGGAATGCTGCTCCCGGTGTTCAAATCGATGGCCGCTAAAAGTCCGCTACCGTAAGTGTCTGCTTTCTGTCTCTTGTAGCTGTAATCGGACATTGCTGAATTGTAAGATGGCGGCTAACGTACGGGTTAGGTTCTTGGTGGGATTAAGTCTTATACCCTCGATACTTTCACGGTGTTTGTTATTTGGTGGAACAACCTGTCTTTTTGGAAATAGCTAAGAACGTCTATCTTGATTGTTTAAGTAAGGTCTTACAGTCTGTGTGTTTGGTCCGATCTCATCCACGGCGTGCTTTTCGGTTTATCTAAAAAGTAGCGGCTAATCACAACAAACATACCAGGGCTACATAACCCCCAATTAGGCCCAATTTAGTAGCCACCAAGGGATATTACCGGGAGGTGTTTTGACGGTAAAAGGAATAAATTAACGATGGCTCAGGAAATAAGAGAAAGGTTTTGACCTTTTAGGCTACAAATAATAAAAAACCAACCCGTATTTGAAGCTTATTGAAAGAGCCAATCCTTCCTGGCCCAGGGTATCCTGTATGGCAATCCTAGCACTGAGACACCGGATCGCCTTACACATGCCGTTTTTGTATAATTATAGCTAGAATAGAAAAATTCTGATTACATAAATGCGTTCAAAATAGCAACTTTATAGACCTAAATAGCCTCTAAACTCTTTTTTTTTCTCTTCCTCTACATGTGTCCAGTTCTGTCTAGTTTGACTGCGAGTCGATGGAAAAATAGTGAGGTATACATTTACAAGGTATTGGAAAAAGTTCGCTTCCATTGTTGTTTTTAATTATAGCCATTCCGATATACACAGAAACTGAGATGGCCTGGACAATGTCCATCACCAAACTCGTGAACTCCGGCCCTCTTTCAAGACTTTTTTAAATTTTCCTTAGGATTAATAACGCATATTGTTATATAGTTTCCGGCTTATAGCCTGTATATCATTTTATAAATTAAAGCCATAAATTGCTAAACTGATTGGAAGTTACGGGATTTAAACGGCGTGAAAGCTTTATAACTGTCCTGTGTATAAGACTTGCCTCAGCCTTCAAGGGCTTGCGTTAACCCCCGTCTTTTGACTCACCTTCTTTCCGCCAACAATGAATCTAAACGGCAATATATTGGATACTGTTGCTTATACCACGTCTGAAGCCTCGCTCTTTGCGATTCCGCCACCAAGAAAGGCTGCAAATGGCGAATACGTTCACAACATTTTTCAGTGGGACCTCGCGAAACAGCCGTTGTGGCGGGGAGAGATGAGGGTCATCGAGCGTGAAGACTTCGGATCCGATTCTACGACAGAGCCGTTAGTACTAAAGCTTGATTTCCTTGATGATGGCGTGCTCTGGGCCTCGCTATTGGGCGAGCAAAACCTCCTGGCCACCCGGTCCACCAAGTTGTATGTGGTACTCGTGAACTTTAACGACGTAAAGGTGGGGTTGGGGTTGCAATTGAAGGATTCCACTCAGGCAAACGAATTCGCGTTGGCGTTGCAGGACTACCGCTCCCAGCAGGCTAAAATGAAGTTCTACGCCAAGCCCGATGCATCCACTGATCAGGACATGGACTCTGACGACTTTGGTGACTTTGTGTCATAACTACCAAGTTAGGCTAGACGTCGCATTCAGTAGTACAGACTTGTGAGTATCTCCAGAGCTATGGTTACCGAAGATGTCACCGTGCCGTTAACTGGCTTGACCAATGACTATTGTTTCTGGCAAACTAGATTCTGCATATCGGCTGTATAATAACGGATATACATTTCCGATCTCACGCTGACGCCTATATCACAAGATGCTCCGAAATCAGTGTCAAAGGAGCACAGCCGTGGATGTGTGGAATTCCGCAAAGTTCTTTTGTATTTGTATTGAATGAGGTGGCCTATGTTGGATAATTTAGCAAAGTTTACCACGAATAGTTAGCAATGGCTAAATCTTTTGAAAAATCCTGCGCCACTATTAATATATTTATCCGTAATTGAACACTCCGTTTATCTGTAATGTAAGATCCCGTTTATTTCTAACGTAATCGTTCATCTCTAATATGATATCTTGACATGTCTAGGTATGATTCATGGTACCTACTGTATGGGTGATCATCCACGAATCTTTGAGAGACCGATTCGGTCATCTAAGTACTCAATGACAGACGAGTTCCCATTAAAAAATCCCATCAGATATGGTTGTCTTAAATCCTAACGCACGGTTTCTTTAGGGTACTAATGCCCAGTGGCATGAATACTTCTCTATCGTGCGTAACCCCACATTCTGATCGACTGTCACCCTGCCAGTGCCTGTAAGGCCCCTTGTATCAACTAGAAGCATTACTTTATTCTCGCCGTCATTCTTGCTAATGTGTGTAATAAAACAGCTAACATATCGGTATTTACTGGGCACACCCCCCGCAGTTCGCCTTACAGTCTTTGACTGGGTCTGCATGTGCGAATCTGTGACGCACGTCGTACTCGTGCATAGGCCGGCGAATTTTTCACCTTCTCCGTCTTATTCCAAACTTTGCCACCATTTTCCGCATAGCACGCTCCTCAACCAACCCACCATGCAGATTTTCAGAACCATTGCAGAAGTGCGCGAATGGCGCCGCCAGTGTGTGCTAAACAACGAAACCGTCGGCTTTGTCGCGACCATGGGTGCGCTCCACGCGGGCCATTTGTCGCTTGTGACCGCCTCTTTGGCCGCCAACGACCGCACAATCGTGTCTATCTTTGTGAACCCATCGCAGTTCGCCCCACACGAGGATTTGGACGCATATCCCCGCAATATTGACGATGACATCGGCTTACTCGGCACTTTGGACGGCACGGTGGACTGCGTGTTTGCGCCAAAGGTTTCGGAGATGTACCCGTCTGGGATTACTCTCGAGGTTTCCCAGCAAAAAGGCGCGTTCGTGTCGGTTTTAGGCTTGAGTGAACCGCTAGAAGGCGTCACCAGACCTCATTTCTTCCGCGGCGTGGCCACAGTTGTCACCAAGTTGTTCAACATTGTCACCCCTACGCGCGCCTACTTTGGCCAAAAGGATATCCAGCAGACTATCGTAATTAAGCGCATGGTGAAGGATTTGTTGTTGCCTGTGGAAGTAGTGGTAGCTCCTACCGTCAGAGGGTCCTCCGGACTCGCTTTGTCCTCTCGCAATGAATATTTGTCTGACAAAACTAGAGACCTTTCCGCCGTCATCTATAACGCCTTGAGTGTTGTTAAGACAGAATATGAGACGGGTGTTACTGAAGCTGAGCCGTTGTTGGCAGCGTTTAAGGATACTATTCTTCCATACCTCGACGGAACCGCTGCATCGTTCGAGATAGAATATGTTTCGTTGAACGATCCTGAAACATTGGAAGCTTTGACTAAGATCGATCCAAAGGTTGGCGCCGTTTTTTCTACGGCTGTGAAGGTCCCAAAGGCCGACGGAAGTGCGGCCCGCTTGATCGACAATCTTGTATTTGAACCCAAGGATTGAAGCTAGAAAATGTCCAGTTATGCCAAATTAGAGGCAATATCGGACCAACCGGCTAAATTTATATATTGCATCCGCGATGGCCATAATGAGACTATAATTGATGATTTAGGTACACACACTAAGAATTAAAAGTACACGCAGGGTTACAGGGTGCAGGGAGAATCGTAAAGTGCCCCATATACTAAATCGACAAACTAAAACTGTCAATTGGTGTTTCTCGAGGCCTTCGTTATATAACGATCATATGTGTATTACCACTTCTGATCTCTGGAGATTTGACTTCTTTTCTATTTCAGTTGTTTGCCAACGTTTGAACTCTAAATTGCATGCCATGGTTCTGACATTGCACACCTCATGGATATACCTTTTGTTGTCACTCTTCTCATCTTAAGAGGCCGCTTTTGTGATTTAAACGAGAACTCAAGCTTTTAATAGGTTTGGAAGGGAAGGTGTTAGCCAGCTATGTAATATATACCCACCTATATCTCTAACTACTTGGTAATTTCCCCTTATTGCATACCAGGAATAAGCTAGCAGACCTCTCATATACAATACGAATCACACTTAAGCTTGGAGGTCTCGACTAAACTAGAGTAATAACACCACTCCATCACAATTCTTCGACAATATCCTCGGTGAACAGCTCATCATCTCTCACGCCCTCCTCGTAGGACTCGGTCATACCTTCAATATTCCCCTGGCCCATCACCTCGTTATCGAGGCTAATGGAAATATCAGCAAACCTATCAAGAATTTCATCCTTTGTTTCAAGGGCAAACTGGTTCTGCTTCATGATCAACGTCTTGAGTGTCCGCGGTAATGTCATCTGCGCCGGAATCTCGCTGATGAGATTTTGGGAAACGTCCAAGTATTCAATAAATTGGGGCAGATGCACATCAACAAGACTGTGAATACCACAGTTCCTAAGCGTCAACGACTTTAAACGCTCCGGAAACCGGATTTCACTACTAAATTCCACCCCAGAGGCATCAAGGGTCTCTAGTCTCGACGGCAAACGGTCAAACAACTCGTGGGCTGCCAACGGATTACCAGAAACGTTTAAACTTCGCAAATTGGCGTTATTTCTAAGCACTTTCGGGAGTCGGGTAATTTGGTTCCCATCCAACAAAAGCGTACTCAACTTCTCACCGAACTTGCAGTTGCTGATGGAAAAGATGGAGTTTTTGCTCAAGTTTAGCTCCCGCAAGTTGGGCAATTCGCTAAGATGCCGCGGAACGCGGATAATCAGGTTCAGCGTGAGATTCAACTCTTTCAACGACGCCGGAAACTTGACGCTGTCTATGTCATATAACTCGGTGAATCCAAGACTCAACGTCTCCAAACGTGTAAAGTCCGTCAAGTTCTTAGGAAGCCGCCTGAAGGGATTGAAACTGAGATACAAGTGCTTGAGCTGCCTAGGGAGCTTGCTGAAAATGCCAATATCCTCTTCCTCATTGCAGAAGGCAAGTTTCTCGAGGTTCGCGGGCAATTCCAAGTCGTCGATGTTGAGAGAAGCACCTCCAGTGTTTTGCGTGACAAGACGCAAGTCCTGGAGATTGCAAAGATCCTTGAGCTCGCCCGCTAGCCGTGTGAGTTTGTTACGAGACAAATTTAAGTGCTGAAGGCCCCTAGGAAAGCGAAAATTGGCTGGAATCTCCGCTACTCGATTATTGAACAAGTTGAGGTTCTCGAGGTTTTCTGGCAACTTTAGTATGCGCAAGTCCTGGATATTGTTTTCTGACAAGTCAAGAACTCTCAACGTGGGTGGGAAATTGCAAAGACTGGCCGCCATAGAGATGGAGTTCTGGCTGAGGTTCAATTTTTGTAACGTTTCGGGGATAAAGAGCCCTTGGAAGCTATCCACAGATTGGCTATTGGAACTGAGGTCCAAGAGGGTGAGACTGGGCGGAAGAACAAGCCTGGCAAGGTCTATCGTTCCTCTTTCGGCCCCATTGTTGAGCTTTAGCGATAACTTTGTCAAATTGGAAAAGTGCTGGAACGTGTGTGCGAGTTTATTGAAATCAGATAGGTGGACTTCAATATAGAGGCTGAGGTTTGCTACGTGCTTGTTGATAAGCTCGAGGCGTTCCACCGTGCGCGTGAATTCTTCAATGTGTTCGATGATGAGTTCGAGGTTACCAAAGTGGGTGTCTTCTAAAAGACCCCAGAATGTAGGAAACGAAAGAGAACAGCTCATGTTGGTGGTGTCTGCTCGGTACGGGTTCACCATGACGTCGGAGAAGAGCCGGTAGTGAGCCTCATCGTGAGTGCAGGGCACATCGAGGAACGGCCGGATGAGGTCCACCGGGAGGTAGCGGAAGACCTGGGAGATAATATCACTCGGGAGATCTGCAAATCCGTGCAAGTTTATCATGGGAAATTATGTCGGTAGAGTGTCAAATGAGAGGTTATGGGTAAGAATGCCTGTTCAGGATGAACATTTTCGATGCGTACCTTGCAATTAATAAGCACGTATCGCGTGCATGATACATGGTGCATGCTGGCCCGTTAATGAGTTGATACGGTGAGTTGGTATGGTGAGCCTGTAACTAGCTATATAAAGCTTGCTGAATCCCTATAGACACAAATATGTGACTTGATTTAGAGTCACAGGAGATGGCACACACACCTACCACCGAGACATTTTCTGATTCGGGGGGTTTACCGCTACACGGGAGCTTCGTTGTTAAAGGAGTACTAAAGCTGGTGAGTATGAGGATAATTCCCACCCATATGGCCAACTAAATGTTTTGGTTATTAATAAAATGGAACTTTAGTCCTGAAGTACATCAATCGAAATCTGCTATATCGCAAGTCGCGATAGCCTCCGGCAAAGTTCTACGGCTTCATCCTTCCAAGATATCTGTGTTGCTACTTAGATCCGAGGGCTTATCCAAATGATAAAAATCTATGAAATATTAATGGTGGGTAAAAGGTGCTACAGAGGGTACTGTGGATAAAATTCAATGAAATGATGGGTATGGAGAGCTGTTCAAACACAAGGCAGTCTCCAACGGCTAATACCACGAGATAGAAAAACGACAGTCAAACCAGCTTTCTCCCTATTTGATCTCCGACAAGTGGTGACGCTCGTAGAACGTCTCCCACAGCTCGATGCTCTCCTTCTGCAACTCAATGTTGCTCTCCAAGAACGTCTCAACGGCATTTCTGAAGTCGTTGATCTTGTTGGTCTCAAACTGCCCTAGCTGGTTCTTGATATCCACGGTGATTTGTTTAAACTTTTTCTCCAAGCCCTGAGTCTTGCTTTCCTGTTTGGTAATTTGCTCCTTCACGAGCGCAAGTTTCAGCTTTTGCGCGACGTTATTAGCCGTGGTGGAAATCGTCACGTTAGTTTTAGCAGCCAACTTTTGGAGTTTCGTCAATTCGGCCTCCTGGGTGAGAAGCGCCGTCTTGAGCCTCACGCGCTGGCTAAAGCAGTGCTTGACAGAACCCACAATTCGCAAATATTCGTCGATCGTACTGCCCAAGGTCAACATATCCTGCAACAGAGAGCGCGCCACCAAGTCCTTCAACTTACTTTGGGTGCTGCCGAACCCCATCAACAACGAAATGGACGACTCCTGGAAAATATCCCCGCTGGCATCTAACGCCGCAAGCTCATCCATCATGGTCAGGAACTCTGCCGTCATCGTCGCAAGCTCCGTGCGCTGCTGCACCACAAGCTCCAAGTTCTTGTAGATATTCCCCAAGTTGATCTCGAGCAGCTCAATATATGTGCGCTTTTCCACAAACCACTCGTCCTCCTCGACGTACTTCGGGCCAGTAGACAAACCAAGCGTTTTGCTGAATGAGTTCATGAAGCCAGAAGAACTACTAGACCCCTCGTCGTCTTCCTCGTCGATCGTGGATGCAGCAGATCCGGTGGCAAGCTCACGCGCCTTGGCGTCCGGGCCGAAGTTCTCGCTGGCCAAAAACATCAACAAGTCCGGGTCTTTCTGGAACATTGCATTGCGCGCAATCTTCTGAAGCATCGTCTCTAATGCCATGCGTCGACTCTCCACGAACTCCTCATTGAAGCGGCCAACCGCCTGTTTGCTTGGCGGCGGCGGCACGATGAAGCCAGGGTGGTTGTTCTGAAGCTGGTGGTAGATCCAGCGGAAGTCCTTGTAGCGGCGTGTCACCTTGGCCGTGCCGTCACTGAGGAGCGCGCTTTTGGATGTGATAGTGTAGACAATGTGCGCGGAGGTCAACTCGCCAATTTTGACAGGATCGCCCACCGAGATTTCCAACGCCACGGGAGCTTCCGCCTCAATAGCCTTGGGCGCGGATTGAATCTCCTGGACAATAGGTTCAGCCGGCGCCTCGGGCTCGGGTTTCTTAATGTGGAATAACGGACCATCTGCGGCCGCGGTTAGCAACTCGGCTGCGGATATGTTGGTGCTGTTTTCTTCCGCGGTAGTGTCTGTCTCTGGTCCAAGCGGCCCCAAAGGATTGGTATTCGCCAGTGGCTTAGGTTCTCTTCTGTTTCTACCGCGCGCCTTGTACATTGACGCGACACCGCGCGCAACCTTCTTGACCGGCGCGCGTGCGGTGTCATCCGTGTCTTCATCTGCAGAGAGCAACGGGTTTTTATCGCCAAACAAGCTGCCACTGGGGGTGTTCATAGTGATTCCCACTTCCTCACCGGCCAATTCTGAGATGAGGTGTGAGGTGCCCTGAACAGGTTTCTGAGGGATGGCAACCGCTTCTTCTTCTTCATCGTCATTTTCCTCCTTTCCGATAATGTTCATGTCGCCAAATTCCCCAGAAAGGGGCTCGTCAAACGGAGCATACGTGGATTGCTCTGCTGGAGGGTCGGGGCGCGCAAAGATGTCGTCCTCGGCAAACGGATTAGCCGCCACCGGAACATCCACGATTGTTTTGCGGGGCGCATCACCCCACATAGAGCCAGAAATATCGTCATCGGCCATTATAAGTGGGTAATGACTGGATTGGATTGTCTGGAGGTTTAATAAGTAGCAGTGCAAGTGTGGTATATAAGATTATTGATACGTCTGGGGCGTCAGGGTCGAAAGGGCCGCAGTTATCGCCAGGTCATGTCGTGTGTATATCAGTAACTGCAAAGGCTTGGTGAATGCAGGAGGGTTTGGCTATTTCGGTGGGGCAAGCCTTGGCACGACAAAGAGAGCTTATAGTTATTGTGTGGGCGTTTGAGGGAGATTAAATTGGGTTAGTGTGGGTACATGGTTAACAGGTAAATTGGAAGCTCAATGAATAATCACATGTTTTGACTCAGTTTTTATCAGAGGGGCACTGGTTACAAACGGATAAACCTGAGGGTAAATTGAAACCGTAGGGTTAGGATGTCAGCGCAACACCCCAATAGGCAACGTGTTTAGCTAGTTATGCCTGTAGATGGGGATTATAAAGAAAAGCTCGATAAGCACCACCTCCAGATATTCACATCACTCTGATGGAAAATATATCCTTAGGAACCAGGGTAGAACAGGTATCAGCAGCATAAAGCATTGGTCAAATGGTAGTAAACCTCTCATAATCCCAATGAAAGGGGATGAGGATATTAGAGTTACTGAACAAGTGCCTAAAATCCTAACAACCTGTAATAGTGTTGGCAGGGTATTTGAAACTGACGTCAAAATTATCTCCATCGCTCAACGATTTTGAGAACAGATATCATCCAGTGTACATCCATACCCCACCCAATCGCCTGAGAGACGAGATAATTACAATTAAAATTATTCGACTCAAAAAAAAAAATAGATGCCATAATATTTCTTGATGCTTTAAACCCTACCTGAACCCAAATCAGCTAGCTCCTCCCAAAACGACCACAAGCCATAGATTAGATCCCTGTCACGTGATTAATGATATATCTGCGGACATTTAGTCACTTCTTACAAGGATGGCAACTTCTCTTCATCACCTACCTGCCCATGAAAGACCTCACGCCACTCTTCACCCAATGTGTGCGCATCTGTGAGAAGGAGCTCACGCTCCAGCAGCCAAAGCCTCACAAGCATGCCACAATCGCTGACACCTTCATGAAGGAGTGCCACGAGCTCCACACTAGCATCGGCGTGTTGGGCCGGTTTCTCGGGGAAATCCGCACTGCATACCTCCTTTCGTCCTCCAACCGTAAGGATGCGTTGAGCGACCAGCAAAAGAACGAGATTGATGAGGAAACCAGTGCACAGTTACAGCAGTTTGTGCAGAAGTTGAAATTCTTGGAAAAATATGAGAAGAAGCGCCAGGAGGTGGGCCACAAGGCCGCTGGCGGATTCTGGGAGTCGCTAGACGGTCCATCGGTGTATGAAACAACAGTGAATACCTTCCGATCCAATGTCTTGGTATATCTTTCGCAACTGTTGCAGACAGTGTCGGTGACGTTGACGGCGTTGCAGTCAAAGCGACTCCAGCGACAGAAGGAAATCTCGATGTCTGACTACCAGAATATTGAAGAGTTTCGGCCGCTTCGGGCCACGTCTCCGGACCAGCTTTCGTACGACGACAATGCGGCATATCAGGCGATTCAGGCGGAATTGGCAGCGCCGTCAAACCAGGTGCTTCTTCAGCTTGAGTCTGAGAACAAACAGCTCTTGTCGCAAAAGACAAACGATCTACAGAAGATTCACAAGATTGAATCCTCCATCACAGACATTATCAGCTTGCAGAACGACTTGAACTTGACCTTGTCTGCGCAGACCCAGACCATCAACACTTTGATTGAAAACCAGGAAGAGATGGAGGTGAACATGAGCTTGGGCAATAAGAACCTCAAGAAGGCGGGGGGGAGGAACTCTCTGACCTCCCGCATTATCATTCTCATGTGTATAGTCTTGGGCAGTTTCTTGTTGGCTATGGACTACATGCTAAGCTAATATACGTACAATTAATGTGTATGGGTCAATCGTACGTCGATCGTATCTATAACTAATTTCATTAAAATGCATAATTTCATGGCCGTTGCGCATGCTAGGCGGTGGCCAAGCCACTAAAGGCAGATTGGTAAGGAGTCGCCGCAATCCCGCTATTGATTCTCCTTGATAACTTCCCGGTAGCTCGCCACCAACATTGCCTGCTTGCTCGCGCACACAGCAAATACCGCACGGAACTTTTCCACCGTCGTCGCAAGCACCGCGTCCTTGGTCTTTCGCCCCGCGACAACTGCGCCCAAATCGCATTCTAACTCTTTACGCAAAAACGGTTTCGTGAGCGACACACCCTCGAGCATTGCGTCAAAACCTTTAACCAATGCCATGCCCAACTCTGACGGCACAAAGAGCGCTCCACTGCGCGCAGCTACCTTCACCACGTACTCGCGAGCTAGGACCTTTTCGATGTGATCAGCAATCGTCGCGTCGGTGCCGATCCCGTTCGCATCCATGAGCGCGATTAGCTCGGGCTCCGTCATGTGCTGCGGCGGCGCGGTCACACCGCTCTTAAGCTCTGCGCGTGACAATGCTACCTCCTCGCCGTGCACAAACTGCGGGAGCACCTTGGACGACGCCCATTTCACGTATGGAAACACATCGAGAAAATTGCGCTCCAACACCGTAAGTCCCGACGCGGAAAACTTCTCTGGGCCCCACTGAAGCGTGACTGTCGTCTGGCTGCCCTTCGCGTCCTGCGAACAGCACGCGAGAAAGTGCCGCACAATGTACTCGTACACCTTTTTTTCGCTGGCAGAAAGGCCTGAGCCGTCGGTGAAGACCACCGGATGGATAGGTGGGTGTGCCTTGTCGTCGTGCTTGCCTACGCGCGGGTCGCTGAACTTTCCGTTCCCCAATTCGGTTGCGTATGCTCCCCAGACCGCGCTCTGCGTTTGCCGCTGTACCAACTTGCGGAGATCCATCGCGCGCGGAAAGCTGTCGGTTTCTGTACGCGGATAGGAGACAAACCCCTTGAGGTAGAGTTGTTCAGCCGCGTCAAGCGCGGCCTTTCCGCTCATCTTGAAGTAGCGGGCGCAGTTTTTCTGGAGCTCAACCGTGGTGAGCGGGAGCGGCCGCCACTTGGACGTGGGTGCGGTGGCCACATGGGTCACCGTCGCAAACAGCAGCTGCATGCACTGTCGGAAGATCACCGTTGCGACGAGTCGATCAAACACACGTGTACGCGCCCAGCTAAGTACCGTCTTGACGCGTTCCTTGCGCGTCTCAAGCTCGAGGTACCAGAATGGCTCGGGCACGAACAGGCGCACGCGCGTGTAGCGGTCGCACACAAACCCTAGCGTCGGGAACTGGCACAGACCGTACGAAAGGGTGGCCTCCTGGTTAAGCTCGCCACGGAGCCGCCGCTTCATGCCCTCTGTGAGGAAGCGCGAAAAGCTCGCACCTGTGCGGAGATCCACCTCCATGCGCGCACGCACCGCGTCAATCGCCCCACGGTCAAGTCGTACTGGGTGCGCCGCCGCATGGCATACATGCTGTGTCTCCAAGTGCGAGAACTGTGCACGCCATGTATTTTCCTCCGTGAGCGCGGTGTTGCTCTGACGCGCAGCCTGGAGAATTTCCCACCCGATGTACTCGCCCTCGCGGTCGCAGTCCGTCCAGATCATGAGCTTCGCGGCACCGCGTGCCTCGTTCGCGATGTTCTGCGCCACGCTCCGCTTGTCATCCGGTACCTTCTCCACGATGGGGGCGCCAAAAAGCTGTCCCGGGTTGCACTTGCCCCAACCGAACTGCGCAGGAAAGTCGAGACTCGTGATATGGCCTACGACTGCAGTCATTGTTACGTTGCACTGTCCGTGTTCTGCGAACTGAAACGTAAAGTCCCAGTTCTTGATGTACTTGTTGCCTGACTGACGCATTGTCACCCGTCCACCACCGAGTGACTGCGCCACCGCTTTGGCAATGGACGGTTTCTCGGCCACACAGAGGATTTTCATGGGCGTGACGAGTAGTTTAGCGAACCTGGATGTCACCTAAGAACCTGGATCCTGTAACCTTAAGCGAACCTGGATATATTCTGGAACCCTAATTGAACCCCAATGTAGCCCGGAAGTAGTAAAGTCAGGATGCAGCCTTGTAATTTCAAGTGGTTGGCTCTGTGATGGAGTTTTGAGTGGCAATCTGGAGTATGTTCAATACGCGCCATAATAGAAAATAATCGCGTCGCGCGACACACGACTGGGTGGCGCGAAAGTCTGCTAGTCACGTGAATGAAACGTGAGATACGCGTATAAATCGCAGGGTACTGCCGGACACCTATATTAGTATCCCCTGTTTCACGGGCCAAATCTGGAGTGGTTGTTCAACTTGCCCCGGTGTCTGAACTGGGGATACCCTGTGGCTAACTTTTCGTTTCATGGTAAGCCAATTATACGGTATGATGCCCCTCACCCTTCTGTCAGTAAGAGGACAACTACAGAAACCAGACTCATCTATGTTTTTATTACTATTTGGATATTCTGCTATTAATCATCTTTCAGCGGTTGATGCTTCGGCCCCACTGCGATAGAAATGGAATGGTTGTTGGAAAACACTAGAGCAGGAATCTTCGTGCGTTAACGGATCTCCGACATAACGGAACATTAAAGGATTCAGAGCGACTTATAGCTGGGGTCTGAGAGCTAAACGACATAGGCCCCATACTATTGTAACAGCGTATGGTTGCTTGAACAACCAAAGAGGACTTGGGTAGTCAAGACTTCCAGTGGTTGGTATGACGGCTCAGAAGACATCTGGCTGTAGCCTGGAGGCATTGCCAGTAAACCTAAAGATCCACCCATCTGTCGCAGCCAGGCTATGCCTAAGACACCTAGCTAGTTTTCTGCTGGGTCATGCCTTTAGCGAGCCAGGGACATACAGACTGCCTGGAAATTTTCTGTCTAAAGGATCAAGCTCCCATCTTTTAACCCTGCATTAGCGGCCTCGACCATAATATCCTTCCGTCTCCTTACCAAACTCGCCCGCTCAACAAACACCTTCTTATTCTGGTACATCTGTTCTACCCTTCCTTGCACGAACGCCTGCGACAACTCCTCGATCGATGACGTTAAAAAGTCCTGGTTGCTCTCAAAAATCTCCTGAAAGTTTGTCTTTTGGAGGTAGTATGCAATCACATACGTCCATTTAAGCGCCTTGCGGCATGCTACCAACGCCTCGTGCGCGTCAAAGAAGAACAGGATGTCAGACACACTCAAGTGGCGCACGTCGCGCAACGCCACAATCTGCGGCTCGATCTTCTTCTCAAAGAGCTTGCAGTCCTGGCGTAAAGACAAATCATGATTCTGGAAGAGATTGTAGTAATGGATGTACCGTTTGAGCGACCACCGCGCGCTGTCCTTCTTGGTCCTTTCCGCCACCGTTTCCGGATCCTTATCGTTGAAGCGGTTGCACTGGTAGTATGCAGTTCCGTGGAGCTTCCAGTCGCCCATACAGATCCAGCAGAACTCTGTCTGGCACGACTTGCACACCATGTGGTTGCACCCACCGTTCTTCTCAATCGCGGACTCGCATTTTGGGCAGTTGTTTGTGTGCGAGCTGATCCAGTTCGCCGTCTCTGAGTCATCCTTACACTTTGCAATCCATTGCTGAGTGACGAAGCACGGTGCAGGCACATGATTCTCATAGTTGCACGCAAAGCAGAACAGGTGCCGTGCCAGGCATTCAACAATGGGGATAGAGCCAACCGCGGATGCGGGAACAGAGTTGCTCGCGACTATGCGGCCGCAGTCGGGTGCGGGGCAGTATTTAATAGATTTGCTAGCGGTGATGTAGAGCTTGGTGACGCTTTCGAGGTACGCGTGGTAGGTCGCATCGCCCGCCGTGCGCGCAATGAACAGGTGCGGAAGCGCACGCCCACACCCGGGCTCGGGGCACTTGATGGCAGTCCCGCGAAGGATCTGGGTTGAGATGTACTGGCTGTAGCAGTCACGGCAGTAGAGATGAGTACAGGAGAGACCATAGAAGTCGGTAGTGTCGTCGCAGCAGATGGGACATATCGAGGGGATCTTGCGCACCACATCGTCCGCACCTGTCTTGTAAGTTGCTTCCGGTTCTCGCTCATGTGGCAACCCTGCCGCCTCCCGTAACCCCCCTTCGTCCTCCATATACCGCTCCATCGCCATCTCCTCGTTCCATCTCTGCGCTTGAAGAACCAACAACGTCTCGTCACGCGAGAGCCCAAAGATACTCACAAGTCGGCTTCCTTCTGTATCGACCAACTTTTCTGCGATCGTGGACACGTCGTCGTAGCACACGTACTGGATGGTTTGATTCCCGTGCACACGCACAGCTCCGTCGCGCGCAAACACATTATCGTCCCAGTTCTGCGACTCTTCGAATTCCTCGTCTGAGAGTTCGAATCCCGAGTCTCCCATGGACCAATCGGTGTCTGACATGGATACTAGTGTAGTGGCTGGAGAACAAAGTAGTACTAGCACTTATAGTGAAATATACTTGTGATCCGGAGCTCGTTTTTGCCTCCTGCACCACGGGACATGCAGCGATGACACACTTCCCTACCCTCCAAGGCTCCCACTACGGCGCACGGAATCAGATACAGGTGGATCAGAGGCTATCTGGTTGATGGGTGCAACCCAAGGGAAATCGAAGCCCCTGTCTAAATGGCCATTTCCTCACCTGGTATATGGTTATCGGAGGCTTGGAGTTATTGGAGCCACAATGGAGGGCTTGACTTCTCTGTGGGGCAGTCTGGAAAAGCAGTCCGGGGTATAAAAGCGGTATATGATTATACTGTGTAAACTGTGTTAGTCTAGCTTTATAGCTTATACTACGGCATATATGTGTTTACTGTGGTATTAGTAAAAATTCATCCACACTTATTCTTTTTGGATCTTTTCATAAACACCATAACGGCGCCTATGAAAAGATCCAAATCGCTGGTTCTCCGCTTTCTCTAAGGGTCTCCTGTATCGACTCTCTCGCTTCCAGCTGCCAATATGTACGTGTCAAATGTTAGCGTTCGTCACAAATGAGCTCGAGTGCATCTAAATCTATATATCAATATCGTTCCATAAATCCCAGTCAAGACCGGAGGTTTTCCATTCAGTGGTTAAAGTTAGGGTTAGTGTGTACCAATAGCACCAAAGTTAAATTGTAATTGAGTTCACTAATCAACGGCTAGGACAACATTCGAACCAGACAGAGTTTCTCGATACATAACGTTAGCCTACGCACGTATGTGTAGAAGTGACCAGCATTAATTGTTCTATATAAAAGATTAATATCAGATTTAATAGAGGTAGTAGAAAAGCAAAATAAGCATAGTTCAATTTTGATCAGATGTCGCCAAAATAGCCTCGCCTTCAATTTCTACAACATAATACACATAGGTATAACAATAAACATAGATAGTTCGAAATAGCACTAACAACAAATATATGATTCAGCTTAGGCCAAAGATTAAAGAACTCTGCCATCGACTTAGCTCAACTTCGTCTAGGCTCTAGCACCCGCCTCCACAACACTCAACAAAAACTCCACCTCCAATCTCTTTCTACTCTCGTTGACCCACCCGTTCGCCAACTTTCTGCTCCAGCCCTTCAAGCTAGCTGCCTCCTCAACCGCATCGGCCAAATCGCCTCTAGTCAAGTAGTTCTCGACTCTGGCAATCACCGACTCAATATCATTCCCGTTGGCATGACCCTTCTTAGAGAGCAACAACTTGGAGAACACAATCGACGATAAATGGCCGAGCAAACCGGCATTAGGTGGCAACAACGCCGCAGATCTCAACTCTGGGACAAGCAACTGCCATCTGGTAATCAACTGTGGAACGGTAAGACACCCGTTGATGGCGCTCTCTCTCGGGACACTGGCCAAGGCGGCGGAGGCCAACGGGTCATGCGCGGTCAACTCCTGCAAGGCTGCAAGGTCCGCAGCAAAACCCTGGGGCTGTGGTGAGGCAAGAAGCGCCTTGACGCGCACCAACTGCGTCTGTACGGCCGTAGCAGACGCAGCTCTGTCTAAATGGCCCTCCAACTGGGCGACGACGTCAGCCAAGCTGTCCAAGTTGGCAGCAAGGACGTCCAACTGGGCCAACTTCCCCGCTCTTTCCTCCGCAACCTTCTGCTCAACAATGACGGCAAACTGCTTGACTTGCTCGACCTTGATGGCGTCGACGGCGTTGGTTGCAGCCTGGGCGATCGTTGCCTGGGCTGCGGCGAGTTCCGCGGCGAGCTGCGCATCGTGCTTCGCCTCGAGTGCACGCTTCTCCGTCTGGAAGTCCTGGAGGAACTTTTCCGTTGACGCGTTCTCCTTCGCGGCGAACGTCGCCTCCAAGGCTTGGACCTTGGCGGCGGTCAACTTGGCCAATTCCTGCTCGCGGTTAGCGGTCAACCCGTCAACCTTCACCGAGAGCTGTGTGAGGCTCGCTGCAACGGCGGCAACGGTTTCATCAGAGGCAGACGAGTTGTTAATAGCCGCAATGAGCTGGTTGAGCGCTGCAAACGTTGGGGCCAACGTCTCGTTGCTGCTCGTTTCAAGCGTAGGCAACGGCTTCTTTGCCGAAACCTTGGCCACAATTTGCGATGCATCGGGAATTTTCGCCTCAATCTTCTTGGTAATCGATTCGATGTTGAGCTTCTTGAAGGTCTCGTCGAACTGGAGGTGCCCGCCGTTGGATTGGTAGTCCTCCACAAGCTTAATCACCGCTGGCGCACCCGGGAGATTCTCCACGACAAAGTCATTCGCCTCGTCGTTGTACATTGCCGCGGCGACGGCAAGTGCGTACAAGGAGGACCCGTAGAAGGTGGTCTTAAAGAGGAACTTGCCGAGCGAGAAGCGCTTCGGGGCAGCGGCTGGGGTTACAGGCGCGGCCACAGGCGCGGCCTCGGCGAGTCTCGCCGACTGGGTGGCAAAGCGTCTCAACTGCTGTTTGGAAACGGTGCGGAGCATTCTGTGTGGTGAGTTGAAGAATTGGCAGGGTTACTTGATTGCATTGATATATCGCTGAAGTAGAGCCGAGGCTGGCCAATCGGTAGAGAGTTTTCAGGCGACGGTAGGGGGACGACCTAGGCCGGAGATGCAGGCGAAATCAAGCCGCAGATACGACATAAGGGGTAAATGTTATGAGGATAAATGTTATGAAGATAAATATCATGGGGATGTATATGATGTAAGAAGGTATATTTAAAGTTGATATTATGGTTGACAATTGTCACTCGGTGAACCAACTTTAGTATTACCATGTAATTGAATCTTGCAAGCCGTTAAAGTACTGTAGGGACCGGAAGCTTCAGTGCACGTTAGCTTACAAATGGCGGGACTTCTCCGGGGTATCAACAGAGATACCAGAGATACCTTGAATATTGACTTTTGCGGGGAAAAACCAGAAGTACTGTATTTTAAATTTGATAGGTTGCACTTCCGCTGGGTAAAATGATCATTGTCCTACAGGCTTAAGCGGGGAGTTACAGGCTGGTGTAAGCCTGCAAATCTGGTGGGGGCTTCTTCATGCACCACTTAAAGCTCAATCCGAGCATGTGATTAAAGCTACCTTATGGATTTTTTTCATCCTCCATAGCGTATGTTTTATTATATTTTCTGGAAATGTAAGCCCGCAAGGTGCTGTCTCTGAAACGGCAAAATCCGAATGGTGTCGATTTTTGAGGCCTGCAACAATAGTGAGGGTATAGCGATACCGTGGCATGAGTATGGGTCGTCGTTGACGTTATCTCCACGACGTACGTGTCTGCAAGGATGTCGAATTCTTTCATCCCAAGTCCCATTTTGCGTGGCCTCATGACAATGCCCTAGGCCCAACTGTTCCTCAGAGTTATACCCAATCGCCGTAACCCACGTTCGTGGCTGATAGGTATATTTACATCGGGACATAGGAATTCACCCCAAACTCCTTCCACCGGACCTTCTGGGGCTGGTACTGTACCACGTCGCAATATCTCCCCTCAAGCAATTTCACAATCTCCAATGACACGTCACACGCATCGATCACCAACTTCTTTACCCGGAAGGTCGGCTCGTTTCGCTTGCTCACACAGAACAAGTCAGCTAGCCCAATCCCCGTAATCAGATTAAAGCTCACGTCTAGCACATCTAACTCCCGCTTCTTCTCCTTGAACACTGGGTGAAGCATTTTCAACGTGTAGTTGTTGAGATCGCTACTCTGATTCAAATATAACTGCCTCAAGCGTGGGGCGTGTTCCAACACCGAATCAAGCTCGAAGAACCTTGTCGTAGACAGCTGGTTAAACGTACCGTTTTTGAACCAGATATGCTGGCAGTGGCCGATGTAAAGGCTTTCCACCAATGACCCGCAGTTCCGCAAGACCTTCATCAACCCCTGAAAACTCAAAGAGGAGCCAGTGACATCCAACTGCTTGAGATGCTTCAAGGGCCTAAAAGTCTCGCTGCCAAAGTCACGCAAATGCGAAGCCCCGTCCACACGGTCTTCTCTAAGCGATAACGACTCAAGCTCACACCCGCTGGACTGGAAGATCTGCAAGAACTCGTCCCAGTTCAACGACTTGTTATTTTCAAGGATAAGATGCTTTAACTGTGGGAGATTTTTGAACATTAAGTCCGATGTGGCATTCTGGCGCAAACAGGAAAAGTCGTACCCCACAATCGTCACAGCCGCTAGATTAGGGAACCTGTTGGTCTTGAGAAGGTTGCAGAATGGAATTGTGGGATGGGCCGCAATATTTCCGCTGTGGATAAGTGAGAGCACCCTCAACGGGAGACTCGCAGGCAAACCCTCTGTTGTTGGCGGTTTGTTTTTCTCTGGGGCCATCCGGGAGGGAATGAGTTCTAGGGTATGTAGGTTGGGAATAAGCTCAAACACCTTCCATTCAAGGTTAGTGTCAAGCGGACATATAAGTCTGAGCCTTTGGACCCCCTGCACATTGCTCTTGTCCTTCTCAATGATGGTGAGTAGGTCGCCTAGGGAGGTGCTGTTGAGTCCAAGGTTGAGGCCTCGGTAGTTGATTGTTACGCGGTTAAGTAACGTGTTCAAACACGCCCGTTCGTCCAGGAGATGCGGGCGGAGCTTAACCATCCTCACTGATTTGGAATGGCTGTGTTTATTGGCCTGCACGATCCGCTGCATGCCCATGGCCATGTCTTTGAACGTAACGGCATTGCGAAATCGAATATCCTGGAAGAGTTCAGGCATATTCTTGGTTGCAGTTCGCCAAGAAGACGATAGCATCGAACAAATCAAGATGTCTTTGAATCTGAGAAGCATGAGGATCCGCTTGGTAACCTCGAGAGGGAACACCTCGAGAGGGTCAAGAGTCCGCGGCTTGAATTTCTTTCGGTCTCTGGGGATAGTCCCTAGGGATCTCTTTCCGTTTTTTGAACGCAACAGCTGAGACGAATCTCGCAAAGATTGACGAGGGAGGCTGTCTTGGATGTTTTGTAACACATCCCGAGCTGATATAATCTCCGTTTGAAGCTTCACTGTCATATTTTTCGCCCTTGCTTCTCTACTTATGACCCTTACTTCCTCACTTTTAGTCCTCATGTTTCCACTCTGGGGTCTCAATTTAGCGCCCAACGCCGCGTACTGGGATTTCAACGTGTCAAACAACTTCTCCGAGACCTTTACCTTACGCCCGACCGCCTCACCAATGAGCATTACACCTTTTCGCAACATGTCATACGCTTCTCTATCTCGCTGAAGGTGTTGCAAGTTCTTAGCTGCCCGCATGTAACCTTTGGACCCCAACGGCTCCAAACGTACCAATGTCTGGGCGTCCTGTAGGGCATTGTCATACTGCTGGAGCTTCTCAAAGCAGGCTGCTCTCTGGTCAAGAAGCGAGCCTAGTCTTGGATGAATCAATTCGCCCATAACTGGTATTTCCGGCATCTTCATAGCCACACGGATCCGCACAAGGTCTCGGGCAGAGATCCCCTCGCAGAGCGAGATCGCGTGCGAGTAGCATCGCGCCGAGCGTTTGAAATCTGCTGCCTGGAAGAAACCAATTCCTTCCTTCATGCGTTTTTCAATCTGTTCGTGTTCCAAATGCATGCAGTTGTTCCGTGAGAGAAAAAGATGGTACCAACGCGCTTGGCTTACGCGCTTGGCTTACGCGCTTTTCTTTATTTCAGATCATGTTGAGGTTTGCATGCGGCTCGGTTTTTGCTTTTGACTGGAAGGGGGAAAGTCCCGTGTTTGGGGGTTCGTGTGTTGTTGGGTATTTAACGAGCTGTCAGCGATATAGAGCTATAAATGAATCGATTTATACCTATACCTCATTACCTAGCATCTACATACTTCAACCTCGCTCCTTGCTGGGGGTCGTTGAATTGTGGTCGCGGATAATCTATCACCAATATCTGAAATCTGCTCTCATTATCAGGCTATTTCAGCATACACGCCAGCCCTGGACTCATACACGCATGTATCCATAGTTGAATCGATTATTGGTTCGGTTTGACCTTTTTCTGTATCGAGCTCCATGCCCTTTATCGAAAAGCCCTACCCCTGCAAGCGCCGCACACTAGCCGCAATTCACGTGCGGTCCGTTTCGCGCGCGTGTTCCGTACCTGTCGCAGACAACGAGCACACATAAGCTTGTAAGAATGGTGCATGTCACGGCCTAGCCTTGTTTCCCTTTATCTTCCACTTTTATCACATCAACAATGGTATCAGCAGGCAAATTTTTTACCCTAGTGGTGCTCTCCACGCTAATGGGGTTCTCCTCATACGGCGCTGGCCTTCTTCCATTGTCGGTGCCGCTCACATCGGGCAATATCAGGTCCGTCTCTGTGTTGGGGATGGGGGTGCTTGTGGGGACGGCGATGGTGATTATTATCCCAGAAGGCGTGGAAACTTTGTACAACTCGGAGTTACACAAGCCAATTAATAACGAGACCAGAACAGAGGGGGCTACCCCGGAGGAAAGCTCGGTGAGGATTAACGAACGGGAATCGCACTTTGTAGGGCTCTTTTTGCTCATGGGGTTCATGTTCATGTATTTTATGGACAATATTGGGGTGGTGGCAGCTGTTTTTGGCGGTGCCAGCGTGAAATATGTGGGAATTGAAGCGGAAGTCAATAACTACTTGCCGTCTCCGGTTCCGTCTGCCCAGTACTCCAGTTTCTGGAGCTTTCTCCGCAGCTTCTCTCCCAAAACACTCTTCCAGCTCTTATCGTCTAGTCCCACGTCGTTCGGGTTGATCATCCATTCCATGGCCGACGGTGTGGCCATGGGGTCCTCGGTCTCCAGCTCCAACATGAAGCTCAAGGGCGTCATCTTCATCGCCATTGCGCTCCACAAGATCCCCGCCGCTTTTGGGCTTGTCTCGGTGTTGATGAGCTCTAACGTGCATGTGCACACCATCAAGTTGCACTTGGCGCTCTTTGCCCTTGCGGCTCCGCTTGGCTCGTGGGTGACGTTTCTCGCTATCCACTTACTTGGAGGCTCGCCTGGTGTCATCGAGTGGTGGACCGGGGCCTTGCTTTTGTTCAGTGGCGGTACCTTCCTCTATGTGGCTGTGCACGCGATGCAGGACGTCGCGGGGCAAGATGGAAAGGCTGTTTCTGCCGGCAGTGACTCGACGGCTGTGCAAACAGGTCTCACCATTAGCGACTTTGGTATCTCTGCCCTCGGCATGGTCTTGCCGTTGTTAGTGGCTAGTGTCCGAGAATAGAGCCGTTTGCCTTGTATATCAGTAAAAAAAGTATGATTTGTATCGAATTTTGTAGATCGTAAGAGCCTAGTAAAACAAAAAATCATGATATTAGGTTAGACCCCCTTGAAGTTCATCTTTCATTTAGAAACTGTCAACAATCTTTGTGGTGCTACGATATGTGAATTCTTAGTAATCAAAAGTCCCAATGACGGATTTCGTGTCACAGAATTATTAATAATGTTGGTAGCTTCGTAAACCTGTGAGTTTCTGGTCTTGGAAAAAAACCTCTCTGTGGCACGTTTTATGCCCTTCATTATATTTTAACTTTCTTTATTAATGCTGCCATCAACTATTATACAATACCCAATCTAACCTCTTAGCGCTTCCCCAAACTCTTTCTCTTCATCCACTTGTTACGAGCATTGGTGACTCTGTTTTCAGAGACCGGGACTAATCCGATCTTCTTGGCTGAAAGCGCTGTGACTCTGACCGGACCCTTCTTAATGGTGGCCTTCTTGGCCTCGCGAAGAGCTTTGGCTTGTTGCTGTTTAATCTGTTTTCTGATCTCGTCTCTCTCCATCTCTTCGAAATCTTCCATTTTCATGTGCTTGGAAGCAGGAGCATCGTCCTTGTTGTCGCTTTCGTCCCCGCCGTTTTGCAACGACTCCAAAAAATCTTCCGGTAACAAGTCAGGGACGTCGGAATCCTTCTTCTTCTCCGCCAACCGGGTTTTCTTTTCCTCTTGTTGCTGTGTGAATTTAACATTTTGCTCTCTTCTCTTCTCTCTGTCGGCCTTCTTGGCTTCTGCTTGCATCTGCTGTTTTTGGATTTCCAACTGCTTGGTCTTGTTCCTACCACTGTTCATGGACTCTTCCTCTGGAGCATCGTCACTGTCAGATTCAGAGCCCTCCGACATTTCTTGGTTATCTTCGAGTATTTCAATACTCTCCTCGATTTCTCCAACAACCGCTTCAGCTTCTTCGGCACTAAAGACATCCCCGTGACCCTCACCATCAGAGGCGGTCTCAAATTCGTCACTGGACTGTGGAGCCTTAGCCGCACCTCTGGTTCTCCTGGCTGGTGGAGGCGACTGCTTCTTAGATCTGTTCTGGGCTGGCATTGTAGATAACTGTGAAAGGTGCTATATGAGTCTTGTAGGTGCTCAGCCTTTTAAGCACGTTCTTTTTCAGATATCTGCATGAATTTTCACGTATAATTTTTTTTGGCCCTTGTGCAGGACAAAATATCTTCTCTACATAACCATCTAGGCTCTAATTGTTATGTATATTTTGCACTAATAGCAAGACTGATGCCTTTGGCTCTCAAAGATTTTTTTCGCACATATGTCTCATGGTCAAACTGCTACCGCCTAAATAGCAAACGATGGCCCTCATGATCACGAACACCATATCCCAGCTGTCGTAGATCCAGGAGTAGGCTACCAAAGATGCCGTTAAAACGCCGACAACCATGTATAGACTATATCTGGACCATCTTGTTAGAGGCTCCACGCCTCTATCACCATGTGGATGAGGTTCATTTTCCCTGCTTTCTGGCCTCCCATACTCTTCGTGCGGGTGGCCTCCCAAGAGCGGGACCGTTTCGTGGGAGTGCTGGGGCTGGCTGGCTGGTAGAGGGGGGAAAAGGAACTTGTAGATCCCTCTCAAAAGATAGTATGAATTACTGTTAATATCTGATGGTTCCTGTGCACTGTCAAATTCGGTCCGCGGTGCGAGGCGGCTCACTGCGGAGTGGCAGGTGTCGTTCGATGTAGTGGTGCTGAGGACGCGTTCAAGAGCGGTAGAACCCGTCTGCGGCGCCAACCCTTCCTCTAACATAGGCAAGGCATCGAAAACGCGAAGCGGGGGTATTTCATTATTCATATTGGCGACATCAAAAATCCCCTGCTGGTACACTTCATCGTAGGTGTTAGCGGTTTTTGCGCGACTCTCGCTTGCTGTGGTAGGTGCAGCTTCTGGGACTGGTTCTACAGTAGGAGTCTCAGGCCGTTCCTCGGCGGGTGGGATTGGACTGGAGGATGGTGGATAAAATGTGTAATCTTCGATCGTGTCTATAAACATTACTCCGGGTCTACTTTTTGGGTGATAGTTCAAGGTTATGCGTGTCCACGTATTTGTAAGAAGTATCTTATCATCTGTAAAAAAGCTAGTAAAACAAGAGCCGGAGCAAATTAAACTCGAATTTGACGATTTACTGGCGGCTAGTTTCTCTCTGTGGTCTGCTCTGCTAAATTGGTCAAAAGTTAAATCGCGTGCAAAATGCAACTGTGCGTACGTCTTGCATCCGAGAGCGGCATAATAATTTTACGTCAGGGCTTGGAGTAGCCCCCCCCCCTTACAGCTTTCCAATGAATTTCTTCTATAAGTCTCCTTTATATAAATCTGTACCATCTACACAACCGTGTAGCCACCATCGACTCTGATATCAGAGCCCGTGGTATACGTAGACGCATCGGATGCCAAGTATAAGTAAGCACCGACTAATTCCTCGGGCAAGGCACTTCTCCCCATCGGGATTAACTGCCACCACTTTTCCTTCAAACTGGATTCGGCAAACTCAGCGAGAGCGGTCTCGATGTATCCTGGCGACACACTGTTCACACGCGCGAAGCCAGCCCATTCAACGGCAAGAGATTTACTCAAGTGGAGGCAGGCAGCCTTGGCGGCGTTGTACGGAGCCTGTAGTTGCGGAACGTTCACAATATGCCCCGACATGGAGGCTGTGATGATGAAAGAGCCTTTACTCTGCTCACGGAACACCTTCCCGATGGCTTTGGCGCAGTAGTACACAGAGTTCACGTCGAGATTCATCACCTTGTGCCAGTCGTCGTCCCCTTCTACATCCAACATCGAACCAGCCGTCCAGGCCACGCCTGCGTTGGCCACGAAAATGTCAATCCTTCCGAAGTCCGCCACTTGCTGCTTGATCGTTGCCTCCACCTGTTTGGAGTCATCCACCGCGCATTTGTAGGCTCTGCAGACGATTCCGTATTTCTCGCTCAAGGCTTGCGCCTTATCGTCTGCAGGAGTGGAGTTGTACCAGATGGCAATGTTAGCGCCTGCTTGGGCGTAGGCCTCGGCTACGGCGTAGCCAATACCTTGGGAGGAACCGGTGATAGAAGCGGTTTTACCCTTCAAGGAGAACATAGCTAACACGTGGGTGGGCAACTCTGGCGCAGGACGGGGTAAAGCGCCGATAGATTCATTGATTAAGCTTTTAGGAGGCATGTAGGGTAGTTTGACAGTATGATTAAGTCGTTAATTTGTTACTAGTATAATTAAACTCAAAGTGGGGGGGTCCTGTGCTATTTATAGTGGCACCCGGTATCTAAACTGAACATATCCGACTGGAGGATTCCAACGTTATGCGCATCTCCTGCTGACGTCATTGAGCCTTGAATGGAGGGTTCTCGGCTCTCGGTCGAATAGCTACATGAACCGAAACGGCTTCAGTTTCCTAGCTCTAGGATGCAGGCTAGGCTGCATGTGGACTTGTTGGTGCGGCTTCAACGTCGGCCGTTAGACACAATACACTGACTAGCTTTCTCTCTAATTCATCCACGAAGTGCGTTGAAAAAGTGAGTTAAGAGATAGAAGTGATGTGTGCATAGATCACCATATATTACGCACAACGTATGTTACACCGGTTTTGCTTAAATATATATAGCTTAAATGTGATATTTGCATATATGTATTGCTTACTTATCAATTTAACTGAATATATACTTAGTTTAATGGAAAAAATCAACAAGAGCTACTAGTAGCACTATATACTTAGATTCGGAGGTTGATTTTTATATATATATATACTTATATATTAGAATAAACATGTTAAAATATGATTATTTAGTTCCTCAGATATCCATGTTTAGAGGGAGATAAATTAAATCCACTTTGCGTAAAATATATATACATATCTGAGGTATAACGTGTGTAATACGCCAAAGATAGGTATTTGACACTGTGAATTTCTTTACGTGCGTTCAAGTACCAGATATGCTTACCACTGAAAATACGCAAGCTTTCAAGTGAAGTGCGTCGGGGATATTCATGAAATAGTGCGTGAGACGCCGGCTCGAAGCGTCCCGATATTTTCCGGTATGTCCCGGTTAGAAATGTACAGGATACTTCTTGCGAAGCGTTACATAGATAACTAGATGGTCGTCCTATCAGGTAAGCTAGTACCTACAAGCCACTCCAGTCAACCCATTATTGGTGAATCAAAAACCAATCTATTGGGTTCAAGCTAATAGAGGTTTATGGCACTTTTCATCACTACGCATCATAGAGGCTTGAGATATGTGCTCTTATGTCTAGTCAAATAGCTATCTCCATGGCGCGTATCTCCATGATGTGTAACTACATGAATCAGATCTATCACAATTAGATATTACTAGCACAACCTGCCAATGAGAAAACAAGCGCTAAAAAACTAAACTTTTATGGCAAACAGTAGCCACCGTCCACTCTGATGTCCGAACCAGTGGTGTAGGTAGAGGCGTCACTGGCCAAATACAAATATGCCCCAACCAACTCCTTAGGCAACCCCTCTCTTCCCACTGGGGTCAATTGCCACCATTTGGACTTGATGTCAACAGACAAGAAATCAGAAATTTCAGTCTTTATGTAACCAGGAGAGACAGAGTTGACCCGGGCAAAACCGGCCCATTCCACAGCCAAGGATTTCCCCAAGTGGATACAGGCAGCTTTGGCGGCGTTGTAAGCGGCCTGCAACTGGGGAACATTGACGATGTGCCCAGACATAGAACCGGTGATGATGAAGGAACCCTTACCATTCTTGCGGAAGATCTTACCAACATTCTTAGCACAGTAGTACACCCCGTCCAAATCCACCGAGATCACCTTGTGCCAATCGTTGTCGCCCTTGGCATCAATCATTGGGCCAGCAACCCACGGGATCCCTGCGTTAGCGACGAAGATGTCAATAGTACCAAAGTCGGCTTCTTGCTGGTTAATCGTAGCCTCCACCTCAGCGGAGCTGGTGATTTCGCACGAGTAGATTCTAACCGTAACTCCGGTAGCCTTTCTAATACGCTCAGCCTGGGCCTCAGCGTCAGACTCAGGGGTGAACTTGGAGTAGTACCAAAGGGCGATATCCGCACCCGCCTGGGCGTAGGCGGTAGCAACTTCGTAGCCGATACCGGTGGCAGAGCCGGTAATAGAGGCAACCTTGCCCTTAAGCGAGAACATGTCCAAGACATGGTTTGGCAAAGTTGGGTCTGGCCGAGGCAACGAACCAATGGTGTCGTTGATGTGCGATCTGATTTCAGAGGTCATGGAGTAAATTGGTGAAGAATGGAGTGGAAGAAGGGCCTATAAGGAAAAGAGCATACAGGTAAATCAAAAGGAGGTGAATGTGTGCATTTATAAAGAATTCCAAGGACCTGTGAAAAACTTTGGCGAAATTTCACGGCTCCGAGAAATACTGCTCAAATGTAAATAGATGACCTGGCGAGGTCTAGTCTCCACATTAATGGTAGGTCGCTGGCCGTCTGTGCGGGATTTTTCCCCTTTAAGCAATCTCCGAGCGTGAATCTCGCAGCCCTTCCTAGCTGCGGCCCGCCCCACGGTAAGGGTGGTCATCTATTTACTCCGACCTGCATGTGTGGAAGCCACCGCATCCACCTTCTCCGAAAAGAAGAGGTAACCCACTTAACTTACTTGGTTAACAAGACCTACAGAGTATTTAAGAAAAATACCATTCACATTTAGCCAATACTCCGTTTTAGAAATCCCCCATGAGTACGAAGCAATTTTCTTTTCTTTTCACGTGGGATTGAAGGGCCGGGCTTAGGACAGAGACACCGCGTTAAGGTTCACGGCGTTTTTATTCGTGCGTTTGTTTCCCCGGAGCGCGGATAATTTTTCAGCATCCGCGTAACGTACGCACCCCGACCTGGCAGAAGACAGGGATCAATACCACTAGTGCAAACGTAGCGGGGATTGAATAATTAGTGTCTTGCACGTTAAGGAGGTTCTAGAGCGAATAGGCCATTTAGGCAACGCTTACAGATCTATTAATAGAAAGTGTGCTTTTCTTTTTCTAGACCGTAAGCCACCTCATTGTAATAAACTAGTATGCATGCATCCGATTGTACAATAAAAGTTGTAGGGTTGAAAATGCTATTTCCTCGTGTAAACCCACGAGGGTGTGAGGCGGTAAACCTCGATAACGATATTCACAACCGGAAACACCAAGTACTTTTAACTTTCAACCTTTATGTTTCCGAAGGCATAAACAGGTGGAGACGAAACCCCCCCGGCTTTGGCACCTTTGACGCTACACTAAGTTTATACCCTTACGTTCATGCCAAGCACTTCTACAGTAAAACCAAGATAAAAAAAACATGCAATTTTCTGGTGGAACTCAGAGAGAGACTAGAAGTTTCGGATTCACGCATAATAAATCTATGGTTGACACCTACGTTGATTTTAAATCCTTGTAAGTAAAGACTTGGCTTTCCGAGATGCTCAGACCTCAATCCAAGTCGATATCAAGCTCAATGGCGTCGGGGTTCTCAGGCTCCTTCTTGAGCGACTCACTGGTGACCTTTGGCCCCGTGGAGGACTTGACAAAGACAACACCGCCGTTATCGCCGGCAGCGAGCGACGGATCGAGGACCTCACGTTCCTTCAAGCTCAATTCAATCTGGCGTTTGTAACGCAACATCTGTTTATATGTAGCCTCAGTACCGTGCGCGACCTCGAATGCCGACCAGCGGTCCCAGATGCCCCAGTCGGCGGCACGGAGTGAGACAATTAAGTTGGCGGCGGCATAGCGGAAGAGCTCTCTGACACGCGTGAGCTCCAACGCGGCCGTCTCTATGTCAACCAACTGCTCTGTGAGCTGCCAGATCTGCGCATTGCTGAGAAATTCGTCGCTGAGCGCGCTTTCGTAAAGCTTGCGGGTCTCCGGCACGCCGAGACTAGCCAACGCCTGCTTGAGGTAGATCTGGCGGAGGTCAAAACGGTCCAGTGTGGCGAGGATGCTCTTCTGACCGAGAAGCTTTTCGTACATCCGGAACGCGCGCTTGCTGAAGCCCATACTGATTTCCCAATTACCATAGCTTAACACGATGGCCTTGACAAAGCTACTCCCCAGCGTGGTTTCCGCGACAGAACACGATTCCAAGGCCTGTTCGAACAAGTCTCTGATGCGCTCGTTGCTCACAACCGCCTGTCGCGCCAACACCTTCGAGAGGTAGATGTTCCAGATCTCGTAGTTGACGGGGAACTTGAACAACGCCACACCCTTTTCGTACACTGTAAAACTCTGCTCGAAGCGGTGGACCGACTCCAAGAAGTTGGCATAGTTGACAATTACCACGGGTGTCGCGATTTTCATGCGGAGAATCGACTCGTACGCCTGACAGATCTGGTCGATGGTTGTAGGGTCGTCCCCCATCGACTCCATCAAGTCGAGATACAACGTCCACAACTTGACAGACTTGAACACGCGCTGCTGGGGCTTGAGGTTGGCGTCCTTGAAGCTGATCTTCCGGGCTTCTTCCACCACCGATGGAGCAATCTGCTTTGAAACATGGTCAATAAACAAGACCTGTTCGAGCACCCTAAGCGCGTGGTCGAAGTCATCATGCCGCAATTCCATGTCGCACCACCCGCTCCATACCTCCACGAGCTCCTCCACCGTGCCGTACTCCACCTTTATGGCACGGTCAAAGATGACACGCGCGGTCACGAGGTCGCCGTTGGCTTCATACACTCCCGCGTAGCGGAGCCAAATGCGGTGCAACGCCTTGCCTTTGAACGGTGAGATTGTCGTGAGCGAGCGCACCATGTCTGCGAGCATTGCCTCGAGCTGTGCCGGCCCGTAGAGCGCAAAGCGCGCCATCCAGTCATCCACGCTGTGTGGGTTCTGGCGAAGCAACACATCGTTGAGGAGGAACGGGCGACGATCCATCAAATTTTCGAATTGCGCCATCTGAAGGTCCAAGTCGGCAACAACTACAGACTTTGAATGATCCACCTCACTCACTTCCTTCTGTTCACCCTCTTCACGGTTCTGGACCATTCCGTGGTCCTTTATTTCTTCCACCCGTTCTCTTTCTTCCACCCGCTCCATGGTCTTCTCTATCAACCCTTCCAACAACGCCAGATACGTGTCAAAGATCAAAGTAAAGTCCTTCACGGTCATGGACTGTTTCAACCCCTTTTCAAAATATTCTGACGCCTTGCGGAAATTCTTTCGTTTAGCAAAGTATGTGGAGAGCTTCACGTAGAGTCGGCTGACCTGGTCGGGGAAGCGGGCAAGACCGTTGGCTACCAAGTTCTCCACAAATGTGTCTCTAGGTTTTCCGCGCATTGCAGCGTCGCAAAAGTCGCTCCACAAGTCCAACGGACTCTTGTCGATGATTGTGGGATTGTACAAGATCTCGGGACTAGAGAGGACGTCGTCGAGGATGCGCAAACATTCGTCCACATCACCTAGTGCAACCAACTGTTCAATTACCATCTGAACCTTTGTTGGATCATACTCGTAGTAGCGACGGTACACCGCCACCGCAGTAGAGCCGCCTACGGATGCAGCAAAGTTGAGGAAGTGGGGCCAGATAAGACCGTGCTGGGTGAGCGGGAGTGCCTGGAGACACCGGTTGAAGGTGCGTCGCGTGCGCGTGATGTCGGTCTGGCGGCGCAAAAATGCGAGATAGCGGAGCCACACGAGTGGAAGCGCATGGTTGTGCACCAACGCGCGGTCAAACAATGCATTTACCCGTGCAAACTGGCGGGCGTGGAAGTGCGGATGCGCGGTGTCCAAAAGCAGCACACGGAGGTCAAGGTAGAGAGTCCAAAACTTGTACGAGCGCGGAAACTGGTGTACCGCACGCTCGAGGAGGAAGATGCGGTCATAGGCGGGACCGTTTGCCTTGGCACGGTAGTACTTGAGCCAGGCAGCAATGTCATAGGGACTCGCTAGAATCTCTTGTTCATAGCGAGTATCATCCTCAGAAATGAGGTGCAAACCAATAGGACCGGGCATCAAAGAGCGTGGATAGCAAGGGAGAAGTTGGAACGGCAACAAGACCTTTTGATAATGACATAGTCTAAATGTACAAAAATTTGGCTGGTGTATATACAGGATATATAAACGGACTGCCTGGATGCGCGAGAGATGGATAGTAACGAAAATTAGTAAAAAGGAAGTGTTAAATAGTAAAAACGATCCAGAGGTAATAAGAGGTACTATATAAAAGGTAATAGGGAGCTGACCGTCATATAGATCGATTTCGCTGGGTGTCCCATCAAACTACCGGAATGCTACAGTTCTTGCTATCTTGCAGCTACTTCCATCCTGTGTGTCAAAACATGGTTCCAAAATCCTAGAAAGGGAAAGGTGACAGGATATAATGAATAAACCTCACCCATGTTAATATTTAAAGCTAGAGAAAAAATCTAATATAAACGATGAAGTACGCCTTTATAGATCCAAAGGTCAACATCCTTTATTGACGTTTTGGCCTAGATACTTGAAAAACATCAATATGTTTACAAATTTTTGGTCATGATTTACCATCCCCGAGGAAATTATCACTGTAAACCGAGAGACTATTGCTCAGTATATACGAATTTGCTAATTATCACAGTAGACATCTTTAGCTAGCAGTGAGGTTGGTGTGGCAACTTGTGGCGGTGCACTAGCTAACCCTTCCCTTAGCACGTGCACGATTACCCGCTCTAAGCTCCTGCTATCAATCATCCAGCTGTCTCCTCGATAACGAAAAACGGTGATAAAACTGCCGAGGTCTACGCTTGACAGCTATCTATTCATACACCACTATCTACAATGTCTGGTGCTGGTAACAGAGAACAGGTCTTCCCGACCCGTATGACCTTGGGGACCATGAAAATCAAGTTAAAGGGTGCCCAACAGGGCCACAATTTGTTAAAGAGAAAGTCCGAAGCCTTGACCAAGCGTTTCAGAGACATCACCCGTCGTATTGATGATGTATGTGTGATCTACCAGAAAGAGTGTCTAAAGTGATAAAGGAGATTGCTTATCGAAGAGTGAATGTTGAGTTGTCCCGGGCGTCACGTTAGTGTAATCCCTTACAGCGATATCGGAGATGCCTAGGCGTCATGTTGCTCTGATAAGGAAAAGATACATTGCAATTGCCTCGCCCTTATTCGCTAGACTGCCTCCCGATGAACCTTACTAACTCCTTTAGGCCAAGAGAAAGATGGGGAGAGTTATGCAGACAGCTGCGTTCTCGCTTGCCGAAGTAACCTATGCCACCGGTGACAACATTGGGTACCAGGTACAGGAATCGGTGCAGAATGCCCGTTTCCAGGTCAAGGCAAGACAGGAGAACGTTTCGGGTGTGTACTTGCCGCAGTTCGAGACCTACTTGAACAAAGATATCAACGACTTCAAGATGACCGGTTTGGGGAGAGGTGGGCAGCAAGTGCAAAAGGCCAAGATGGTATACACCAAGGCTGTCGAGACCCTCGTGGAATTAGCATCCTTGCAGACAGCTTTCATCATTTTGGACGAGGTCATCAAGGTGACCAACAGAAGAGTCAATGCCATTGAGCATGTCATCATTCCGAGAACCGAAAACACCATTAGTTACATCAACTCCGAGTTGGATGAATTGGACAGAGAGGAGTTCTACCGCTTGAAGAAGGTCAAGGAAAAGAAGCAGCAGGCGTCTGCCCTTGCAGAGAAAGAGAATGCTGCCAGAAAGCTACTCAGAGCCGAGACTGCTGCTGCTGCCGGGAAGGCCTCTGACGTGGACACGGATGCGAAAAACTTGTTGACTACTGAAGACGTGACCATCGCCGAGACCGAAGATGACGTTATCTTCTAGGTGATTGTTTTGTGTATTTTTAGTTCTTCTGTACCCCGGTGCGCTTTTTCTCAATAGAGTCTTTATTTAGTCGAGGTGAACCGTTTAATTAAATCACCACGTGGATTCGTACTGGATGTGGACCATTACATGTGATCGAAACAGCCGAAGGTGTGACGTTCACGGTACTTCACGTTGACGTTTTTTTGGATAGAGAATGATAAAACCGGCGGCGGGTATGGAATCGACTAGACTGGTTATCCAGGGGACTAATGAACGTTTTTTTGCGTTACAATTCTTGTGTCTTTTCATTTACGGTCGGGAGAGTTCACAGTAAAATCAGGAAATTTGGCGCTCTGTTTCAACAAAAGCTTCCCCCACACTAAGCCCCAGGATGTAACCGAAACCATACGGCGTGTTAGAGATTTCATGTATAGCAACATTGTAGACATAAAATCCCTTGGGATATGCGGTGCAGTTGTCAGCCCTCTATGAAGTCATCATAAAAGACTGGCTTCCGTGCTTTTTGAGTGTAACATTATATGCACATTCCGCAGTGAGGACGATGAAACCGAGTAACAATCTTTATTGACACAGTCATACGCTTGGTATATGGTAAATTGGCCGCGCTTATAGTGCGGTCAAGTCCAGCGGAATTCAGGAAAGGAGTCTGAAAGTTTGATACAATTCCAGACTCACTGTTTTCATGGACATCTCAAACACAGACCTGTCTAACATATCTACACCCCGGATGCTTATTTTCTGTATACGTCAAAGGTACACACTCATAATTTATATCATCGCCTAGTTACTTATTACTACAATACCTAGTATGTTTCTCTCCTAGAGTTCCCACAGTCCCAAATACAACCTCATCTGAAGATGCCAATTCGGTAAAACTGCGCATTGAACAGCCAAGAGACCCATCTCAATTACCAAATGTGAGAGGCTGTGGCGGGGCCGACTTTGGGGTATGCATTTAACACAGGCATCACATCCCAACAATTGTACGAGGTTCAAAACTAACGTCTTATCAATGACAATAAGGGCTTTAACTATTACCCTGATAACAGCTGTAAGCCCCCCTACCCAGCTCTGACTTTACGATTAGCTCGCCTGTATGACACGCGGCACCCCAGAGTCCATCTACAGCACTACGGAGGTTTGAAGCTCTCACAATACTAAGTCATAATAAGGCCAATGCAGCAGGTGATTAAGGAAGATGAATTGGCGCTGAAACATTTTGTTAAGCCTCTCTCAACACTGCCAATTGTGCTTTATTTGAAAAAAAGAGAGTCCCGCAACACCTTCGACGGCCCCACGGAATACCGAGCCCTGCCGCCCTCCCTCCCAGGGCCCATATGCTCACTCCTCGCACGTGCGCATATCCCCCGGTACCGGTCCCGTCGTCGGCGTGCGCTATGAACCATCGCTGCGCAGGGCACATATCCATTTTTCACTCTGACTCACGGCATTGCGAAATTCACCAGATTTTTCACCTATATAAAGATCAGCCGCTTTCTCCTGCGAGGAGCAACAGCTACCCTTTTCTCCATTTCAACGTTCGAATCGTCATTACACAATGATCTCTACCACCATGAGAGCATCCGCTGCCCGCAGAGCGGCTTCCCTTGCGCGTTCCAGCAAGGGCCTCACATCCCAGCTTTTGGCCTACAGAACGTATTCCTCCTCCGGCCGTCCAACCCCGGCGCCGGCCTTCAACGGGGAAGCCTCCCAGAGCAAGTCATCGGCCAAGGTTGCGTACGCAATGAAGGACAACGTGATGGATGACTCGCTTATCGGTCTTTCCGGTGGTGAAATCTTCCACGAGATGATGGTCAGACACAAGGTGGACACTATTTTCGGCTACGCCGGTGGTGCCATTTTGCCGGTTTTCGACGCCATCTACAATTCCCCTCACTTCAATTTTGTCATCCCAAGACACGAGCAGGGTGCGGGACACATGGCTGAGGGGTACGCCCGCGCCACGGGTAAGCCAGGTGTGGTTGTGGTCACCTCTGGACCGGGCGCCACCAATGTGATCACCCCCATGGCCGATGCGCTTGCCGACGGTGTGCCGTTGGTCGTGTTCACAGGACAGGTTCCCACCACCGCTATCGGTACCGACGCGTTCCAGGAGGCTGACGTCATCGGGATCTCCCGTTCGTGCACGAAATGGAACGTAATGGTTAAAAACGTCGCCGAATTGCCAAGGCGCATCAACGAGGCGTTTGAAATTGCCATGTCTGGCCGGCCTGGCCCGGTTTTGGTCGACTTACCAAAGGATGTCACCGCTGCCATTCTCCGCGAGGCCATTCCTATCAAGAGCACTCTTCCATCGAACGCCTTATCCAAGATTACCAAGCAGGCGGCACAGGAGTTCACTCTCCAGGCGATCCAGAGATCTGCTGCTTTGCTCAACAAGGCTAAGAAGCCGCTTCTTTACGTTGGTGCCGGTATCCTCAACTCCGAGGAAGGCCCAAAGCTCCTTAAGGAGTTGTCCGACAAGGCGCAGATCCCGGTCACCACCACCTTGCAGGGGTTGGGTGCTTTCGACCAAAGAGACTCCAAGTCGTTGGACATGTTGGGAATGCACGGTTCCGCCGTGGCCAATACGGCCGTGCAGAATGCCGATTTGATTATCGCTCTCGGTGCCAGATTTGACGACAGAGTCACGGGAAACATTGCCAAATTCGCTCCGGCGGCCAAGCTTGCTGCCCAAGAGGGTAGAGGTGGAATCGTGCACTTTGAAATCTCGCCAAAGAACATCAACAAGGTCGTGGAGGCGAACGAAGCCGTCGAGGGTGACGTCACCGACAATTTGCAGCACTTCCTCCCATTTGTTCACCAGAGGTCTGCCGAAGACAGATCCGAATGGTTCACCCAGATTGCCGCGTGGAAGGAGAAGTACCCATACGCGTATTTGAAGGAGACCCCAGGCTCCAAGATCAAGCCACAGACGCTCATTGCCGAGATTTCCCGCCAGTGTAACGCCATTGAGGGCAAGGATACTATCGTCACCACCGGTGTCGGCCAGCACCAGATGTGGGCTGCGCAGCACTGGACCTGGACCAAGCCTCGCTCCATGATCACTTCTGGTGGTTTGGGGACCATGGGGTTCGGTTTACCAGCCGCCATCGGTGCTCAGATCGGGAGACCGGACGCGATTGTCGTGGATATCGACGGTGATGCCTCCTTTAATATGACCTTGATGGAGTTGTCCTCTGCCGTCCAGGCTAAGGCGCCAGTCAAGGTGGTTGTGTTGAACAACGAGGAGCAAGGCATGGTTACCCAGTGGCAGTCGTTGTTCTACGAGCACCGTTACGCCCACACCCATCAGTCTAACCCGGACTTTATGAAGCTCGCCGAAGCCATGTATTTCACCGGGATCAGAATCGAGAAGCAAGAGGACTTGGTGCCTGGTATCGCCAAGATGTTGGCTACCGAAGGCCCGGTCTTGGTTGAGGTCATGGTTGAGAAGAAGGTTCCGGTTTTGCCGATGGTGCCAGCCGGCAAGGGCTTGGACGAGTTTATCGTGTATGATGCTCAGGTCGAGGCCGATGAGAAGGAGTTGAGACAGAAGAGAACTGAAGGAGCGCACTAAGCATGCGGATGCGAGTGCGTAGTACAAGTTTGGGCAAAGTTTGATGTGAAAGCCTTTAAGCCCCCGGGGGGATACTGGGTCGGAAACTTAGTTGAGTGTATAATAGCCAGCTGTCAGCGGCGATCGTGTTTTTAGTTCTATTTAAATAAAGTTGCATTGTATGAAAGTGTAAGGCAAGGGCAAATAGGGGGTATCCGAAGAATAAGCCTTCTGAAGTGAAATGAGGGCCCTTGGTCACGGAAAGCTTACGCCGCATCGGAATTGTTAATGAAATGTAGGGGATTGTAGGATGGGTGGATAGTACAATCTTGCATTGAGAAGAGGCCAGAATTATTCGGACTAGAAGGAGAGAAGAATCGTAAGCCATTTGTGAGTTTTGAGATAACAGGAAAGACAATTATGCTGAGACCACAGGAAAAGGTGTTTTACTCATATTTTCAGGGTATAAAACATTGTACAATGGCTCAACAGATGTATCATGCGCTGGAACGAACTCACACCCAAAAGAAATACGCTAAAATAGTTGATTGGTATCGGCTTCTATAAAGGGTTAAGTCAGGATTTTTTTACCAAAGTTTCACCCGCTAGGTTGTGCCGGACTTTGGGGAAGTTAGAGTTATGAACGGAGCCAGGCGACTCGAAGTCAGAGCCCGAGTCGATCATACGCTCAAGAGTCGTGTTTCAGCCGGCGCCGCATCAGTTCGCCCATAGACTCCGAGCGTGCAGGCCCTCTTTTACTGGTAAAGTTGATATCCTACTGCTCTTTGTCCGATCTCCTTTAGCCTCAAAGCGGTTAGATATTACGCTGATTCAACAAAGGCATTTTGTACCAGCTAAGACACTGCGTATACCCCCTTACACTCGACGCAGCTACCTGCTCTCTACTCGATCCGCAGCTGTGTCAAAAGTAGACGTCGCACACTGTTCAACTTTTCATCCATTACCCCAGAGTTTACCATGTTATCGTTCTTATCGTTTACAATCTCCTTTACAGGGCTAACCTTGCTCAGCTATGTCTTCCTATACCACCGCATCAACAACTTTCTTGGATTTCCGCGGGACATTGATGCCTCTCCTCGCTACGAAGTCGCACCTAAATTACGGGCATACCACACGGTATTGTTGAATCTTCTTCCGTGGTCCACCAGACTCTTCTTTGGTATATCTGTCAGTTTATCTCTCCACCTCGCCTTCATGATCTTACTTGAAATCATGTCGTTTGCGCGAACCACGGTGGATGAAAAGGGCCAAGCCACACCGTCTTCCAGCCTGGCCCTTATTAACTTCACGCTCAAGATGCTTGTGGTGTGCCTTGCAGCGATACAGCCGTTTCTCATCTTCACCAACATGGCCCTGCAATGGCACCAGCTGCGTCTTTCAACCGCCATGTTTCTGAAGAGATCGGCGTTTTTTGTTGTCATGGCGTACGCGACCTGGTGGTTGGTCTTGTCTTACATGCACGCTTTTTTCGCAGATGCTGATGAATCAGCTGCTATCTCCCAATCTATCGTGCTCGATATCTCTCTTGTGGGGGTGGTATTCACAGGGGTGCTTTCGGGGATTGGCTGCGTCCTGACACCATACACGCTCTTTTTTGCGCGCAAACGGCCACGGTTCACCCCAGAAAAGCTCCGGCGGATGCAGGGGTCGCTTCGATCCATGGACAACATGGTCAGCATCAAACAGCGCGAATTGCAGAACTTGCCAGGGGGTATTGACGACACCGCAGCCACGAGCAGCACTGACAGAAACTACTCAATCACCAACTTGTTCAAGCTCCAGTTTCAGTCCAAGGAGACGTCTAACCGGAAGGATGTGGAACGAGAGTTGGAGTCTTTGCTGAAGATGCAGGAAAATCTAGCGCGAGACGTGGAGCAGTGCCGCAAAGTGGTGGACAAAAACAAGGCGAACTCTCCTATCGATTACTTGGTGGACCTTGTAACGGTAAAGATTTTTTCGATCTATTGTATCTACCGCATTTTTTCGGTGGTGGTGGTTGGGTTTTTGTTCTACCAGGTGGTGTTCCCCGTTTTCAGCAGCGTCATCGACCAGAGTGAGGCAACAGAGCCGAACTCCCACGATGTATTGGCCATCACCATTGCCAAGCTCATACTAGCTGCGTACGATATCGGAATCGAGGAAAAGATGTTGGTAAACCAGCTATCATTTCTTATCTCCTCCGGGCTTTTCGTTTGTTCCTTGACCAATGTGATGAATAGCGTGGACAAGTTCATGAAGTTGCTTCCGGGCTCATTCCAGGTGAATGAGGGGGGCAAGCGGGGTACGGTGCACGCAATAGTCGTTCGCATAATCCCCATCCTCATGGCTGAACTCCTCGGGGTGTACACGCTATCGACCATTTTCATGTTGAAGACGACGATTCCGTCCACCTTCTTCAGCAATTTATTGGTAAAGGCCAGCGAGAATACGAACCAGGAGTATCTCAAACACTTGAACAAGATGAATTCGATTCAGATTATCACCATCTTTGACCTGTGGTTTTTGGTGGGGTGTTTGATCAGCGTGATATCCATTGGTCTTGACATGATCAACAGCGACGAGTTTGATGAGTATGACGACATTACGGACGACTACGCCGCAGGATACGTGGCCATGGGCGAGGAATTGGTCCTGAAGGGGGTTTAGGGGTACTCGCAAATGGAAGATGGCATGTCTACCGAGGAAGCTATTTGAATCTAGTTTGGACGGAGGTATACTGTAATGCGGGTTGTGAGTATTTGCGGCCAAATGTGATTGGGTACCTACTAAACCCAGGGATAATACAGTTTTTATCGGTAAAGTGACTGTTGGAAGAATAAAATAGATATCAATAAAGGGATGGACTATGTTTATTTGTACGGATAGAATTCTAAACCTGATATCTTACTGTGGTGCACATGAATGCCTTACCGAGGGCACCAGCATAGCCGGTCTATAGAGAGTATAGCTGGTATTGGTGTAACCTGAAATCTGAATCTGGCTGTAACACCATATTTAATCGCAATACTATCTATTATGGGATATTTATGTTAGTAAGTCAGACACTGATCTGCTGTTCGCCGACGCTCCAAGGGCCCACAATTAGCATTTGCTTCGCTTGTTTGAGCTTTCTTAGAGACTTCTAGAGGGCTCGATTTATAATATCCATTATTCGTGAAGAAGCAACTTATGGCTCCGTTTCACTTATGCCAACTATGAATGCTGCATACGATAGAGTTTTCACCCTTGGTTGTAACTTAAGCGTATACGCACGTGTACGAGCCAGGAGTTTCAACAGTTCTCTTTTTGGAAGAAATCTCTGAAAACAGATTTAGGAATTTTTTTACCAGCTCCACTCATTATTTCTAGCACGTAACTCCGTATTGACGCTATAGGTGTACCACGCTTGACAGGTACCTGATCTGGTGTAACCTATGGAGCACATATCGTCACATGCTAAACGTATTCCACGAGCGGATAAACCACACGCGAATATCCCGTTACTGAAATCAATAATTAAGGGGGGGGATGGGTAACGATTTGAGCCTCATGAAGAAATACAAGTCCGCAGTATTTACTCACACAAAGAGCTACAAAGCTATCAGATCTTGTCACGGTATGCCTGCTTATTGAGCCATTCAGGTGGTATTCTCCAATACACGTTCGCTTGTTTACACAACTTGCAAGCTGCAGATTGTTCTACAGATTGTTTTGCAGATTGTTCTGCAGATCGCTCTGTACGATCGTATTGCTAGGTCGCTGCACGTCGTATACTGAACGATGAACGACAGATATCCGGCACAGAAATCTGGAAAGCCAGAGCGTGTCGGGAGAAGGGCGTCGGCGTGAAAAGTTTCTATAAATCAGGGCCACCTGCCGCTTTTTACTCACCCTTTTTTTCCCTCTTCTTCCCCATAATTCAACTTTGTTACTTTTCGCTCAACGCTACTAGTCCCAGATGTCTAATAACTACACCCCAGCATTGGCTACCAAGACTTTCCAACAGGACAAGGAACTCTCCAAGTCCTACCATGGTGACTCCGCTGCCAAGCGTGGTGGTGCGCTCGCGTGGCTCTCTAAGAGGAAGGGTGACACCCAGGACTTTGTTGTTTCTGAGTACATGAAAAACTGGAAGGATGTCAAGGACGAAAACGAGCGTTTGGACAACTACAAGGACCTCACCGCCCACTACTACAACTTGGTCACCGACTTTTACGAGTATGGTTGGGGCTCCTCGTTCCACTTCTCCCGTTACTACAAGGGTGAAGCCTTCAGACAGGCCACTGCTAGACACGAGCACTACCTCGCTGCTAAGATGGGCATCGACGAGAACATGAAGGTGTTGGACGTTGGCTGCGGTGTCGGTGGTCCAGGAAGAGAGATTTGCCGTTTCACCGACTGCCAGATCGTCGGGTTGAACAACAACGATTACCAGATTGAACGTGCCAACCACTACGCTCAAAAGTACAAGTTGGACCACAAGTTGTCCTACGTCAAGGGTGACTTCATGCAGATGGATTTCGAGCCTGAAACCTTCGACGCTGTTTACGCCATCGAGGCTACTGTCCACGCGCCAGTCTTGGAAGGTGTCTACGGTGAAATCTACAAGGTTTTGAAGCCGGGTGGTGTTTTCGGTGTCTACGAGTGGGTCATGACTGACAAGTACGACGAAAACAACCCAGAACACCGCAAGATTTCCTACGGTATCGAGGTCGGTGACGGTATTCCAAAGATGTACAAAAACGAGGTTGCCAAGCAGGCGTTCCTCAATGTCGGCTTCGATATCGAGTATGAAAAGGACTTGGCCGATGTGAACGATGAAATCCCATGGTACTACCCATTGGCGGGTGAATGGAAGCACGTCCAGTCTCTCGGTGATGCCTACACCATCTTCAGAACCTCCTGGTTGGGGAGAAGAGTCACCACTGGCGCCGTTGGCCTCTTGGAAAAGTTGGGTATCGCTCCAAAGGGTTCCGTGCAAGTCACCGAAGCCTTAGAAGACGCCGCCATTAACTTGGTTGAGGGTGGTAAGCAGCAGTTGTTCACTCCAATGATGTTGTACATTGTCAGAAAGCCACTTGACGCTGGTGCCGAGGCCTCCGCCAAGTCTGCCAAGGCCGTTGAACAGGCTATGAAGGCTGCCGCGAAGCACTAAATACCCTCCCTGTATAATAGCAAAATAATATCGAATAATAGTTATATCCCTGTAGATTTACATAATAAATGGTGGATTGGACGGGCCTTATGCAAATGGCACTGAAGTAGCATATATATAACTTACCGCACACGCGGCCCTTTACCAGTCGCAACCAACGCACAGTCAGTTCTTTAACTATACCGGTCTTCCTGAGTGGCTATCTCAAACCTTAGGTTTTGACCGAAAACAGTAGACGGGCGGAACAATGTAACACCCCTGACCAAAAGAACTGTACGTAGAGATGATAACATATAATTGTTTGCGCGTAGATACAAGTTGAATAGATATCCCCACAACCTGCTCCTAAAATCTGACTTTGAGCAACTAACCAATGTCCTCAAACATTCCCTAGGTAACAAGCCATGACCACATATCAGCCCGTATAATATTATTGGCCCTGGGTTTACCTCCATAGTTACACATACACAACAACGTTGCTTACTACACTATTATAATTTCAATTTTTTTTGGGCGAACCAAATCTGACCCTCTTCAGTCTATACCCACGGGTAGAGCCTCATGGATCACCAATAAAAACCACACTAAAGCTCTATTGCCTTGGTCATTTGGTAGTGTTGGACCAGTCCGTACATCAAGTAGGTTTTACACACGAGCGTGTAGCCCAATTTCTCGTAGAACCCCAAGGCCACTTCTCGCGCGTTAAGTAGAATGAGAACCTTGGACAGCGCATACTTCTGCTTAGCCGCGTCCGCTGCGCACTTCTCCACGGCCTCCATGACCTTGCGTCCCAAACCTTGACCTCTCACGGTGTCGTCAGTAGCGACGTAGCGCACCTGATACGTTGGAGCTGCGGCAGAGGACTCTGGTGTCTCCTCAACTCTAGCGCATGCGACACACTCACGCGCTGCATCAAAGATCCCCACATGGACCACCGCGGCTTCCTTATCGGAGCGGTCTCTCTCGCTGCCCAACCGATCCTGCCACGGCTGACGAAGTACCGTGTAGCGGAGATTGTAGTACCTGTCCCAATGGTCATGCGAGAAAGTCGGGGTTAAGGCGGAGTGAACAACTGAATGGTATGGCGATGACACGCTGCTTTCTTTTGTCATATTTTGTGGTATACCGTGGAGGATTGACACAGGAGTCTAGGTTTGGAAGTTTTGAAGCTATGGTATTGTTGGCTAGGGTTGAGAGCTGCAGTTAAATTTCTGAGTCAGCATACGGACCCTACAGTCACTCTAGGCCGACTGTCATGCTACGGCATAAAAAAACATAGTACAAGGTCGTTTGGGCTTACTAAGCAGCAATTTTAGACTGCTACTCAGAAAGCAATTAATCGCCAGAAACACAGCGAGACATTTTCATGGAATGCGTTTTCCTATTTTTTTTTCTTGTTATGATTTGAGGGGTTTTTCGTGCTGGTTGGGAGTGTCGGCGCCTCTCTGGTTGCAGCTTATCCGGGGCACAACGTGGACTGGAAGGAAAGCGGAGAATGAATACTTTTGGGAGTCGTCTTTTGGAAACAACCGTACGAGGATTACTGAAGCTGATTACTACATGACTTGATGAATAGTAGATAGATATTTATAGTTGACTATAAGTTACGAGGTACAGAGAGTAGGGCCAATGCCAAGAAAGAACACTATAACAGTAAAGAGGTAGAAGGAGGTTCGGTAGTCACTAACGTGGAGGACTGCAAATTGCTGTTGGCAACATCTGAACCATCGCTACCGGGTGAGTTTAGAAGCCTAGCATATGCCAGTTGGGGCTGGAAGGCATGGCTCGAGAGACCAGCCGGGCACTTAGTCTTGCAAGACACAGTACACGGCGTACAACATACCAGGGAAGTAAAAGATTATACAGAGGATAATGTCGATCCACAATTCCTTTTCACAGCCGTACTTCATGAAGACGGCCAATGGAGGCAAGAAAACGGCTGAGGGGTTAGTACATATCCGTCGGAGGCAATTGCCGGAAACTCAGGCTTCACATACCAAGGATCAAGGCAACAATTTTTTCAGAGTTCATTTTGTAATATAGGGGCTGTGTGTGATTCTAAGGAGATGGTAGATAAAGAAGTAGAGGGAAGAGCACTTATTTATCCCAAAGATAACCGATGTGCATTCACTTCGTGTAACGCATTTCGCACCTGGTTGACAGATAGTTAGAGTGCACGGACAAAGGACAGGGGGCCGCTGGGGAGCGCCAAAGACGGTTTATACCGGAGTCACTGCCTGTTTGAAGCTGCTTGTTTTAGGTTTCCCTGGATAGGAATAGTCATGTTTTTGGGCCAGGTGATTGTACGTATAGCCCGGTAAACGGAAATTTTAGATCAGAATCAGACTAGTCTGTTTGCGTGACCTCTGTCAGAGTGGCATTTGATAACTTATTAAAGTTGATTTACCCGTCCGAGCTACAGTCTAGGTGGTTATGGTTTGAGAAGATAGTGTCAGGTTTTCTTCATATGTAGTTAGATGCCACGGAAAGTTCCATAATACAGTGCTTAGACCGACCAGATCATACAACGTTGGCATGTGACGCAAACGCTGGTATATATGAAACATTAGCAGCTAGTCCAGTTTTAGTTACAGGCTTTTAAATATTTCTGGTAACAAAGTAAATCTACCAAAATCTAACTTGGCAGGATTCAAGGCGAAAGCATAGATAAAATTCAACAAGTTATAGTAAGATGATGAACTGACACCAGCCCTGGAGACCGCCGGATTGTTAATAATTTGAAGTTAGGTCTCATAAACCTGCCTTTTCCCGTGTTTGCTAGTGCCTTCTTTTTTTAAAGTACGGGCTATTTTTACAGTTTCCCTTGAATGTATAAACCGACAGGCCATTTCTCTCAGATAGACGTAAGCGTAGATGTATATTATATGTACAGTAAAGTCGTCAGTCTCGACGCCAAAAAAACACGGCGAGGTTCATATTAGGATGCCAACGGCACTCAAATAAGAGATAAAGAGAGAAATCGGAATAGGCTCGACAGAAAAGGCATGGGGCATGATGAGTTCACAGCGAATATTCCGCCGCGCCAAACCCCATCACCAATCATACCCAAATAGTTCTTGGTGCATACGGCCCACTCATTATTTGCATATTGATTACAAGTCTGGAACCAACATCTCCATCATTGGAGACTGGATGAAGAAAACACCGGCGGCGAACAAGCCGGTGTGGACGGCAATAGTGTACATTGGGGACTCCTTGAACTTTTGGAAAGCGGACTTTGGAGTTTGCGGCTGTCTTGGAATTCTGTTCATCGTGTTAGTTGTGTTATGAGGCTTGGGTGGCAGACTTTCGGTAGGAAGCAATGGCTTGTTTTATGTCGGCGTGAGATGAAAAGTTGAGGTTCGAAAAGCGGCACATTGATGGCGTTACCCGGAAAAAAAGTCGTGTGGATGCATAAACTGAGCTCTGAGGGTAGTCTTAGAGAGTAGATTAACGAATACGGCGAACTTGCAATTTAACCAAAGAGCCGCCCAAAGTCCGATATTTCTCGTAAAAATAGGATACATATCCAACTAAAGGTGGCCTTCCTTATATCTCAACTAGAGTAATGTTTACGTAGCCTGTCGCATGGCGTGGGAAACCTCCAGACTACACCGCACCACACATACTTTAGCCACCGATACCCAAGCTTATTAATCTACAAGCCCGCATCACAAGTATTAAATAAAATCATCGACTTTTAATAGACAACCAGCGCCATATCAATGGTAAACTATCGCTCGAGCCATCATGCACGCGTAATCTCCAGCATGCAGCGTAAACTCATATCCTACCATTTTTTTATCGTGAAAAAAACCGTTGATAAATCGATGCGATGATAACCTAGTTTGCGCGAGTCATTACCCCTTCCTGCCGTTTCGTGTTTTCCTGAAATCTATCAGCATGTACAGAACTGTTGCCCGCACCTCCAGCAAAGCTGTCTTCCAGAGAAGCATCTACATAATCCCATCCATCCCGATGGTGGAGTCGTTCAAGGCGAGCGGTATCAAGGGCCTCTACTCTGCCCAGGGACTCCAGAACGCATGGTTCGAACCAGCAGACAAGTACACCACCAACTTGAACGCGCTAATTTCGCACGAGGAATCATCGGACTTTTTGAAGACCTTCCCAGCATTGAGCACCATTACCAGCCAATTTGCAAAGAACGCTAATGAGCTTGCCGTTTACAATAACGCAACCTACTTGACGAACCTCCAGTTCTGCATGGAAGCGTTGAATGAAACCAGAGTTCTCAACGTCGACCATAGCACACTCGTGTCTAAGCCAAACGCTGGTGCCTTGTTGAAGTCAAACAACGGCACCTATACCAACACGCCGATAGAGAACGGCGACTTGCACGAGTGGATCGTTGAATCGTTCGGCTCTCTTGAGGAATTTAGAACCTTGTTGCTTAACCAAGCCCACGCCATCAAGGGTGATGGGTTCACATGGTTGGTTGCCAACAATGCGTCTGGCGACGCCAAGAGAATGGATTTGGAGAACTTGTTTGTGGTCAACACCTACAACGCTGGTGTTCCGGACGACAATGTGCGCGGTGGCCAAATGAACAAGTTGGCCGACCAACAGAAGGAAACTAAGCCACAGCAGGAGGATATCAAGAGCATCGACGAGGAGGCTTTGGACCGCGCCATGGAGACCATTGGGACCGTGGAGTCCGTTTACGCAAAGGTAAATCAGGGTAAGACCAACTACGTGCCTATTTTGTGTCTCAATGCGTCGCCAAAGGCATATTTGGCCGACTACGGTGTGTTCGGCAAGCGCCAGTACTTGGACAACGTCTGGGAGTGCATCGACTGGGAGGTGGTTGAGAGAAGAGCCCCTTCCAGAGAGAAAAGAAGCTCGTCCTACATCTAAGTAGGCGGCTCATACAACGGTATGCCTGTATATACAACATGATAATTTCGCATAAATCTCGGTAGTATGGGCTAAAACAAGGGGCACGAAACCGACCTTGTTCCATATCCATGTGGCTTGGTTTAGCCAATAGGAATCAGGGCCGTAGCAGAGGAACGGCGAAAACGATTTCTGATTCTAAAAGCACCATTTAACGCCAATTACCATTTGATTACAGTGCTTGCACAATCAAGGCTATATCTTCTTCATCGTAGTTATTGATTCCAGTGAAACTTTTTTTTTGCAAACTTCACGGACTCTGAGACTATTTCCTTTGCATATGTAGGAGGTATCCTCACCAGAGAGTTTAACTACGGTTCCGTCAACGTTAAGGTCCGATCTGATCTAGTTTCTTGGTTTCGTACTACTTGATCGATTTAGGGCTGTCACATTTATATACTGTATACTTGGTGACCAAGCATGTATTAACGGGGGGTTTATATCAGTAGCCATACGTCTACGTTACTGGCCCTGAAAGACTTCACCAATATCTGGCACCTGCGATTTCTGTAATCAGCTCACAACTATAATGTACTACATATCAGAGTACCTATAATGTAGGTACCCTTTTAGCTTAAAAAATTAGGCGTTTATTCATATGAAGGCAAATTAGAAAATAGGCGAGAGTTTCACTCAGAAATCGTCGGGATGGAGGGTATAAGTATTGTGAATTCGAACGCGGGCCCGAGCTTAGATATTACAACGGCTCCGTTTATGCACTTCCAGGTTCGTTGTGTACGAGATATCGTGAAATATCGACTCATTGTAGCTAATTATATAACTGCCGCTCAGAGCACACACTAACCACCAAGTCATCCAGTACAATACTAAAATAGATATCCTACCCGCCAGGTAGAGATATACCACGATAACAAGGTCGTATGACTTTGGCTCACGCCAATTCGTTGAGCTAGAAAAATAAATACCAGCCTATAATTTTCATTTGCATGGCACTGGAACACATATAGTATATAAGCCCAGCAATATTGAAGGATTGTTCCATGGTAATCCAAAAACGATCAAGTATTTAGGAGCTTATGCATTAGATCAAATCCTGGGAACCCTTCTGCTGCCAGAAAAAACCAAGAGCTTCTACTGCTGTCATCTGCACCGAAGTGATACAAAATATGCCGGAAAAATATCCCAAAAAAGCAATTTTCCAGTTCACGCCCGTCACCCCACGGCGTGTACCCAACAAGGAGACGCATCATAACTGACAAAGAGAGGAACGATGCTAACTCCAAACTTGCGCTACCTTACATTAATCTATATGCAGGAGTCAACAACTGAGCTACGAAATACAATGGAGTCCATGCTACAAGTATTGCTCACAAGTGACGTGATAGACCCGTTTTCAAAACTCTATTTTCACTTTTGGTTGGGGCCGCAGTTGGTAACTTGCCCTCCCGGTGCGGCTGCGCTGTCCGCGCACGGGCCCTCCAGCCACGAACGCCTCTCACGTACTCCCCTCCGTGTGCGTCTTGCTTACCCGTAGGCACACGACCCCGGGCGAATTAGTAATCCAAATTTCTTTTTTTTCTCTGCATACCAATTTGCCACATTTTTGATTAACGACCACGGAGACAAATTGGTTTAGACTTAGGCTTTTTCGAAATCACAACAATTCCTTCTTACCAACGTCTCATCTTCCTCGTAACAACAAACTAATTCTTGGCCGTTACCGTCCTACCCTTCAAACAATACTCTACATTAACATTGCTCGTTATCTACCCGAAACAACCCCCTAAACCCTTAACGCTCCAAACCCTTAGCCCTTCCGTAGTACAATGTCAGAAGAAGATTACGACCACTCGCCCGATTTCTTGGACGATCACGAGAATGGTACCAAGCCCGGCCGCAAGCCGATCCTCACGGAGCCAAAGAACAAACGAACGGCGCAGAACCGTGCCGCCCAGAGAGCGTTCAGAGAGCGCAAGGAACGCAAGTTGAAGGAACTAGAGGACACAGTGGACCTCTTGGAGAGCGAAAAGATCGCTGCCGTCACGGAATCGGAGTTTTTGAAGAAGCAGGTCGAGATGTTGATGTCGGAGCTCAATCGCTACAGAAACGACGGCCCCGAAGTGAGTCCACTCACCCCGGGTATTTTGGGCGTCCATGCCGGCAAAACACCGGCTCCGCCACAAGAGTTCGCCTTCGAGTTCCCATGGTCCCTCAAGGCGCAGCAGGTTGCGGAGTCTGTGAGCACGAGTAGCCGCAGCGACGGCGACAAGACGGGTTCCACATCGATTTCCTCGTACTCCTCGCCCGATGACGTTGCCGACCGCCGCTCTTCCAACACGTCCCATCTGCAAGGCGCCAAGTACAAGCAACAGGAGCAGACATTTGACTTCAACCAGAACTTTGACGAACAGGTGAACGGGTTCTGCGGGCAGTTGAACACTGCCTGTGGGACTAAGGAGAACCCTATTCCCCAGAGTTGTGGGAGCCAAGTCTCCAAGCTGTCTTTCTCGTATGGGTCGCCTTCAGTTCCGCCAAGCCTGGTCACGGTCTCCTCTCGTCTTTCCAAAATGGACATGCCCTTCTCTAACATGATAAACGGAACCTTCTCGCCTCCTGAGGGATCAGGCACTTTATCGCAGATCAATGAGAATTCTAACTCGCTCAGCTTGGATGACCCGTTGCTCGCGTCGTTCCTCAATGACGCCACGTCCGGATTCCCTAGTGTCAGCTACGACACCTCGTTGAATATCTTTGATGACATCACAGGCGGTAACGATCCATTGGCCAACTTGGTGTCAGAGGAGAGTGCATACGATCCGTTGGGTATGTCTCGTTTCACCACCCAGTTCATGTCTCCTCCGGTGGGCGTACTCACGCCGCCAGGCTTGCCGTTCAGCAACCCAGCCCAAGTGAGTACACCACCTACCGAGGCTGTCAAAGTTGAGGTGGGTACTCCATTCGAGTCATATCTCGATATGGACCATAACGAAATAGTGCCGTCCAAGGACGATCAACTCATGAAGTGTTCAGAAATATGGGATAGAATCACCTCGCATCCAAAATACACCGAGTTGGATATCGATGGGTTGTGTTACGAGTTGAAGAATAAGGCCAAGTGTTCCGAAAAGGGTGCGGTGGTTGACCACGACGACGTGCAAAAGATCTTAGATCGTGCTGTCGCCTCGGCAGTTTCTGCGAAAGAGGAGGACCAGGGTAATGTGTGGTAGCCCGTCCTTGTTTACGTTATGATTGCTATGCCATTTTTCTGGGGGTCTCCATGTTCTTGTATTTAATCTAATTTTTGGTTTTTTATGTACTGCCAATACTATGCTGCAAAAAGTTATAAAGGTAGATGGGGGCAATGCTGAAGGTGTGACCAGGCGACATTGGCGAAGAACGGAGTATACGGGAGAGCAAGCAATGTTTAGATTGCATCCCGGTATACTGAAACTCGGAAGGATCCAAACATGAACTTAGAGGTCTGGCTGGTATACGCATACACTGTTTTGTCAACTCTGGCGTAACTGACAACTTCGAGGAATTGTGTTTGGATAAACATGACACTGAAGTAGCCATAGCATGCACTTAATTATCCGATGCCACTTGGCCATATCAATCGGACGGATATTACTGATTGCTCGCATGGCATTAGGAATATCTGGAATTGTATCTCGTGTTTGGTATTGTGTACCTATTTCGTCTTGGTTGTGAGTTAAGCCGGAGAAACGAAAAACGTTCGTCGTTGGTTACCTCGTCAATTGTGTCTCTTTTTATGTCTTTATCGTTCCTTTGGCCTTCAGGTAGGGTGAGCCCAAGGAAATGGGCTTGGTAATTGGGCCCACTTTCATGACGTATGTCTATGGCACCCCGTACCGTATATGTTATACGCTTTCAAAGTGCATTGTGGAGAGTTATTCTGGCTCCTTATGAGTAAGAGGCTGAGATCACGTAGGGTTTGCTGGTATGCTGAATTCCACCTTTTAGAGAGGGGGGGTCAATCAAGATTTTCTGATATGATACAGTTCTTCCCGGGTGCTTTTTATAAAAGGAGTAGATTATATCTTTTGTTTGAATTTAGGGCGACTAGCGTATGTATTGAGTCGCCATATGCCGATTATTAAACTGTTCAATAAACTCGTCGTAGTAAACCTACTTTCTCTATTCAATCGGTCGTATCTTTTAATAAATCAAGAACCATTCCAACAATAATTATTTTTCCTTAAAGACAAACATCTACGGGTTCCATAAGTTTATTTTCTCCTGGAAACTGGATTCAAAATTCAACATGCCCTATTGTGCCGCGATTGGCATTGGGTTGTCGCTAGCCTGACCACATTGAACCAGATCAAACCAACTTATCTAGTCCCTATGCTCCTATATATGCCTGTAAATTAATTGGATAAACCTAGAGGAGAGCTAAATGATTGTTTACAGCCTATACAAACTATTGAGCCATACCTTAGGCTTTCTCACCCTTTATTTTTCCGCTTGCCCCTCCACCCACCTTTAACATTCTTCCTTCCGTCACCGACTGTACTCCCTTGAGATATTCATTGCTAACAGAGACTAAACGTTCTTAAACCCAGTATAATCACCACGTGCGTATACAGTGATATCTAGGATCGAATTCCTCCACTTACAGTCTACATCACTCATATGATACTTCATTGTATTACCTATCTCCTACTCACTTTCAAACTCTTGACTCTTCTCAATAAGCTGCTGCCGGCACCTTCGATCACATTGTCGCTCTCGGCACCGGAGTTTCTCTGTGCGGCCTCGCCGGATGACGAGTTCTTCCTCAACCGCTGGCTCAAGCTCTTCTTGCGGCCTAAACCACCCTCATGGAAGGATGGCTCCTCGAACTGTGTCTTGCGTGGGGCAGGCGCACCCTCAAGGAATGTCAGCGAACCCAAGCCGTAGGTGGTGTCGCCATGGATCGGCTCGGCTTTGAGCGTGGAGTCGAAACTGGTGATCTGGCTATTGTACTGCTTCTTCAACGCATTATACTGCTGTAAAGTGTCCACAGACTCGTTGGACTGGCCAATCGGGGCTCTTTGGAGCGGGCCATCCTCCGCGAAGTTTGTTTGCCCAAACATACGGTCCATGGTCTGGCTCTTTGCCTCTGCCTCGTTCGAAGCGTTGGCAAAGCCCATCCCCTTGATCGACGAATTAGGCCCGTCCACAGGGAAAGCATTCACCGGAGCCAACTTGCCGGCCTTCTTGTTGCGGTGGGGCGTACAGGCGTCAAAAGGCCCATCATGGTGGAAAGAATGGAACCCGGTGACATCAAGTTTATCGATGGTGTCAATGTTCTTCGGCTTCTCCAATGGCGGCTTCTTATCCTTGGACGAGGATTTGGTTCTCGACTTGTGCTCTCTGTCGCTGCTGGAGCGGTGCCTGGAGGAGAGGGCTTTGTAGGCAGAGCCCAGACGGTCCTTCTTGGATCTCTCGCTTCTCTCGTCCCGCTCGGCTTCTCTGAGTTTTTCTCTCTCTCTTCTTCTCTCCCTCTCCTTTCTTTCGAAGCGTTCCTTCTCGCGCTCCTTTCTCGCGCGGCGCTCGCTCTCAGTTTCCCGCGGGTGCTCGCGTTCAGATTCTCTTGGACGGTCGTCTCTTTGACGGTCGTCTCTTTGACGGTCGTCTCTTGGACGATCGGCCTCTCTGTGGCGCTGCTCACGCGCCTCTCTCTCGCGTTTCTCGTCCTGGAGGGCAGCTCTGGCCTTGGCTCTACCAGCAGCTTCTTCGTATGTCGGTGGAAGGTCGCCGGTAGGCTTTGTGGATTGTGGGGGGATGGGTGGAGGAGCACGGCGGTAACCATCAGAGTTGGTTCTGGCCCTGTTGACCGTGAGGTCTTGATGAAACGGGTTGTTGGATTTGCCGGACATGTCGCTGATGACGTTAGTACGTGCTGTTAAGCGTGGTAATCTTTTCTGGACGTGTAAATGCTGTGCAAGGAATGTGGAAGTACAAGTGCAACTATTTTTACTGTTTTGTGTCAACCGATGAACGAGGCTGTGTAATGCAGGCTTTGTTTCAGATTGTGCTAATTCTTCCAGTATCAAAAGCCGAAGGAATAAACAAAATCACAAGAAAAACAAAAACGCAGAAAACCCGATGTCTCGTTTGAAACATCCGCTGACACTCGACAAATCGCGAAATGACTCGCGACACGCCTTTCGCTCAGGGGCTGCGCGTCGCGAAAAACCAGGGCCACAAACTTGCGCCTCATCAAAGCTGGTACTTGCACGTAAAACACGAAAAGTATTACCTAGGCTGTTAGTGGAGGGGGCCAGCATCAATGATGGCATCGACGAACATATTACACCGATTTTCAAAGCAAAAAGCGATAATGCAATGAATCGATCAATATACCAACCACTTGCATGACTGAGTCCTCTCTCTTTCTAATATACATACGATGCGGTGGATGCCTGACGAACGTTCAGGCCGTGGACAGAACCCTCGGAGCCGGTTCTGGGAAAGTTAGGCCTGGATGGCGTGACAGGCTTGGCAAAGGTGTTTTCAGCCGAGTGCCTGACTGCAGTTTCTTGTTGGTAGACATGGTTGTAGGTTCTGTAGCGAGAAGGCTGTGTGGAAGGCGAACGAGAGTACTCCTCTTCATCCGAGGAAGAGCCGTATAACTTCTTGTTCTTGTCGATCCACTCTTCGTACGCCTTGCCACTCGCCCCGGAGTGCTGGGCTTCAAGCGCAACGTTGGTTGTTCTAAAAGGGTTGTTGGTAGAAAATCTCCTTAACGACGAGTTGGAGTTTGACGCCTGTGCGTGGGTGTAGAACGTCGGTGTTGGGGGATTCATCGAGTGTTGGGGTTACTATCGATTAGGGAAGTGCTTTGGAAGAATCACTTGGGTTGTGCTTGTAGGAATCTTGATGACAGTGGATAGGTCACGCAAATTAGACAATGGAAAATACCAATACCAATCTAAAGGGGCCGTTAGAACTGGTTCGATCTGGAGGAATCTGCCGGGCAGCACACCAAGTACCATGTCGGTGCACGCGGATTATGTCAGCATCTATGTTGGTGGCCCCAAGATATTTCCTATTTCGGTAATTAAGTTTTGTCTCCCTGCAGGCGCCCAGACAGTCTCATGTGTCCCATCATCGGTACGTTGGTAAGACATGCCTATGAAAAAAAGCTTCGAGATTTCAAATTTACGACCAATACCTGGCTCTTTTGCTCTTGGCACCCCTGCCTCGTAAATGTAGATAATTCAATTATTATAGGAATAATACAAAACGGATAATAAGTACATACTAGTATTACACGCCAATACAAGTGATTTATGCCCCTTTGAATTCTAGCAGTTGCTGAACGTAACCAAGTTTATTTATCAGTGTCATATTTACGGTTGGAGTGTTGTACAGCAAAGTGCATTTTCAGCCAGATACATCCCCCCGGGGAACCCGTTCAATAACGTAAGCGCTTTTACTAGCATGTATCAACGGTGTCGTGGTTTAGCCTCTGAGCTAACAAGGTCTTGATGGGATTCTATACTTGCCAATGGAGGCTGTGTACTTATAAATCTGCAAGGCACGGCGCGCATCCGACGGTTCCACCGTTCCAGGCCTGGAAGCTCGTATCAGTGGTGAGCTACAGATGTCAGTCAATACAACCCACAGGTTTCCCAAGCTCTTGGTTCATACCCGAGCTAGCGGAATTCAATAGATAGAACTATAGAGAGAGGTTAGAGTTCGGACAACGGTGTTAGCTCCACAGTTCTTTGACAGCTGCTTGATGTCGATATACACTTATATCAGCATCTTTTCAAGGTTGCTGACTTTCGTGATATAGCCTGCTTGCATCTTAGTAAGCAACCATATCACCGACTGTGTAATGCTATTCTAGTAATTTCATAATTATACAACCCATAATGTTCCTCAATTCTGTATTTATTGAAATACAAAATCCTGTGGCCTGGTCGCTTCAGGGAAAGACGATGGAGAAATTCCCCGGAATTCTTGTTCGCGAAAACATCTACGAAAAATCTCCTGTCAGAAAAAAATTCAAGATCAGCTCGCGTTTGCTCTCTACACTATTGTTAACACAAACACCCTACTATGTCGCTCATGAGCCAGATCGCGGAACAGACAATCTTCAAACAAGCGACACAAGGCGACGTTTTTTCGGTGCCGTGTCCCACCAAACGATCCCGCGTGGTGACCCGAAATGGCATGGATGTGTTCATGGCGGTAGAGAACGTGGTCAGGTGTGCCGAAATTACCAGCGGATCCGCCTACAAGACGCTCGACATTGCCGTGAATTTCCCAATCCTTTCCCTAGAACTCAATGCCTCCGGGACGTTGCTCGCTGTCGTGGGTGAGTGCGCCGTCGTTGTCACCTCCTTGCCATCACCGGGCTTCATGCAGCGCGGTGCACAGACCATCACGGTTAAGAACTACAGCGTGGGCGTGCGTGACTGTGCGATCTTAAAAGTTCTCTGGAACGGCGCTGCGCGCCATGATTCCACATTGCTCACACTCAGCGCGGACAATGTCATCCGCCTGTACGATCTTGCGCTTTCGCACCACTACCCACACTCTGAGTACAATGTTAAGCCGCAGAGACAGAGTGGCTTCTTCTCTGCCGAAGCGATGGAGGGAGAACCAGTTTCTATATCCTTTGGCGCAGCCTCCAACCCTCAGGGCAGCCTTACGCTCTATGTGCTCACGTCTGTGGGCGAGGTTTTCGCTATATTTCCTTTCTCCCCCGCGGTTCTTGCAGTTTCGCATGCCTTTGTCGAGGTTTTATTTCACGAGGCGGCTCTCAAGGTCAAGGAGAGCTCACAGGAGGATTCAGAGTCTGAGTACCCCAATAAGCAGCAATCAGTGTTGCAGCTCCATTGGGCGGCCCACTTGTGGAAGCAGGTCGATTCCAGCACCACAGAAGTACGTGTGGACAACTCCAACGGGGTCTCGGATATGTTGTACTTGCTATCCCCGGAGAAATTGGGCACCCCGAAGCTCCAAGGCCCACTCGGAATGTCGCCGTTCCCTCAGAAGTTGTACGACTCACTGGCCACGGATATTACTAGCGTTGCCTGCGGCGAAACCACCGTGCTCGCGGTTGCCTTTACCGACGGGGTGCTCATCTGTGTGCAAAACGATGAATTGAGCATGGCGTGGACCGCCAAGGAAGACAACGAGAGTGACGATGAAAGCAATATCAGCGTGGGTTACGTCAGTCTGGAAGACACTCCGTGTTTGTCTGTAGCAGAATACATTGAGTTTCCACTGTGTGAGCTGCTTTCAATCGCTAAGAGTTCCACACCGTATGTGTTCTACGTCATCACCGACACCTTTCTCCAGGTGAACTTTAGCAAATGGGGGAAAGTGCTCAACAATGCGATCGTTGAGAGCAAGCCCGGACTCTTCATAGCTTTGTTGTCTGCGCCCCTTGAGACGGAGTTGCTGGTGGTCAGAGAGGCCCGGGATGGCGAAACTGCCGCCCAGGCGATGCTTCTCGGGATTTGCGAGTTAGGCGAGGTGCCAGTGGTTGTTACCGTGGGCGGGAAGTCGGTTGAAATCGTAGAGGCATACCCAAAACCCCCCGTCGATGGGTCCAAAGCTCGAGCTCCGATTCTCGCTAAATCCGATGTGAAGGTCTACGAAACTCTCCTTAGCGGACCCCTCTCGGAAATCACCCAGCTCCTTGAACAAGTTCATATTTCCAACATCAAGGCTGTTCCCTTGACTACCGATAAGACCCAAGCTATCTCGGGAACCCCCCACGAAGACGTGGTCAGCGATTTCAATGCCGTATCCCAGGCCACCATCCAACAGGTGATTAACTTGCACAAGGTGGGCTTGGCGCTTTACCACCGCTTGATCGACCAGCAGCGCGAGTTACGCCGTCAGGTCGAAACTGTGGCAGACCTCAGTGTTAGAGACAAAGTGTTAGAGAAAGTGGCATCGAAGACCGACAAACAGGCTGCTGTGACCAGAATCGACACCGCGGTCAAGAGACAGGCGGAGTTGGTGGAGCGTTTGGCCGGCCTCGAACAGAAGGTACAGGGCTACGTGGCAAAACAGCGCGCAGAAATGCCCATTAGTAGCAGCGAGGTTGCCTGGTTCAAGGAGATTAACGACGTTAATGCGGTGTCAGGTGTTGCTGGGTTCAAGACGAGACTTTCTGGCTTGGAGCAACAGTTCGAGAATATTAAGCAACACGTAGCGAGGCCCGCGGTAGCGCCGCCGGTGGAGGATGTGCACAGGTTCAACAGCTTGAAGATGTATTTGGATGAGGAGCAAGCGTTGATGCTGTATATGGAGGTGATTTTGAAGCAGGGTTTGGAAACGTTGGGGCTGTTAGGGCTCTGAGTGAGGGAGTGTAGCTTTATCTCGTAAGAGCTTTCCTCATCAATATACCCCCCAAAAATTCATCTTGAAGTGAATTATTATCATTACTAAACCGTCGGTATTAGTTGTAGTTATACAGGTATGCTTTTATTCAGCCATCTATGCCGAGTTCTTTGCCTATGAACATAATTTGATGTATGACTTGAAACCGAGATTTAGATTTCACACCAATCTGGAACCTATTAAGCTGACCGAACGCCACTTGGTAAAACGTCAAAATAGAAACTCATAGAATTAGTCCACTCCATTATTTTCTTTAACCCAGCTATAAGTTTGCGTACTTTTAGTTTATCAAACTTCAAGCAGAGATCTCAGCATGGGCTAAGAATGCAGGAGAGCATCGAGAGACTCTTCCATTGAGCAATATATTACGGAATACGGTGACATCTAGGAAATTCTTGAGAAGATTTTAGTTATATCTGCATACAAATATATATATCTTATTAAATAGTTCTAATTACCTCTTTGTATGAATCATGCTGTCTAAGTTTGCCATCTTCGGTTGAGGTAGATCACACAATGCAGGATAGTTACCCGCCACTTAACATATGCTTGGAAAAAGTTGTCAGTAAGTCTTAGTCCCAGTTTTCACTCGTTATATACTCAAAAAAACATAATATGTCTGGTATGTTTTGTATCAATTAATCGAGGAATACCACTAACACGTCTAGAAACCGATGCCAGCGACTTGTTAGCGTCCTTGTCCTTGAGCAAGGAGGAGGCCCCAGTCTTAGAACAGAAAGAGACAGCGACTGAAGCCAAAGTTAAGGAAGAAGTAAAGGAAGTTAAGGAAGAGGTTAAGGAGACCAACAAAGAGGTTGAGGAAGAACCCAAGGATGTATCCAACACAGTTGCCGCTGAATCTTCCGACACGGAAACTGACGCTTCTGTCCCTGAAAGCACTCTCATCAAACCAACTTATGAGGTCAAGGTCAAACTTGCTGATCTCCAAGCGGATCCAAACTCTCCTCTCTACTCCGTCAAGTCCTTCGAAGAGCTCGGTCTCTCAGCAGAGCTCCTCAAGGGTCTCTATGCGATGAAGTTTGAAAAGCCATCCAAGATCCAGGAACGTGCTTTGCCGCTCCTCATCCATGAGCCAGCCCAGAACATGATCGGCCAGTCGCAGTCCGGTACCGGTAAAACCGCTGCTTTCTCTCTCAACATGCTCACACGTGTCAACGAGGCCGACCCGTCAACCCAGGCAATCTGCCTCTCCCCAGCGCGTGAGCTTGCGCGCCAGACCCTTGATGTCATACAGGTCATGAGCAAGTTCACCAAGATCACGACCCAGCTCATTGTACCGGAATCTGTGCCGCGTGGCGCACATGTAAATGCGCAGATTCTCGTGGGTACCCCGGGGAGTACTCTCGACATGATTCGCCGCAAGCAGATTGATGTCTCGAAGTTGCGCGTGTTTGTGCTCGACGAGGCTGACAGCATGTTAGACCAGCAAGGGCTCGCGGACCAGTGTGTGAGGGTCAAGCGTCTCCTTCCGAAGCAGACCCAGTTGGTGTTGTTCTCTGCCACTTTCCCTGTCAAGGTGAGAGAGTATGCGGAGAAGTTTGTGCCGAATGCGAACAGCATGGAGTTGAGACCGGAGGAGCTCAACGTTGATAGTATTAAACAGTTGTACATGGACTGCAACTCTGAAGCCCACAAGTTTGAGGTCTTGAAGGAGTTGTACGGGTTGATGACCATCGGCTCCTCCATCATCTTTGTGCAAAAGAAGGACACTGCCAACATTTTGTACGCCAAGTTGAAGCAGGAGGGCCACGCGTGCTCGATTCTTCACGGTGACTTGACCACCACCGACCGTGACCGTCTTATCGACGACTTCCGTGAGGGCCGCTCCAAGGTGCTCATCACTACTAACGTGTTGGCGCGTGGTATTGATATTCCGTCGGTGTCCATGGTGGTTAACTACGATTTGCCAGTGGACAAGAACGGCAAGCCAGATCCAAGCACCTATTTGCACCGTATCGGTAGAACCGGGCGTTTTGGCCGTGTTGGTGTGTCTGTCTCGTTGGTACACGATGCTGCCAGTTTCAAGGTCTTGCAGGCCATCAAAGATTACTTTGGCAAGTGCGAGATGACCCGCGTGCCCACCGATGACTGGGACGAGGTCGAGGAGATTGTTAAGAGGGTGATCAAGAGCTAAGAATAAGAATATTTTAGGACCCGAATAAATGGTTGATTGTAGCTGAAAGATAGAGAAAAGTGGAGTTGTTATGAAGGAGGAGGCACCAGGAGCACGAATGCCATTGAATATAGCGCCTTACACTCGATAAAGTATTGGGTCGGTCTTTGAATATTTTCGAAATAATCTCTGTAGTGTAAAGCTTCACGATCGCAACTGCAGTAAAAATCTTCGGCCACAGGACAAGCAAATAGAGCTACACCGTTAGTATTTCTCTTAGCGGATAGCACGACTCGGAAGTCGTATCAAAGGTGTTTACACATCGTGTGTCGTTATTACCCTTAGGCTCGCCTGAATCTTTTTTCTCACACGGTGTAGCGCGATACTGCTATTCTTATGGATTATAGGAACTTTGCTCTTGTCTTGCGTATATACTTGGTGCTTACAGTAACCGACAATATCCTCCCTCAGTTGGCTAATATCCACTTTTACCTACTGTATACCCGCAAACTGAACAAGCTGCAGGCCAAAGGTATATCTAGGATACTGATCTGGTCAAATAATAAGGGGCCAAAATATAGTTCTTTTCTCCCGTAATGTTTCATAGTACCAATAACTATTTCCTTTAAAAAGAGCAGCGTTCTGGTTCATCAAAACCCCTTTGTACTGGTTTAGGACTTCTGCAGTGAGGCTTTTTCCCTGCGCCGTACCCTATGCGTGGATTGTTCTGTGTGTCCGGCACCTAAGGAGCAATAATCCTACATTTGGTGTCGGCCGAGGGATTAAAATGGGAGTTAACTGCGGTGCAGGTTCTCGGAAAACGATCCGGTTATAGGTATGGTGACGTTTTAGGTCATCGGAAAAAGAGAACCAACTAAAACCAGACATTTGCTTTAACCTTTCGTCTGCTCTGCAGAGTTTGTAATGGTAAAGATAGACTAGAGGTTTGACAATTAAATCCTAAATCATTGCTCCACTAGAAGCACCTTACCGCATAACGAGCTTTCGCTAGTTCGGAAAACCCCTAGTATTGGTATTTACCCCCAGAGCTCTACGTAAACTTGTTTCCAAGTCTAATAGAGCTATTTCTAGAACATTGTTTTTTTTGTTTTTTTTGCCTAGCTTCCAAATGTCGTAGCCTGGCGTGCCGGCTGCCCGCGCCGTAACATCCGAGGCGCTGCCGATCACGCATGGAATTCCAACGCTGGCTTTACTCCGATAAGAACTGTGGAAAAATCCATAAATAACCCCCAAAGGCTGATATTAATTTTTCGGGCTTCCTTCTCTTGTTTATCGCTAATTGCTAGTTTGACTCTCATTCTCCTCTATAAGCTTTCGCCTCTCTTTGTTTGAATTATCGCACATTATCCTCATCCCCATGCTTGCTAAATCCCTTTCTCGCCTGGTCCCCTTAGCGTTCAAGAGCGCTAGTGCTCAGAGGTTCTCGGTTGCCACTCTGATGAAAAACAAGATCTCTGCTGAGGGCACCAAGCCTGCTGCTAGCTCTGCCCCAATCGTCCCACCAACCAACGTAGCTCCACCAGCCTCCAGCCCGCCTTCGCCCCACTCCTCGGGGGCCTGGAAATACACCAAATTCACCGGAAAAGTCGTTCTCGTTTCTCCATTCCTCCTAGTCGGCTACTACTTGTACAGAATCTATGACGAGAGCCATCCAGCTTGCCAGCAACCACAATCCGCTGCGCATGCCTCTGGTAACAAGAAGAAGACCCTTGTGATCTTGGGTACCGGCTGGGGCTCCATTTCCATTTTGAAAAACCTCGATACCACGTTATATAACGTGATCATCGTCTCCCCGCGCAACTACTTTCTTTTCACCCCGCTCCTCCCATCCTGTCCTACTGGAACCATCGAATACAGATCAGTCGTAGAGCCAGTCAGATCTGTTGCTAAGAGAAGACCGGGGGAGGTCGTCTATTACGAAGCCGAAGCCACGGATATTGACGCTGCCAACAACAAACTCATCCTCACCCAGAAGCTTGGGAGCGATGAAGTCAAGGTAGAAGGTGTGGACACAATATCCATCACTCTTGATTACGATTACCTAGTTGTTGGTGTGGGCGCTCAGCCAAACACCTTCGGTATTCCAGGCGTAGAGGAAAACTCGTGCGTTTTAAAGGAGATTTCCGACTCCCGAAAGATCCGGAGGAGATTCATGGACTGTATCGAGACGGCCGCGTTGCTTCCAAAGGGATCTTCTGAGCGCGCGAGACTTCTCCACACTGTCGTTGTTGGCGGTGGACCTACTGGGGTGGAATTTGCTGCTGAATTGCAGGACTATATTGATGAGGACATCCGCAGGTGGAACCCGGAAATCGCTGAGGAGATGAAGGTCACTATCGTGGAAGGCTCGCCGAACCCACTCAGCATGATGAACAAAGATTTGATTGCGTACACCAGGGAAACCTTGGTAAAGCTGGGGATTGAGCTCATGACCAGCTCCAGAGTGAAAGAGGTTACCGATAGATATGTCCACGCCATCGTTAAACAACCCAGTGGCGAATCGACTTGGGTCGATGTTCCATACGGCTTGCTTGTCTGGGCTACTGGGAATGGCACCAGAGATATCGTCAAAAAATTGTCTACTAAATTACCGGAACAAAAAAATGCCACTAGAGGGTTGTTAGTCGACGACTACATGAGATTGCAGGGCTCCACAAATATCTACGCTCTCGGTGACTGTACATTCACGCGAAACCCACCCACCGCCCAAGTGGCTCAACAGGAAGGTATCTATCTTTCGAAGAGTTTGGAAACCTTGGCTAGGGTGGATGACTTGGAGTACCAGTTGTTCAGCTCTAGTTTTGAGGGCGCGGAAAGGGAAAGAGCTCAGCACAACTTGAGCAGAGAGAAGGGCAGCCTCCAACCGTTCAAGTACCATCATATGGGCGCGTTAGCGTACATCGGATCCGAAAGAGCGGTTGCGGACTTGTGTTGGGCCGAAGAGAGCTTTTTTAAGAACCTCAGTAAGATCTCCATCGGCGGAACCTTCACCTTTTTCTTCTGGAAGTCAGCTTACGTCCAAATGTTGTTGAGTACCAAGACCCAAGTGTTGGTGACCATGGATTGGATCAAGGTTGCGTTGTTTGGCAGGGATATTTCGAGAGAGTAAGCTTTTTAGGGCGCCAGAAACAGCTTCCGTTTTAGTTATTTGGGGGGCCTCTCTAGTTATCATTAAGTCTTAGTGCTTCGCTATATGGCCAGTCCGTTTAATTAATATTTTACAATATACCTCTAAATGTATACATTGGTTGAATGCATAGGTGCATGTGTTATCCGAAGCTTCGAGATGGGCTGATCATCGAAAGTAACGGCATATTGAAAGCACATTAGAGGTGTGGATCTATAATTTGAAGAAAATCAAGTATTCCTATTTCCGTTCCATACAAGAGTGAATAACAATACCCAAGCTATTAGTTTCCCCTAGAATCATGCATAAGCCACTTAAGCATCGCACCACCCAACATTCACATAAATTAATAGTATACGTCGTACGCCCCATACTTTTCAGCATCTCCATCCGGCTCCAAGCTAAACATAACACGATTGGTATTATCCCCGTCCTTAACAGTCTCTGACCCAGAGCTGCTCTGCTGGGCTTCTTCTGACGAGAGTCTCCGGAGGAGCTGGAGCTCTTCGATTCGCTGGGCCAAGATATCCCCATCCATCCCTCCAACAGATGAGACATCCGCTATCATCTCTCTCAGACGCTCCGTCGAAAGTCTTGACCTGCTTCTCGGACAGGCCTGTTTCTCGCCACCAGCTGGTTGCTTTAATCTCCCAGTATAGCTACCCAGACGGCTGAGGGTCATGTTTCTAGGGCCATGGCCAGATGGAGGAATAAGTTCGGAATCCTCAGTGGCTATGCGCACCATGCTTCCGGTACGGGACACCATGGCTTTCAACGATGGCAAGGTCATCAGACCGGAACGCCTCCGTACCTTTCGCTCTTTCTTCAAACTGGATTTTAAGTTTCGGGACGATGGCGAATGAGGGAAGTAGGATTGGGCCTCAGTCACTTCTGGCAGCGATACCGCAACGTACTCAGTCGCCCTGTTTTCAGCAAAGTTGATTTCCACAGAATTCGTTCTCGAATGCATCTGCGACCGCGGCTGGAACAGGACTCCAGGAGGTATCATGTACCCATTGGAGTAGCGAGATGTCTCGTGGTCAAACCCTAAAAGCGGCTTTGAGTAGCCTGTATCCGCGGAGCCGTGGATTTCATTGCCGATCTTGTGATCAAAACTGTTCTTCCGGGCAATGACAAAACCGGCCTTTCGGGTGGACTCGGAATCTTTTCGGGTAGCCTCAAAACTGCTCTTTCGTGTGAGGTTGTGGAGATTATCGATCAGGATCTTGCGTGACTTCCGGCGCAAGCATGCGGTATCTCCTTCTTCACCGAGGAGAGGTTCAGGACTTGGATCTATGGTGATGTGCGAGAGACTCTTGAACCGGCCCTGGTGGAGCTTCGGACGCGGTTTATCGCCATTCGATACTGGCTTTTTGGCCTTGTGCGCCGGCAGTCCTCCGTGAGGAAGGTTGACGGATGAAAGGGTCCGTCTGCGACCAAAAGCCAGGCCCACGGGTCTCTCCTTGACCTTGGAGTGGGCCTGAAGGGATATGGATGTGAAGGAACGGGAGTTAGGGACACCACGTAAGGTTCCTGAAGGAGAGGCATGGATACGGAGGCGATGGGGGGCTTTGGAAGTGCTTTGGGCCTCCAATTCAAACTCCTCAGCGGTGATGACGGGCGAGCTGACCAACGTGTATGGGGAATTGAAGTGGGCGAGCTTGTTGGAGATCAAGCGCGAGCGGAGCTGGGAGATTCCCCTGTCGAGGGCAAACTCAAGAGCACAGTGGTTACGGATGATGGTCATCTTGGGCCACGTGGCGCGGGCACCGCGGACAGTGCACTCAAGAAAGAAGGCGGGGTTCGGGTTCTGGAGGATCTTGTGCAACTCGGTTAGATGTAGCTCGGGCAAGATCGTGATGTCGCCGCTGTACTTCTGGGAGAGAATGGACGTGGCCTTGGTGCACAAATTGCGGGCTATTCCAATCTCTTTCGCCACATCGAGGTAGTGGATCACCTCTGAGGCCATCAATCCGTAGAGGTTGCTCAACGACTGCTTCAACCACGCGCTGTATTCGGTCTCTACATCGCCTCCGACGCAGGAGATGGACATCTTCAAGAGTGGTGCCACGTGCGGGTTCACCTGGCACGCGATGATGTGGCCCACGTTGAACATCTCCGAGAGGCGTGTGATAGGGACATCGTTGTCAACCGAACCGTCCACATACTTGACGCTAGACGCGCCGTTCCATTCCTGGACCACACGTGTGCGTGGAACCTTCTCGTAGATGGTCGAAGAGGCAAAGACACCGGGAAGGGAGCAAGAAGCGCATACAGCCGACCAGATGAGCACCGACGGCGCGGTAAGGTAGTTGAGAAGTCGCGGCTGTTCGTGGATGGACGCGGGCGACACGGTGATGTTGAGAATACGCCCTGTGCGGTTGTAGCTCTCGCGGAATGTCAAGTCACCGAGGAACTCGTACATGGTCAGCTGCAAGTGGCCACTGTCAAACCACGTACCGTACTTCAAGAAGCGCGACAACTTGATCCACACGGTCTCGCCAGCATCATCGAAAATGTTTATACTCTGTTCACCAATCTCCGAGAGAATGGTGCGGATTTCGTCGTTCGTGTTGGAGCACAAGATGCTTGCGACAATGGAGCCGGCTGACAGGCCACTAACGATTTTGGGCAAGAGGTCCGATTCCATCAACGTAGAAAGCACACCGATATGGATCAAACCAAAACAGCCACCACCCGAGAGCACGAGCGCAGTGCGGCCGATGTTTTTGCGCGTCTGGATAAACATCTGGAGGACGTACGACGGATCAAGGCCGGTGTGCCCTGAGGTGAGGAGCTCCAAGCACCGTTCGCTCTCGTCGATATATTCCTCGATCAAGCGCTTGGTACCCACATAGCTATGGCGGTACAAGTTGACGTTACCAATGTTTCCAGCGTTGCGCACGAACGTGGTGCGGACCAAGTAGAGCAAGCGCTTGTAGTCGCCGCTCTCGCGCGCGTCACGGAGCTGCGCGAGTCGCGCCGCAACAAGCCCATGATCATAGTAGTCAGACTCTGCCGCCTCCTTCCAGGCATCGTTGCCAAGGAGCCGATCGAGCGTCGTGGAGATGTCGAGCCAGTTGGCGTAGTTGGTGGTTGCTCGCTGTTGCGCGAGCAACGCGCGCACCTGAGTGTCGGCCTCGCTGGCAGCGGGTACAAATGAGCCGACAAGCGGGACCTTGCGCAAAAAGCTGATCGCGGTCTCTGCCGCACGGTAGAACGGGTTTGTGAAGAGTCCGTCCTCCTCTTCTGTGAGGAGCGAGTGACGTTTAAAAAGGATCTCTGTAAGCGAATCGTACTGGTCTGCCGGGTCAAATTCTAGCGTCGGGTAGCTCATGGCAACGGAAGGTAATAGGAAGAGTTGATAGATAACAATGGGAAGGGCAGGTGGTGCAAATTTCAAAGACGAAAGACGAAAGGCGGTGAGCAGAAAAAACGGCGGCTAGTAGTACTGCTGGGGATAAGAAGAAATGTGTGGTAGTTCACAGCTACTGTGATTTCTAAATACTAATATAATTTAGAGTAAAGTACTGGCATAGGCGAGGTTTGGAGGCTTTGGGGTTGTTTGTGATATTAAAATGTAGCACTTCAGGTTGCGCGTGACGCCTCAGACTTCTGCAGAGAGGGTTTTTAATCTGTGATAAACCGGTGGCATGTGAAAGTGACTGGGGTAGACACTTCAGGTGGGCCACGCACGACAAAAATGGTTATGGATTTCCTGGATTTTTGGCACGCCAATCCGACTTATATACACCTCAACCGGCCGGTCCGGTATTATTCTATCAAACGTGTTTACTGGATTCAGTAACATGGAAACTTGTCTAGGCTATTGGATGTTCGGGTGGCTGGAGGTGGGTCACATAATACGCATAGCAACTACAAATATGTATCGCAGACATTGACGCAATATGTTTAATTGTTATCAATATTGGTAGGTTTTTGTGACCGCAAGGGATAATCACAGAGGTTTAGAAAGGAAGAGAACTTGAAATCTCCAGCACAGTTATTTTAGCCTTTACTACACTCGCATAACTGAGAATCCGATGATGTAAACCGTGAAATGGTGCTCCGTTGTGTACTTCGGTGACGGACGGGAACTAAATCTGCATACAAGCCCTCTATAATAACCTGTACCTGCCACCCTAACCACCCTACGGAATTATGGCGTATGAGTACGACTCGTGTTCAATTTATAGAAGTTATTATAGTAGAGGTAAAGTTAATACAACTCCTGGTGTACACCAAGGGTTAATCTCAATCCTATACTCTTATGAGGTAACGGATGGATAGGATAGTTACAGTTATCCATGGTTCTTTTCCTAGTTCGACCACACGCTAGAGCATATCCATATTGCTGCCTTTTGAAAACAGAGTATCACTATATCACAGCCTACGTGTATAAAGGATGAGGTGTTTGTGTGTGATCATAGATTAGTATTGGCCAGCAGGTACGACATGTCCATATAGGTTCCATCGAGGAAAGGTGATAACTCTATATGGGCATTTCACAAAGGTTTTGGCCGCTTAGTGTCATGACGATACGCAATTCAGCCACTTGCTTACGGTTGTTCCGGCCTTAGTATCGAAGAATTTTAAGCATAGCCTCGCTGTGCAATAATTTAGAGGTCAGATTGCATATTTATCGGTTTTTGTCTCAGACCGAAAAGTCTATTGTAATACCCTTAAAGAAGGCCTGCAGAATGTCTTAGTATCTCGGTTATGGACCATTCCCTAATTGCTGCTCGGAAAGATCGGTACAAGCCGGGCCGGGGGTACGAGTACAGTAACCACTGGATGCATGCAGCAGCGTAACCACGTCGTATGCGTATCAGCCCTGTGGACAAGTTTACCCCCCCAGCATACCGTTTGAAGGTCATTTACGTCCTACTTCGCCTCATTGATGGGTTTATAAAATGCAGGTAGTAGCCCGAATCAGCGAGTTGTTTAAAAAAATGGTAGGGATTAAACGACAGACTTTGTAAACCCACTATGTTGTCTTACTCGATTTTACCCTCCGCCATGTTCCTACATACCATCGTGATAGCTCCAAAATGGAAACATAGCTACTGTTTTGGACTGGCTATAAATAACGTTTGAGATGCTGCGTGGCACTTGCGTGTGCATTAATTCTGAGGCATGCGTGATCTGATAAAGACATGGCCTAGGCTCAAACAGAGACCTACCCAAAATCGAATAGCTTTTTATCATGTACTCCTTGGGTTTCTTGATTGCCGCTCCCAGGAACCTAAAGTACTTTTCTCCATTTCAGTCGCTCCGCACGCTGCTCGCTGGATTTGTCAGCCACAAATCGTTAGCCTAATACGTAAGTTAAATCTGCAAAAGAAATGTATGTTTCTATGGCGTTTATACTTGGCGCAGCAAACCATACGGATTAGTAGTCCAACTGATATGATATGGAATTATGGGTATTTCGTGGTTGTGAGTAGAGCTGAAATTTCGTCTGGTTTCACCTGCTGTGCGTCTTATTTTTATATAATTCAGCTGGGCCCTAATGTTTCGCGTAGGAACGTTGCAAGGCCGTCTGTTTTTAAGTCTGACACCATTTTGAGGGAACCCGACTCGTTTTCCTGCATGATGTTGACTAACGCCCACACCTGCATCTTTATCCCGCCGAGAGTCTGGACCCGCCCCTACTGTTGTTTCCATAGGACTTCATAAACACAAGGAACCGCCACTTGAATGCGAGATTTAAATCTCCCTACCCGGAAGAACAATAGCAGTGCAAGCTTTCATCTCGGAAAACTGCTTATCAACGCGCACGTAGAACGTAAGAAAGACAGTCATAACCGTTAGGGTGGTGCTAGCTACACCGGAAAGTCGTTCGGCCTTGTTAAACATTAGCCAGTCCTGGGAAGCTCTGAACCAAAAACAACATCCAAGCCCCAAACCCTGTAGCGCGTGTGGAGTCTGCGCCTGTATAAAAAAATATAAATATTTCGTAATTTCAGAGATCTAGAACGTCGTGCGCCAGTCTGGCTATGCATCATGCGTTTTCACTACAATTGCTGGCCAGCCCTGAGGCCGGTAGCGAGTCTGTTCTGTTTCCCCTTCCGAGATAATATGTCCTAGTACTTCGCCTAAACTACCTGAATGTTCGCCTCCCACATGCTACAATCAGTCATCCGGGAATTCAAGCTTCTACGTCAGCTGCACCGTAGTATATGATTTCACGATAGATGAAACCTGGCGGGAAGTCTAATTGGACCAATAGTCACCTTATTGACATGCATGCCGTTCAGTCTGGCGTGTTTTTTTTAAGCACTGGTATTAACTTCTTGTTGGCCAGGCCGCATATATGCTTCCGGTCTGTCTGTACGTCAAGCATATATGCATCGGTTCAAGTCTAAACTCCGTTTAAAATCTATTTCCATGCTTATCGGTATATATTCCTGATGATTCCCCTGAATTAGCGCAGCCGGTTGTAGAAGTAACCCCTACCGTGCTTTTGTACACCATTGTTCCCACGTATACCCCACTGGCTGATGCACAACTAATCACCATTATCGAAAAGCTCGTCAATAAAGCAACCCCTCGACTTTTATCTCAGTATCTTCTATTGCTAACATTCTTTCAGTGGCATCTCCCGTTAGCAGGACCCCTATCTGACATCTATCTCATCTACTGTTACCTCCCCGTTTTAACCCATAAAGAAAAATGTTCGCTTATCAATCGCCACAACGTTCCAAGCCCATGCCACTAAAATTGGAAATCATCTCCCTACCAGAAGAGCTTGAAAAGTTCCCTGTATCACATTACCCCGCAGACCCCACCCTCCAACTTCCCGATCTAAGATGCTGTTCACCTCGAACCGTCTTTGTAGAAGTCTCCCCAGCCGAATCACTATTCTCCCCTGAAATCGATCTGAGCCATACCATAAACCAGCAAGAGGATAGTTTGCAGATGGAAGCATCCGTCTTAGCGTCACCCACACCATCCCCTTCAACGCAGTATCATGGCGACTTGAACAAGATAATGCAGTGGTACTGTTGCGAGTGCGGCCAATCGTATGGGAGTTTCGTGAGGGACGATAGAGCGGAGGGCGGAGTAAGCTTCGAGCCTCCCTCGCGCTACAGCTGTCATAGGTGTTACCACATGATGTGTCCTTATTGTCTAAAGCAACGGGTAAAAGATTTTTTCCTATCATTATGAACCTCCGAATTCAAAATTCAATGAAAACGTAATTCCTCAAAATCAGAAATGTCTCCACACGTTCAAGTTAAGGAGCTTTACAGTTTATGGAAGGGATCTGAGGAAAATTACAATACAAATACGTGCCCAGTACTAGCCACGTCTTATCCATATCACTGCTTAACCTGTGATCAGACCATTAACAATCACCTGGGGTGAATCATTCTCAATTCACACACACGGAGGCTCCTGGCTCTGGATATATCTGGAACAAAATGCCTACCACTCCTCGTGTGCGCTGGGTCTGTTACACACGTTCGTGTTTGTGTCATCTGTCTAGAAGGTACCGCTCCCCAGGGCCTCGATGGACCCGCCTCTTGCAGGCTTAATAAACGAATTTTAATGATGAGACGATACAGCTGGTACTAACCCAAAACAACAGCGATATGTAAGAACTTCCGGTTACATTCTAAATAGATGGACATTAATATATTATGCAATCCGTTAAAAATCGAAACCAATTTCTGAACAGATCATCCATTACGTTGCCTCGTCCAATGTTGTATTTACACAAATATCGCATTTTATTGAGTGTGCATGTTTGGTGGTCTATCGAATAAAAGCTTGTCTGGCCTTCACAAACTAGTTGGCCTTCTTGACCCTGTCGCCTCTCAATGACTTCATCACCTTGGATCTCTGTTTCAACATGTGGCCAAACAAAACGTAGAACCCTGGAGCGTAGACGGCCATAACGGCATACAACCCCCACTTAACGGTCTGGGAACCGCCAAAGGCCGCAACACAGGCTGGAATGTTCCCGTAGATGATGGCCAACTCACTAAAGACACCGGATGGGTACAAGACCAAGAACGCGTTATATCTCAACCAGGTCAATATCTTGTTTGGTTTGCCGCCGGAGGACAAGTTGAGCGCGTAATACTGGTACCTGATAATTTCAGTTACCGCCCATGATACCACGAGGGAGAAGTAGGTGGTCGTAGTGCGGTTGAACTCAGAGTTGGGGAAGGCGTAGAAAAAACCCCAGACAATCAATAATCTCGAGGCGACCTGCGACAAGGTGGTGAAAAGCGGCGATTTAACAATCCCGGTGGCCGAATTGAAGACCTCAATGAGTGCCAAGGACTGGATGATGATTAACTTGAAGTGGGTGGCCTCAAAGAGCAACGGCTGACCGCCGTACGCAAATCTGTACACCACGGTGGACAAGAGGACATAAGCCCAGAGGTTCCCGGAGATGACGTTGTAAAGATAGAGACCCGTGATGGTGCCTGGCTTGGAAGTTGGAGTGGAAGAGGCCATTTTGTGTGTTGAAAGGAGATTATGAAGCAGAGAAGAGGAAAAATTGTTGAAATATGTCGAGCCGCCGGTCATTCGCGCCGCATACAACGGGATTAACTAGCTGCAATGTTGGACAACTATAAAAACACATGGTTTATCTACAGGAATGCCTCTACTAATGTAAGGGGTATTCAGGTTGTGAGGTTCAATCTATAGAAAATACTAGCTTGGATAGGCGTCATTCAGGAAACTTTCGGCCTCAAGTAAACCCTATACGGCATTTATATGGGCTTCGAACTTCAACGCCCACCGTGTCTGTAACGCAAAAATGCTGATTCTACTAAATTAGTTGAGGTAACTTGATTTGTAGCACTGGATGTTATGACCTAGTATCAAATGAATATATAACTGACAATAGACTGAAATCCCTGGCAACTCTTTGCATAAAGACCCCCATAAACCTCGTGGCTTAGTTGATCCACCTTGATAAACATCGGTTTTGCTAAAGCAATCCACTTGTTACACTTCGGATGCAACGAAGAATGCATTACGTCTATGTACATGCGCTACCGCGCCTCTCCGCTCGATACTATACATCTGGATCCTGGAGCCTACTGCTCGACACCTTCGATCTTGATTCCGTTGTCCTCCAAGATTTGCTTGTTCTTGAGTCTGTTCTCTCCCTTTAAGACGTCCATCTGCTCAATTTTGGCGGCCCTCAACTCTTTCAACACGGCCAATTCGTTTCTGCTGGATAATCTCGGCAACTCCTGGTGCTCCACCAACGTGGTGTCCCAGTGCTTGTCGTCACCCTTTCTCCACAAGTCCTCCCAGAGGATCTTGGTGTCGGCCAACTGGAACTCTTCAATCACGGTCGACAAGTCCGCGACGGACTCCATGGCATATGTCGGTCTGAATTGGCCCGAGAACCAGATGTTGCCGTCCTGGTTTCTGACTCTCTGTCCGCGCACCTCCAACCTGTCGGTGACATCACGTCTGGTTCTCAAGTCGACAAGCGCCTGGAACGTATCTACAGCGTCGTCGTAGGAGTTCAATTCAACCACGCACATACACTTCCAGATGTCACGTCTGGTGGTTGGACGTTTATTTTCCCAGTTGGGACGCAAAAACTGCTCATACATGTAGGTTTTCTCGACCGCTGGCGTCTGCGAATACACCACCTGGCCGGACTCGATGTTGCGGAAGAGGAACACCTGGGGCGCGTACTGGTTGGCCTTGAGGAAACGAGTGGTCTGCACCGTGACCTTAGCTGGAATGGAAGGTTTGGCCATTGTGTGTATTGGGGGAAGGGTTAATGTGAAGGCTGATTTGATATCAATACGAAACTTTTCACTAACATATGCACCGAAAAAATCACGTTCTGCGTAACCAGCATGGCGTCCGTGTGCATAATACCCCACTGGGCTCTCCCCGCCGAAACTTACTGGATTAAATCGGTCTAGCAGTTGAAAGTGGCAGTTTAAAATCGGAGAAGGATTCTATATTATCCAACTATACTACCGCAGGCACAAAGCCGGAATATGATTGAGGTACAACTTCTTGCTTCGAGATATAACGTAGGCACTCCACTGCTTTAGTCACGTGTTATGTGGTTGAAGTGTCATTGGGGTCGGTGAAGACGACAAGATTCATTAGGAATAATTCAAATTATTCCTCTAACGGATATAGGCTATTGGATTCTGAAACCCCTCAGAGACAATCGTGGATACACCTCACGGCAAAGCTGTATCAAGACTTAGTGCCTTTATGGATGTTTGGGAATTCTACCTTCAGCACAGTTAACGGTTTCTTAAAAAAGCAATTTCTAGGCAGTAAATGTGCCGATTTTTTTAAAAAAAGACGATTTACACAATACCTCTGAGTTGTTCAGCTCTTATTCTCCATATTTATCATGTATTCCGTCGTCCCCTCTATATCCTGCATATAACAATACTATCGGTGTTTCGTGGCCATTGATTACTTCCATTCATAGCTTCCATCCTTATACCGTTGAATACGGGTCGGTTTAAATGGGTATCGGTATATCCATGGTATTTCATGGAAATATCTCTGTTACAGCGGAGCTGTCTCCCCTGATGCTCAAATAGTGTATCTGACAAGCTGCCCACGTGACCAACTACGTAACTCACACAGTGTCCGTGCCTTAATGCCGTCACACTGGGTACACTTCTCCTTTGCCCATACATATTCCTTCCCAATAAAAAGCACTAGAAACGTCTACACTACTCCTTCCTCTAACCCTGTCAAACAATTTGTCTCTCCCCTTATCTAGATACCCATCCCGTGCACTGTACCTGTGACTCCCTGTTAATAGACACCTCTCCTGCACACACCTTTGTTGTTTGCTAACCTGTTGTTATTCACACAAACAAGGACATTCTTTATCTCTCCACACTCAGATCAAACACCTTCCCAGTCGTATCCACCCTATTAAATGTCCTTCCCTGCCGAAATGAAATTTCACCACCACCTTCCCGAAAGCCAGGGTGCGCTCCGGGATGCGGTGTTGTGCAACAAGTGCCACGAGCCGCGGGACCTCAACACGGAGTCGCACGAAGCGTTGCTCAAGTTCCGCAACTGCCCGCCGTGTCGGGCGCTCTTTGCGCAGCTGAAGAAACAGCAGCGCACCAAGAAGATCAACGCCGAGTCGCACGTGTTCAATTCTGCCGATAAATTCTTTGCGCAGTGTGATTACGCGCACAACCACACACCGCAGCGACAGATCGACCACTTGAAGCTTCGGATGGTGTGGGATGCGCGGAAGGGAGGCATTCCACCACCGCCGCTCTACTCCAAGGAGCAACTTGTGGGAATGGGGCGCGACCACCAGCAGCTCCTCCAGGAGGTGAAAACGTACTTCAAGGAAGCTCTCATCGAGCCATTAGAGAGCATCGTGGGATGCGCGTTTGCCATCCGTTCGTCCAACTTCAAGAAAAACAACAAAGTTTATCTCTCGCTCCTCTGCTGCAAGGACGAGAACGGACTTGCAAAGACAAAGTCAAAGGGTCTACGGGGGTTCACCAATAAAAAGCGGATCTTCCGCTGCGAGTCGCTTATCATTGCGAACTATTCCCCCCTCGAAGGCTGCATCAATATGGAGGTGAATCATCACAGCCACGATGTTTGTCCGGTGGTGGATGAAGACGGAAATGTGACGTTCACCACGGATATGCGAATGGCAGCTGTGGATCCCCAGGAGATGCTTCACGACAACATGTTAGCGCAGGACGACTACCCATACCAGCGCATCCAGGAGAACCCGCACAACCTCCAACAGCTCCAGCAGCACACCAACCAGTTGGAGCACGAGTTGGCCGTCATGGCAGCAGCGGCAGCTGCGGTGCACCCCATGAAGGAAAAGCTTGAGCCGCTCTCCACGACCGATTTAGCGGCCCAGTTCGTCGCAGCACATCTCCAGCAGTTCACTCAGAGCCAGATGCTCCAACAACAGCAGCTCCAACAACAGCTGCTCCAACAGCAACAACAGCTCCAGCAAATGCGGCAGCAGCAGCTCCAGATGCAAAGCCATAAACTTAAGGCGCTCGAGGAGATGTCAAATGCGAATATCGACCAGCAGTTGTTGGGTGCCGGTACACTTGATGACGACATCCACCAGCAGGTTGCCGCCATGGAGACGCAGTATTCTGGGAACATTGAAGAGCTCGAAGGCGAGGGCTACCAAGAGGAGGGATTGGAGGGTCAATCACTCGAAAACGGGCACATGCATTTGTTGCCTGATGATTTACTCTAGGAGTAAGGGTAGAAGTTGTGAGGCTGCAATATATGGAGAGTAGAAAGATCAAGTGTAGGGGTGGGGGGAGATGGAATATTCCAACCTCATTAAAGGTGAAAAAAGTGTATTTGCCCGCTCAGAGTAGGGTCAAAATCTCTCCGTTCGCTAACCCCAGTTCTCGAAACAACCATACTGGATGCTTTTTTAAACGTTTATGTTTAAAAAGAAACCTTGTTTAAATCAATGCCTGTTATCAGTATATCAGAGTTATCATTTATTACGATTCGCGACTAATGTCTACAGTTAAACGCCATTCTCAAGTATATTATCTGTTTACTTTCCTATACGTATTTATTAGATTTCCGTTTCACGTAACCACTGTCTCTCTGTGTTTTTACGTATATTTTCATTAAAATTCCCAAAACCATGATAATACTTGATCCTCAGTATGGTCTTCACAGGAGGAACAGTCTTGCGTGCCCATACCATTCCCATACCTCCGCGCTCTCTCCCGCATTGCGCATTTCTCAGACCGGCATTGAAAAATTCACCACTATTAAAAAAACGACGTAAACTAGAGCCCTACATTATCCTCCTATCATCACACAAACACCATGTTGAGGGCGCTTCTTACTAAAAGGGTTGCGTTGATTCGTTCTGTGACGCCTGTCAGAGGGTTCGCGCTGTCGTTTGCGACCCGCCAGAAGGAGGTAACCACGCCGTTGATCGCTAAGTTCAAGCTTGATCTCTCTGCGGAGCAGATGGAGGAGTTGAAGTCGACCAAGTTCACTATTGTGCCAAATGAGCAGGACTTGACCCAGTTGGAGAAGCAAGACGCATTGATCCAGAGACAGCGCCGTTTGATGAAGCAGGGAGTCCAGCTCAAGCTGTACAAGCCCCACTCGCCGGGCAGAAGATGGTACCGTGCGCCGATCAATGACCATTTGCATAAGGGGAAGCCGTACAAGAAGTTGACTGTGGCACTCCGTTCTTCTGGGGGTAGAAACAACCAGGGGAGAATCACAATCAGAGGTAGAGGTGGTGGGCACAAGAGACGATACCGTCTTGTCGATTTCAAGAGATTCACCAGGGGCATCCACAACGTGCTCCGCATCGAGTACGATCCGAGCAGAACCTGTCATATTGCGCTCATTGAGAACAAGGAGACTGGTGCCAAGTCTTACGTTTTGGCTGCCGATGGCTTGCGCGCGGGTGACGAGATCGAGTCCTTCCGTTTGGGAATTCCAGAGCACTACATCGCCGAAATGGGTGGTAAGATCGACCCAGCGTTGTTAGCCGCTAAGACCAACAAGCGTGGTAACTGTTTGCCGCTCCATATGGTCCCGTTGGGTGCTGTAATCCACAGCATCGGGTTGAAGGCCAAGGGCGGTCCGGGCCAGTTGTGCCGTGCTGCCGGTACCTACGGCCGTTTGTTGGCCAAGGTGCCTAACAAGAAGAGAGCCATTGTCAGGTTATCCTCCGGTGAACACCGTTACGTGCCATTGAATGCATGCGCCACCTTGGGTGTGGTGTCTAACCCTGGCCACCAGATGGGGATGAGAGGTAAGGCCGGTAGATCCAGATGGAGAGGTTTCAGACCAAAGGTCAGAGGTGTGGCCCAGAACAGATGCGACCATCCCCACGGTGGTGGTAGAGGTAAGTCGAAGTCCAAGGTCACCTCCAGGTCGCCGTGGGGTGTTTTGGCCAAGAATCACAAAACCAGAACTGGCAAGCACGCCAATAAGGAGAAGATCAAGGACAGACCAAGAAAGTACGTCGACAACAACAGAAACTAGAGTTGCTTTTCTAGCAAAAACTTGTATATATCAATGAAACTATTGTTTAAGAGATGTAGGTAGAAAGGATTAGTTACCGAGGATTGACAATTCAGGGTGTGACTTTGGCAAGTTGTGAACGTTGCTTGTTATATGACTTGGAAAATTTAGTCTGTAAAAATCTCTAGTAAGGGATATGTGAATTGAAATTTACACCCCGATCAATGACCTTAGAAATAAGAGCTAGAGTTTATTGATCTATACATGCTGATTTTGTGGGCGGAATCAATATGAGTAAGAGTACGACAAAACAGTCTGGAAAGTTTCATAATTGAGCTACTTGGTAGTCCAGTCATTTATCCCCTTTTCAATATATGCTCCAGGCAATCCTCGCTCTTAACTTTAAGGTAGCCATTATTGTGGTATTCCAGATTAGCGTAATGGCCGCTCCCAGGGGCGTGCATCTCCAGCGTATCCCTGGTTTCATGAAAGATATGGCAAACCCCTTTTACCCTTATCTCTTTTTTATTATTTCATATCAGTATTTAGCCTGCTATAAAAAAAATAGGTAGAAATGTTAATGAGATATGAAAGTTGGCTACTGCGTATTCAAAGTGCTCGTAACCTCTGGAAGTGTTTCTTCCTGATAGTGCCAATGCTATCGTTGTTCCTCTGTATAATGTCTTGTGCCCCGGGGTAGATATATTCCACTCTACCCAGCACATGGAATCCACATGCCAGTGGTGTTTAATCTCAAGGCCCGTAGGACGGCGCTTCTGTCCACACTTCTCTCCTCGTGGATCCACACGCGTCTCGAAGATTACATTGAGCACAATCCGGACTGCGGTAGACAAACATTGTTTATAGCCTCAGGCGAGAGCAAAGTTATCAAAATCCTTCGCATTTATCCGCTAATTATCCACCTGAAGCCGTCCAGGGATGCCGTAAATGGCACCTTACACGTACCCGTATTCATTGCGGATGCAACCCATACGATGTACGCGATCATCCCTCAGTCTGCAATTGACGAGTACGAAATGCAGTACCAACACCGAATCACACTTGGTCTACGTCACAAGGTAATTTTGGTATCCAAAGCCCGTATTCTGTGGTTTTCCTTGGATGAAATGGCTCGGCTGTTTGGGTACAAAGCCCCTGACAGGCGCAGTCCACGCCGTTTACCTGTCATGACCATCCAGAAATTGGAAAAGTTTGACTGGGATAACGGGAGCATAATCGAGGGAATTCTAAAAGACGTTTATGCCGAAATCTAGCGATAACACCGAAAAAGGAAACCTGCCATTTCAATCATTACTCAATATTGGGCCAATTATGAGCAAATATCACACCTGGCACAATTACAAATGGCAATTCATCAATTTCCCCGGTGTTACTGCTTAGAAACCTATAGGATATCGCGAATACAGTTTGGTAACGTACCACCCTTTACTACTGAGCATACCTATCTTACATGCTGCCATAGATTCCAAGCCTCACGTATCTGAACGGCTGCTGGTCTCGGCTTTGACAAACAAGACCCGGAAAACTGTATAGTACAAACACTCAGAATGATGGAGCATTTGTAAAGAAACATATAATTTGGACTTAATTAAACCATCACTAAAAAATCGTATTAAAACTACGTCTAGTCAACACTCTGGTATAGACAAACAGCATGTAGTATAGTTTCCTCCGATCCACCAGTTACGGTCGATGCCGGATGTATTCAGTCCTGCACACACCTTACACTACAGCCGGCCAGGTCATACCCAAACAACCATCGAAACTCAATAAACAGTGGTTAAACATTATAACATCACCCCCTAGCCACGTCTACCTTCTATCGGGACAGACCTTAAACACTACTAAGCTAGGTCGCGATTGGCATACGCGTCCACCGCCTATACGCGTACTTTTCAGTCCCTGCGCTGCTCTGAGAACGCTTCGCAGCCATACGAAAAACTTGGAAAACCGCTACCACCGAGCACCCCGACTCCCCTTACTATACAAAAGAATGGTGCAGCACGGTCCCGTCACCCTGAACATACCACCATACACATATAGACGTTAACCATGTTCGCTTCCAGATTGTCTGTCCGTTCCATGGCCACTGTTGCCAAGGGTGTCAAGCCACCAAAGCAATTATTCGGCATTGACGGTACCTACGCTACCGCCTTGTTCACCGCCGCCTCCAAGTCGACCTCTATCGAGGCTGCTAACAAGTCCTTGGGCGATTTGGAAGCTTTGGTCAAGGCCGACCCTAAGTTGGGCGAGTTCTTTGCCAACCCAGCCTTGTCCTTGGGCGACAGAAAGTTGGTTGTCTCAACGTTGAAGGAGAAGATCCCATCTTTGGACGCCTCCGTCACCAACTTCTTGACCGTTTTGGCCGAAAACAACAGATTTGCCGAATTGGGAGCCATCACCAAGCAATTCTCCATCTTGAACGAAGCCTTCAACGGGGTTGTTGAGGCCACCGTCACCTCCGCCGTCGCCTTGGACAACAAGACCTTGTCCAAGATCCAGACCGCCATCTCTAAGTCCAAGTACGTTGCTGCTGGCCAGACCTTGAAGATCACGAACCAGGTTAACCCAGAAATTTTGGGTGGTTTGGTTGTTGAAGTTGCCGACAGAACCGCCGACTTGTCTATCTCCTCTAAGGTTTCCAGATTGAACAAGGCCTTGCAGGAAGCTATCTAAGCGCCCCTCCCCAATACATATCACGTACGCATTGTATCGTCCCCAATAAAATATTTTGACTAGATGTAAAGATAAACTGTTAGGGTGAGCCATCGGCAAGCCACTGTGCCTTTCCTAAACTGAGGCATCAAGACGGAATAAGCCGTAATCTGTTCTATATGGTTTACTCCTGTTTTTTTTTTTCGACCCGTGCCCTAATTTTTATACTAATATTTAATCAATGTCAATAGCTAGCTTTTGCTACATAATTCTATGTGACCTATTCTGCGGTTCAGGGGATCAATCAGCAAAGGCTGCACTTTCCTCGCGGTCAGTTTCAACATTGTGCATTTCATATGCCACTAGAGGAGCTTTCGCATACATTCTCCACTGCCAGAAAAACCCTAGGTCAAACACCACCGTACCCATGCTGCCTAGGATGTAGGGAAGTTCCCGTTGAAGAAACAGCGGCCTGCTACTTTCCAGGAACAAAAGTTCAGTACTGGTTAAGATTGAGAGTGTATAGGTTAGATTTCCTGCCAAAGTGCAACAAAACAAGAGCGGAGAGACTCCTTCAGTGGACTTTCGCTGGTAGTTTTTGCGAAGCTGGGGTATGCGAGAGAGAATGTAAATAGCAGTACAGCTCCACGCGATTATTCGTCCAATTGTGTGCGATTCTGATGCTACAGGAAGCTCTCTGGACCATAAGGGAGATCCTAGAGCTGAAGCCGTGGACGATAAGATGGTGGCCGAAATCTTGAAAGGAGTTGCCTGAGGCGGTAATTGGTAAGCTGGGGCCCTGGCCCGCCTCAAATAGTAGTGCCTCTGTAGCAAAAGCATTGAATCGGAAAACACGAAAAAGCCAGCAAGTAATGTCTGGAAAAGTAACTGGCCTGTGAGCAAACAGCCGGTGAAATTTAGCGCGTCCCCCAAGAACCAGAGTCCGAGAAAGTGGATTGAGATCCCTTTCGTAGATTTGGCTTTGTAGTTTTGTAGTAGCTGTGGTAGCGTGGCACACATCCAGATAGATATGGAAATGGCCCCAAAGGCCGAGGAAACGAAGTTTAAGAGAGGATGGGAGGTATCAGGCATGAGGAAGTGGGCTTAAGGATTCATGTAGAATGTGTAAAAGGATTGAGTGCTTATTGGGAATCGTAAGAGGTTCATAAAACAGATGAACTGCAAGTGGAAACGAATGTGGATGAAATATCGTGAGCTGAAATGGTGGGGGACGAAGTGCAGCTAAACAGTGAAATAGAGATTTCTCTGGAGGTCCTGATATTGAAAAGCGGAGAAAATTTCTTTGGTGTTATTATGCTCAGAGTGAATTATATCAAGGAAAAATTATGGCGTATACGTGTAATTTTCTGTCTCAGGGTCAGCATATCGCGACTAAACGCAGAGTTCAGGTTGGCGTGTCAGATGTGAGAACCTAAGATAAGACGCATGAGCCGCACAGTGCCAGTTCTATTTCTGTAGGTACAAGGGCCTGACAATAATTGTAAGGTTTGACTTATTTTATTCCTACGCGGATGATGAAGGATACCATCAGCAGAATTTAGCTAGTTTACCTAACCTTGGCCTAATGGGGTCTCTTTATTGTATGTTCTGCTAGTATACGCATCTGTTTAGCCATAACAAGCTTGTCGATTCTTTAAAGAGCCAATATACGCGATAAGTGACCTCATGGTGAATTCAACCCATTGCTTTTCCGCCTAGATAGGCATACTTCCGATTTTATATTTAAGCACGCACCGCTAGGCCGGGTCTTGTATCTGCACACACGACTTTGATTTTGTACATCTTCAGCTCACATTAAACGAAGTTCGACTTAGGGGTTTTCGTTTTATATTGAGATAATAACTTTGATTATCGGGTAAAAAGGCCACCGACCCGTGTTGGCCAAGGGTAGCCAATGCGAGGAGTGAGACGGTACTCATCTCTTTGAAGGGATTACCCCAGTACACTGTCTGGAGTAGGAAATCGAGGTTATCATTTCTTGTCCCCTCCTCATCTATTTTGCTACTCTACCTCGACTTGGTGATGGCAGTCACTTTTTTTGTCTAAGATGAGAGGTTGGAGTGGTGTGACTCCGCAAACTCCTCGGATTGCTAGCCCTCGGTAACCCTACCCTTTCCTATTGTAATTAAGGAGGTGAAGCTTCGAAGAATGTAGATACTTGCTATTTTTGCTTTTTCAGATGTCAAATGGGTATAAGTATACTTCAAGTTTCTCGGCGCTTAGATTCGAAGGTGTACGAGTGGTTGGGGTTACACAGATAGCTTCGCTGGACTTTTCTATAAGTGACGTATTGCACAATTCAGCTGTTTGTAATTAGGCCGTCAGAGACAAAATTGTACTGAAAACCGGCACCCGCTAGAGACTTCACCCTCGTGCAGCTTGCTTACTGTTGCAACGGGGGTACGTGGAAAATCTGGTTGGCACTGGGTCATTAAAAGAGGGTAGGTATAAAGCGAAAAGTTGGAATCAGGGTTTAACGATCTGAGAATTCCAAGACCTGTTTTATATGTGACTTTTCTGGTCAATAATTTCTGTAGTGATTATGGAAATATGATTTCAAATTTTTCTCTCAACATACACCTGTGTTCCTGTGGGCTCGTGCTCGCCATGTCCGCCGCTCATCACGTGCATGTGAAAAAAAAAATAAAACTTCCTCTACTGAAAAATATTAAAAACCTCACCACCTACCTTCTCCTCATCCTTCTCTTACGACCACACCAAAATGAATATCCATCGCTGTCGTTTTGTAGACTACACTCCGCACACCATTACGTCGCTTGCATTTTCGCACAAATCCTCCTCTGCGCAATTCACGCCTACCAACTTGCGTTTGGCGGTCGGCAGAGCCAACGGTGGCATCGAGATCTGGAACGGCAGACAGAATTGGTATCACGAGACCACCTTGCAAGGTGGTCGAGGCCGCTCGATCGAAGGTGTTGTCTGGTCCTTATGGAACAAGGACTCCCCCAGACTCTTCTCCATCGGTGGAAGCACTGTGATCACCGAATGGAACTTGAAGACCGGCAAGCCGTTGGCCAACTTCGACTGCAACACTGGTGTTATCTGGTCCATCGCCGCGAGTGAGAATGGCGAGAAGCTTGTGGTTGGGTGTGATGATGGGAGCGTCGTATTGGTGGACATTTCCGGTGGCCCGGGCTCCGTGGAGTTTGAGGGGATTCTCCAGAGACAGGACTCGCGTGTGTTGAGCATAGCCTGGATTGGCAATGAGAGGGTTGTTGGTGGCTGTGCTGACGGTAGAATCAGGGTCTGGAGCTGTGCAGGTGACGACAAGTACCGACTTGTGTCGACTATGAGAGTGGACAAGAGCAAGGCAGAGAGCACCTTGGTATGGTCTGTGTTGGTGTTGCCGCACCAGAACCAGTTGGTCTCTGGTGATTCCACCGGCTCAGTGAAGTTCTGGGACTTGGAACACTTCGCGATGCAGCAGTCGTTTAGCGTGCACGATGCGGATGTTTTGTGTTTGACTGCCGACTTTTCCGGCGAAAAGGTCTTCTCTGCGGGTATTGACCGTAAGATCTTCAACTTCAACTTACTTGCAGACAAGAAGGCAGCCAGATGGGTTAATACTTCCAACCGCTTGTTGCATGCCAACGACGTCAGAACCATGGCGTCGTTCGAATCCAAGAACGCCAACTTTTTAGTCTCTGGTGGGGTTGAGAGATCCATTGTGATCAACTCCATGACTGACTTCCAAGATGGTCCGTACAGAAAACTTCCACCTACCCCGCAAACCTCGCCAGTGGGTGTCAACGAGCTGGAGCGCTTGGTTTACATGTGGCAGGACCAGGAGGTGAGCATCTGGAAGGTGCAGGGCGATGAACTCGAAGGCAGCCATAGGCTCGTGGCGAAGCTCAACTTGGCTGACGAAGAGAACATTACCTCAGTTGCATCGTCCGTAGACGGTAAGCTCTTGGCAGTGGCGAGATTGACCGGTATCAAGGTGTTCCAGATAGAACTGAAGAAGCAGAAGATGAAAATCACCAAGATCAGAAACGTTCCGGCGTTGGATGCGGTGGGGGCCAGAAACCTCTTATTCACTGACTCACAGTTAGTGTTCACGTCCCCAGAGGACGAGCTTTACACCATTGACGTTGCCGAGAACGGTTTCGACAATGAGTCGATACGTGAAATCGAGTTTGCAGACCAACCGGCGTACAAATTGGCGCACTTAGCGCAAATTAGGACCTTGAAATACGCCAACGGCAAGCTCTCGGTAACCAGGTTGAACGGGAGCATTGAAATTGTGGACGTGGCTTCCGGGACCGTTCAGCAGTTGACCAAGTTGGCTGTTCCACCGGTGGCAGCTGAATTCACCGCTAACGGCACCTTGCTTGTGCTCACGGCAGAAAACAAGCTCTACGAGTTTGAATTAGCGGCGAAGGGCGATAACTTGCTCACAAAGTGGTCCAGAAACAATACCGAATATCTTCCAGCACAGTTCACTCTGTTAGAGGACAAGCCTGTGGGCATGTTTATGGATAATAAGCGTTCCAGCAGGGTTTGGGTGTATGGTGCCTCATGGTTGGCGTTTTTCGACCTCTCGCAGGACGTTCCATTTGCTAAGAATGCTGGGAAGAAGAGAGCCAGAGGCGGCTTGTGCATCGAGGACGGTGACAGTCATAGCGTAGAAGATGAGGATGAAGAGGCGATTGACGAGATGGAAATCATGAAGACGGTCAGACAGAGTGCAGCCGACAGATTGAAGCGTAAGCAGTCGAGCACGGAAATGGAGGAGGGCAGCCGTGCGTTCTGGATGACGGAGAAGTACAAACCTTTGTTGTTTGTGGGGGCGTTTGGGGAGGGCGAGATTGTGGTGATTGAGAGACCGGTATTCCACTTACCGACCCCACCGGCGTTTAACTTGCATCAGATTAAGGTGTAGATCGGTTCATTTTCCTTTGTGACGGTTGGCCTTACTGACTGATAACCCTGTATATTTATCTTGTACTTTAACAGAATATAATTTGAGTAAACAATGATATGGTTAGCAGGTAATGTATAAGGGTGGGTCAAGGAAGCAAATGATTTGGTATAACCAATGCATGTACAGATCACATATGTACATATTCGTATATGAGCGTACGTGCATATAATAATAATTAAATAGTTTAAATATTATGTGTTTGATCTGGCAGTCAGTGGGTGCAGGATATATTTGACATCCTTGATAACTTTCTTCGACCGTCATCCACTTGACGAGCCAGTCTTATCCATCTCATCGACATTTTCCATGTCACTGAATAAAGATTACGAGGAACGATTGGTAAGTGGTATCTAGAATATACAAACATGCCTAACACGCCCAGAAAGCAGAAATGGACGAATTACGGTCGACAAGAGTGTCATTAGAAGCAATCAACTCTCTCACCAAGGGTATTCTCAAGGATGTGAAAACATCTGTGAGCAATCAGCACGCAATAGGTGGTATGTACAGAGACCGAGAATACCAGTGGACGATACTAACAGGTATAGCTGACATCAAAGGAATTCAGAGCATTGTCAACCGAATCCCCAAATAAGTCTTGATCATCTAAAGTATCCCCAAATAGGTCTTGACCATCTAAAATATATTTGAACTTTGAATTAAATCGCATAGTTGGTGTTTATTTCGATCTGTATTGATAAAAAATGAACCGGTTCGAACATTAGTAGTTCTAAATTGACAAAGGGATCGAATT